CCGTGTCCCTCTGTCCGTCCCCTTGTCCCCTCAGCCATCCCCGTGTCCCTCTGTCTGTCCCCTTGTCCCCTCAGTCATCCCCGTGTCCCTGCCCTGTGTTCCACCTGTGGAAATCCCAGGTGGAGGCCTTGAAGGTGCTGCCACTGCCCAAGAGCTCAGTGCCACCCACCCACAGGTGCCAGCAGCTGGCGTGGTGGCACTGCCACCTTCCAGCACCCAAAAATCCACCTCCCAGCACCCCAAGTCCACCTCCCAGCACCCAAATCCACCTCACAGCACCCCAAATTCACGTCCCAGCACCCCAAATCCACGTCCCAGCACCCCAAATCCACCTCCCAGCATCCCAAATCCACCTCCCAGCATCCCAAATCCACCTCCCAGCACCCAAATCCACCATCCAGCACCCCAAATCCACCTCCCAGCTCCCCAGTTCCAGTCGGACTCCAGGCCCACCCCACCCCTGCCCACCCTGGATGTCCCCACCGTGTGTCCCCCCCGGTGTGGCACCACTTGTGCCAACCCTCCTGGGGACAATCAGGGATCCCCAGGGCTCCTCTGGGACTCAGTCCCCTCTGTCCCTGTCCCCGGCACGAGGGGCCAGCCCAGCCACACACCGCGACAATGCCACCGCGGGGAGGGTGGCACTGCCAGCCTGGCACTGTCCCAGCCGTGCCCAGACCGCGGGGCAGGGGCGGCAGCGGGGCGCGGAGGGGGTGACACCGAGCTGGGAGGGACAGAGGGACAGCGGGAGGGACACAGGGGACAGCCGGACCACCCAGCGGGCCCGGGGGGCAGCGGGGCCGAGCTGCGCCCCGACCTCCCCCGGGGCCCGAGCCCGGCGCTGCCGCTTCAAAGGCGACACCGAGGCTGTCCCGGGGCTGTCACCCTCCGCCAGCCCGGCTCCGGCGGGGACCCGGTGCCACCCAGCCCCACAGAGGGGCTTTTCTTGTCCCCCCGCCTTTGTTTTCTATTTAGTGCTTTTGTTCCCCCCTCTTTGGGGCTTTGTTCCAGCTCGTCCTTTGTTCCGACGCCTTTGGTTTCTCTTCCCTTTGATGCTTTGTCACTCCCTTCATCTTGGTGCTTTTCTTTCCCCGGGTTTTTTTTTTTTTAGGTTTTTTGGTTTGTTTTATTATTTTTTTTTTAAAAAAGCTGGCTCTTTGGGTTTTTTGGAGGGATTTTATTGGGGTTTTTTGTTGTTTTTTCTCTCCTGGCCGCTCCGCTCTTGGCATTTTTCTCCTTTCTCCTGCCTCGTCCACTCTCGGGTCACATGGACGCGGCCCGGATTGTCTCCAAATCCCCATTTGTCTTGTTTTGGAGCCTGCTTTTCCCTGCCTTTATGTCCTTTTTCTTAAGAGACTCTCAGCGATTTCTTCTCCCGGCCGCGGGGAGAGCGGAGGGGGGGGGCCGGGGATTAATTAATTAGCGAGTGTAATCTCGAGCTGCGGGATGCGCGGAGCATCATTACGGCTGTCATTAGGGCGTTAGGGGTTAGCGAGGATTTAAATACCAGCTAATTGCAGCCAAGAGCTCCCCTCTCCGCCAAAAAATTCCAGCGGGAAGAGCCGGGCTTGGATTTTGGGGCGAACTGGGAGAAATTCCCGACAGGGAGGACAAGAAACAGGAGGGGGGGGGGAAAACCCAAAAATCGTCACTTGAGGGGTGTCACTTTGAGGGGCAGAGGCGATGCCAGGGCAGCATGGAAAGGGTTAAATGCCCTGCGGGCGGCGATTTTTTCCCCCGTTCCCATCACCCGGGGAACCCTTTGGACACGGGAATCCGGCCGGAATCCGGGAGGGACGAGCCCGGGGGGCGCACGGGGGCGGCGGTGCCACCGAGGGGACGAGGACTTTCATGTCGCAGCCGTCGCCGAGGCTCGGCCCGGCTCGGGGACACGTGTGCGGAGCCCGCCGCAAGATCAGATACCGGGATTCGGGAGCCGTTTTCCGCTTTGATTTGAGCGCCCCAAATCCCCCCCCGGCAGCCCCCCGTGCCCCCAGCCGGCAGTGGCAGCGGGCAGGGAAGGGCACGGTGGCACCGCTGAGGGTGGCACCAGCCCCGAAGCGAGCTCGGGGTCTTTTTTTCAGGCGCCCCAAACCCCCCCGTGCCGCAGGTTTCGAGCAGCTGGCGCTGCTCCCCAGCTGCTGAGGGGAGGAAGCAGCCGAAATAGCAACAGGATGCGCCCCCAGATAAGGTGATCGATATCAGAAAGCGCAGCTCATTTCGAGTCAGAGCCGAGCCCAGCTGCTGGAACAGGAGATCGGCCCCCGATAGGGGCGGCCCCGGCTTCTCGACACCCCGATTTTTCCTGTCCCCGCTGGTTTTCGGTAGCGCCGTGACGTCCTCGGGGTTTTGGAGGGGTTGGTGTGGGAGGAGGGGGCGGATTTCGGAGCGGGGGAAGGGCAGGAGGGTCCCAGGAGCTGCAGGTTTTGTGGGATGTCCTAAAGGAGGGATTGGGGTGGATCGGGGGGTGTCTGGGTGCTGCTAACGCACCCCAAAAATGCTGGGGGGTAACCGTGATTCCCGGGGTCAGCCAGGCACTGGGGGACAGCTGGGAAAATCCCAGAAGGGGAATTTTTTGGGATGACACCTCCGTGACCCCACAAACCAGCGCAGGCACAGCCGGAGCTCTCCATGGGTGAGGAATTCCAGGGAATGGGCACAGGGCAGCCCCAAACAGCTCCTGCCAGCCCCAATCCCACGGGAAAACCGGGAGCTGTGGCTCCAGGAGTGCCAAAACCTGAGCAGGCATCCCTGGGGACATCCCTGGGGACATCCTCGCCCCTCCTGCTCCAGCACGGCCCAGCCGTGCCCTGCACATTGTCCCCCCTAAACTGTGCCACTGCCACGTGTCACCGGGCCCGGGTGACTCCTCGGCGGCCGAGGGGTGCCAGGGAGCCGTGCCAGCCGTGCCAGCACCTTCAGGGGTTAAAAACCAAAGCGCTGCCAACAAAAGGAGCCGCAAAACCCATCCTGCAGGTCTGCCCGGTTCCCTTCAAGTGCAAACTGCGAGCCCATAAAGCCCGGATTGTCCACCCCAAAACTCCGGATTGTCCATCCTAAAATTCGAGACTGTCCATCCCAAAACCCCGGGTTGTCCATCCCAAAACGCCAGGTAGTCCATCCTAAAATTTCAGACTGTCCATCCTAAAACCCCGGATTGTCCATCCTAAAACTCCAGATTGTCCATCCCAAAAACCTGGACTCTATCCTAAAACCCTGGACTGTCCATCCCAAAATCCCAGATTGTCCATCCCAAAACACTGGACTCTATCCTAAAACCCTGGACTGTCCATCCCAAAATCCCAGATTGTCCATCCCAAAACCCTGGACTCTATCCTAAAACCCTGGACTGTCCATCCCAAAACCCCGGACTGTCCATCCTAAAATTCCAGATTTTCCATTTTAAAACCCCGGACTGTCCATCCCAAAAACCCGGATTTTCCTTCCCAAAATCTGGACTTTCCATCCCCAAATCCCGGACTCTCCACCCCAAATCTCCCGCGGCTCCGGCTGCGCCGTGGCCCGGCCTGGTGGCACCTCCTGATGCCACCCCCTCCCCTGGCATTGTCACCGCATCGCCCTCAGCTCGCTCTGCCGCGTCCTCCAAAGGGCTGAACCTGTTTTTATGGCAGAGCTGGCACAGGGAAAGCTAAAAAAAAAAAAAAAAAAACCAACCCAAAAAAAAGCCTCCCCTGATCTCTGTATCTGCAGCCATGCAAGGAATATTGTTCGGCGCGGCACAAAAGCATCCCTGAAAATAGAAGCGCCGGGGCCAGGCCTGCCAGTGGCTGTGTGAGATAACGTCTACTTGCAAACAGAGCGTCTTTGTGCCGCTGTCACTGTCCCCATTGTTCAGGAGCCTATTGCCTCGGGGATATTGTTCCCTCCTTTTGTCTCAGCCCGGCTCCTTTTTGTTTGACTTTACTTTACCATTTCATTCCTCTCCTTTGTGCCGCCGTTCTTGCTTTTGTCTCTCTCTCTCTCTTTCTCTCTCTGCCTTTTCTCTCGCTGATTTGTATTTAGCGATTGTTCCCCGCTCGCTGCGAGCACAAAGTGTTCCGGGCTCTTTTCTCACTCCATTCATTCCCTATTCAGGTGCGTTTGTTTGCCCGTAGGTGCCGACAGGAGCGGATTTGGGGAGGGATTTGGGGTTTTAGGGGGTCCTGGAAGCCTGCAAAGGGCGTTGGAGGCTGCTGGTGGCCTTTGGGAACAGCCAGGTCCCCGTGTCCCCCATCCCCGCGCCAAAAAAAGGACAAATGAGCCCCCAGGTGGCCCCAGAGCAGCGGCCGAGGATGCTGGCAGGGACACGGGGGTGGCACCGGGGAGGTGACCGGGCCCGGTGCCAGCTGGGCTGATCCCAGAGCGGCTCCGAGCCCATGCCCGACCCTGGATCCGGCGGTGCCGGCTCCCCCAGCCCTGGCTCTGCAGCACGCCCGGATTTTGGGAGCCCCTGGGGGCACAAGGAGAGGTTCCTCGGCCTCTGCCCTGCGGCCGTGCCCTCCCGGAGCGACCCCCGGGGGTGGCACCACCCAGCCCCGTGCCACCCCCGGTGTCCCCAGCCGGGATCCGCCACCCTCGGCTGCTCCCGGGGCCCACGGGGACAGCGGGTGGACCCTCGGGGGTGGCTGGAGGTGGCCTGGGGACATCTGCGGAGCGGCTCAGAGGCTCCCCGGGGTGCCCCGTGCAGGATGGGGGGCTCCCCCTGCCCCCCACGCCCTGCCGGCTGCAGAGCGGGCTCGTTCCCAGCGCCACGGGGAGGAAGAGGAGGAGGAGGAGGGTTCGGATTCCCCAGGAATCCTTCAGGGCGGGCTGACGGAGCGGCCACCCCCGGAGACAACAAAGCCCCGCTGTTCTCCGGGCACGGCCCGCCTGACCCGACGGGACTTTTCCATCCCCCTCCCCGCCACCGAAACGCCGGGAATCCAAGGGAAACCTCCTCCTGCTTTACCGGGAACACCCCACGCGAGCGGGAGAGGCCGCGGGGACCCCCCCAGACTCACCCCGGGAGCGAGGGACGGAGCGGGAGCGGGGGCCAGCGAGCGGCGAGCGCGGCGGCTCTCGGGGCCAGCGGGAGCCCCGGGGCCGCGGGGGGGGCGTGCCTGGGAACGGGGGGAGCGCACTGAGGGCCATTGTCCCATTGTTCGGGCTTCAAAGGACAATGGGCCATTGTTGTCCCCGGGGATGCCATTGTTTGCCTTCCCCGCGGATCCCGGCCGCGCACGGAGCTTTGCCGAGGGCCGGCTCCGTGTGTGGGACGCCGCAGAGCGACGGGGCTGGAATGTTTCCTTCCCCACGCCCCTGCTTTTGCACGGTCGTGCCGTCCTGGAAAGGCTCGGCCCGAGGGGCTGGGACCACCCAGAGACCCCCCAGGGATGGGCTGAGAGCGGGGGGTTCATCCTCCATGCCCCCATCCCTGCGCATTCCAGGCTGAAGGCGCAAACCCGCCTCTGCCTCCAGGCGCATCCAGCCGGCGATATCCCGATTTTCCATCCCGCGGCTCCCCCAGAGCTGCCCCGGCACGGCGGCCTTTGGCTCCCGCAGCCCCGGGAGCAGCTCCCTGGAACCCAAAGAGCGCTCGGGAAGGGACGGCCCGGCCCGGAGCGCTCCTGGAGCGGATTCCCGGGGCTGATTCCTCTGGGAAATTCAGCTGAGGGGCAGAGGAAAGGCTGGGGGAAGGGGAAGGAGCAGAATTCCAGGAACAGGGAAGGGGAAGGAGCAGAATTCCAGAAGCGGAATTCCAGAAGCAGGGAAAGGATCAGAATTCCAGGAGCAAAGTTCCAGCAGCAGGGGAAGGAGCGGAATTCCAGGAGCAGAATTCCAGCCCCTCCTCAGCCCGAGGCGGGCCGGGGGATGGATGGAACAGGGAAGGGACCCGCTGTGCCCAGGGACACCCTCGCTGTGTCAACAGCCGGGAAAGGCAGGAGGAACTCCGGCCGGGAGCGCGGGATGAGCCCCGGGAGAGCTCCGGGATGAATTCCGGGATGAGTCCCGGGATGAGCTCCGGGATGAGCCCCGGGATGAGCTCCGGGATGAGCTCCGGGAGAGCCCCGGGAGAGCTCCAGGATGAACCCCGGGAAAGCTCCGGGATGAGCTCCGGGATGAGCCCCGGGAAAGCTCCGGGATGAGCTCCGGGATGAGCCCCGGGAAAGCTCCGGGATGAGCTCCGGGATGAGCCCCGGGAAAGCTCCGGGATGAGCTCCGGGATGAGCTCCGGGATGAGCTCCGGGATGAGCTCCGGGATGAGCTCCGGGATGAGCTCCGGGATGAGCTCCGGGATGAGCCCCGGGATGAGCCCCGGGATGAGCCCCGGGAGAGCTCCGGGATGAATTCTGGGATGAGCCCCGGGATGAATTCCGGGATGAGCCCCGGGATGAGCCCCGGGAGCGCCCGGGCTGGCGGAGAAGCGGACGCTGTCCCTGCAGGACTCAGCCCGGCCGCGGTTCCTCCCCTCCCCAGGGCTGCGACCACCCTGGGGATGCAGCCCTGGAGCGACCCCAGCCCCGAGCCCCCCGAGCGCAGCCCCGGGGCTGAGCAGCCCCCCAAGGCCGGGCTCAGCCGCTGCGGGGCTTTGTCCCCACGGCCCGCGCGTCCCTGGGGGTCACCCGGCCACCCTGGGGGGGACCCGGCTCTCCAGCCGCCAGCCCGGGGAGGTGGCAGTGGCCGGGGACAGGGGGAGGTGACACAAACCCGGAGAGGTGGCAGTGGCCGGGGACAGGGGGAGGTGACACAAACCCGGAGAGGTGGCAGTGGCCGGGGACAGGGGGAGGTGACACAAACCCGGAGAGGTGGCAGTGGCCGGGGACAGGGGGAGGTGACACAAACCCGGAGAGGTGGCAGTGGCCGGGGACAGGGGGAGGTGACACAAACCCGGAGAGGTGGCAGTGGCCGGGGACAGGGGGAGGTGACACAAACCCGGAGAGGTGGCAGTGGCCGGGGACAGGGGGAGGTGACACAAACCCGGCCCGAGGTCCTTTACCGGTCCCCGGGAGTGATCTGCACACCTGCGGTGACACTGCCACCCTCACTGTCCCCGTTTCCTGTCCCCCTCTGCCCGCCCCTATCTCACCCCGTTATCTCACCCCCCCCATCGGGGCTCGTGGCTGACGGGGCCCCAAAACCGAATTTTGGGGCCCCCGAACGGAACTTTGGGGCCAGCTGTCCCCAAACCCCTCCCTGGGGCCCCGCTGCCGCCCCCCGAGCGGCCCCGGGGGGACAAAAAAGGGTCGGGAAAAGAGGAGCCCCCCGGGAATGCCGGCCCTGCTCCTGCTCCTCCTCCTGATCCGGGAATTCCGGCCGGGATCGCGGAGAGCCGGGATTGGGGTCGGGAATTACAGCCGGGATTGCGGTCAGGAATTGCGGCTGGGACTGGGAACAGCCGAGCCGGGATTGGGGTCGGGAATTCCGACCGGGATTGGGATCGGGAATTCCTGCCGGGATTGGGATCGGGAATTACAGCCGGGATTGGGGACAGCCGAGCCGGGATTGGGGTCGGAAATTCCGACCGGGATTGGGATCGGGAATTCCAGCCGGGATTGGGGACAGCCGAGCCGGGATTGGGGTCGGGAATTCCGACCGGGATTGGGATCGGGAATTACAGCGGGGGTTGGGGACAGCCGAGCCGGGATTGGGGTCGGGAATTCCTGCCGGGATTGGGGTCGGGAATTGCGGCTGGGACTGGGGACAGCCGAGCCGGGATTGGGGTCGGAAATTCCTGCCGGGATTGGGATCGGGAATTGCGGCTGGGATTGGGGACAGCCGAGCCGGGATTGGGGTCGGGAATTCCCGCCGGGATTGGGATCGGGAATTACAGCCGGGATTGGGGACAGCCGAGCCGGGATTGGGATCGGGAATTCCGGCTGGGATTGGGGTCGGGAATTCCGGCTGGGATTGGGATCGGGAATTCCCGCCGGGATCGGGGTCGGGCAGAGCCGGGCCCGCAGCTCCCCCTTCTGTCCGGAGCCCTCCGGAAGATTTTTCCCGTTCTGGCCGGAATTTGGGATGCTCCAGGCAGAATTCCCGCGGAATTCCCGAGGCTTGGGAAAGGAATTCCAGCTGGGAAGGAAAAATCCCCCGGGGGAGGCAGAGCCACGGCTTGGAGGAGGGTGGGATGGGATTTCTTTTGGAAAAAGGGATTTGATTTTGGGATAAAGAGATCAGGTTTGGGGAAAAGAAAAAAAGGATTCTTTGTGGGATAAAGAAGTTTGTTATTGGGGAAAAGGGATTGTTTGGGAAAAGGATTTTTTTGGGGATAATGATATCGGTTTTGGGGGGAAAAAAAAGATTATTTTAGGAATAAGGGATTTTTTGTGGGGAAGAAGGGACTGATCTCAGGAAAAAGGGATTTGGTGTGGGAAGAAGGGATTGGTTATGGGATAAAGGGATTTGTTTGGAGAAATTCAAGATGATTTTTGAGAAGAAGGGACGGATTTTAGGAAGACGGGATTGTTTTTGGGATAAAGGGCTTGGCCTGGGAAAACCTGAACCCCCACAGGAAAAACCCTTGGAATCATTTCCCGCACCCCGAGACTGCAGCCCCAGTTTTATTTTTGTGCAAACCCCGTTTTATTCCCAAAATCCCCCCAGTACAAAAGAGCTCCCGAGGAGCCGGGGCCGCGATCCCGCTCCCGCGGCGTTCCCGGTTTGCCGGTGCCGCTCCCGGCGGGAAGCTGCCCCTAGCTGGAGACGCTCTGCAGGAGGGTGATGTTGTCCCCCTTCAGCATGATCCGCCCTGGAACAGCGGAGCCTGGGCTGGGCACAGCCCCAAAAACGGGATCCCAAAGCTAGGTTCCCATCCCTGATTTTAGGGTCCCATCCCTGATTTTAGGGTCCCAGTCCCGATTTTAGGGTCCCCCCATCTGCAGCCCCCTGCCCTACCCAGCTGCTTCCTGGATTTGCTTTTGGAGTGAATTTCCTCAGCATCGTCCAGCACCAGGTTCATGTACTCATCAAAGCCCTGCAGGAGCAGCACAACCTCACTGGAACCCCAAAAAACCCTAAAAAAACCCCAAAAACACACACACAAAAAAAACCCAAACCCAAAACCACAAAAAACCCACCCAAAATGGTCAAAAAACTGCAAAAAAAACCAATAAAGCCATCCAAAACCCCAAACAAGCTCAAACATCCCCAAAAAACCCAAACCCCTCCAAAACCTCCCAGAAACTCAAAAATCCTCCCCAAACCCCCCAAAAAAACCCAATCCCCCCAAAAGACCCAAAGAAAACCCAACCCCCCCCAAAAAAATCCCACAAAAGACCCCAAAATGCCTCGAACTTCCCCCCAAAAAACAAAACTCAAAAAAACCCAAAACACCCCAAAACCCAAAACACAAAAAACCCCAACCCCCCCAAAAATAGCCCCAAATACAAAACAAAAAAACCTCAAAAAACTCCAAAGAACACTCCCAACCCCCAAAAAAACGCACAAAAAACCCCAAAAAAACCCTGAAAAACCCCCAAAAACCTAAAAAAAAAAAACTAAAAAATCCAAAAAAACCCTAAAGAAGGGGGTGACAGGGGGGACAGGGGGTGACAGGCGTGGTCAGGGGGGGACAAGGGGACAGGGCCAGTGGCACTCACGATGATGCAGCCCTCGATCCTCATGTTCACCTGCTCGTAGAGCCACACCTGGATCCGGGATCTCTGCAGGGAGGGCACCAAAAGGGTCTGGGGGTCCTGAGGGGGGTTTGGGACCACCCCCAGCCCCAAATCAGGGAGGGGCTCCCGGGGGAGGAGCAGGAGGGGCTGCTCTGCGTTTGGGGGCATTCAGTGGAGAGAAATGGGGTTTAAATTTGGTTGAAATGGGATTGAAATGGAAAGAAATGGGGTTAAAAGGGGTTTAATGGGGTTAAAATGGGGTTAAATGGGGTTTAAATGGAAAGAAATGGGGTTTAATGGGGTTTTAATGGGGTTTAAATGGAACAAATGTGCTTGAAGTGGGGTTGAAAGAAATGGGGTTTACATCGGGTTAAAGTAGGGTTGAAATGGTTTAAAATAGATTTAGATGAGTTTAAATGGAAAGAAATGGGGTTAAAAGGGGTTTTAATGGGGTTTAAATGGAACAAATGTGCTTGAAGTGGGGTTGAAATTGAAAGAAATGGGGTTTAAGTGGGGTTAAATGGGGTTTTGGGAAGGAATTGCTCTCTGGGAGGGGCTGGGATGGAATTCCCAGAGGAGCTGAGGCTGCTCCATCCCTGGGAGTGTCCCAGGCTGGGTTGGACAGTGGATCAAAGGGGTAAAATGGGTAAAATAAATCAAATTACAGCCTGGGATGGGGGGAGGGGTCCCTGCCCCTGGCACTGGGTGATCCCTCCCATCCCAACCCATTCCAGGATTCCCTGGGCTGCTTTGGGTGGGAAAAATCCTTCCCTGCATTTATAAATGGATTAAAAATCCCCCTTCCCTGGATTAAAAAAAATCCCAGTTTCAGGACTCCTGACTCATTCCCAGCTTGCAAATTCCCACAGGATCCGTGGCTGCCCCATCCCTGGGAGTGCCCTAGGCCAGCTTGGAGAGTGGATAAAATGGATAAAAAGGATCAAATTGATGAAATGGCAGCATGGGATGGTGGGAGGTGTCCCTGCCCATGGCACTGGATGATCCCTCCCATCCCAACCCATTCCAGCATTCCCTGGGCTGCTTTGGGTGGGATATTGGGAATAAATCCCTCCCTGGAATTCCCAGGGAATCCGTGGCTGCCCCTGGATCCCTGGGAGCCCCCAAGGCTGGATGGGGTTTGGAGCACCCTGGGACCACGGGCTGGGAATGGGATGATCCTTAGGATCTTCCAACCCAAACCATTCCAGGATTCCGTTAAAAATCCCAATTTCAGTACTCCAGGCTCATTCCCAGCCTGCAAATTCCCAGAGAATCCGCGGCTGCCGCATCCCCGCGGGCCCGGGCCGGGCTGCAGCAGCCTGCGGCGGGGAAGGCGTCGCTGCCCGCGGGCACTCACGTTCTGCAGGTAGCGGAAGATCAGGTTCTGGAGCCGAGCGTTAAGGACAGAGCCGAGCAGCCGGGACCGCCGCCCCTGAGGGGAGCCCGCCCGCCCCGCTCCCTTCCCTCCCCGCGCTCCCCCTGCGCCCTGAGGGCCGGCGGCAGGATACGATGGGCTGCACCATCACCTTCTGCACCTTCTGGCCCTGCCCGCGGTACGCCATGGCTGCGGGGCGCGGAGAGAGAGCGGCGGGACGGAGCGGCTCCGCGCGGGGCACTGTGGGATAGCGGCGGTGTGAGGGGAAGGGGAGCGCGGGGCACTGTGGGATAGCGGCGGTGTGAGGGGAAAGGGAGCGCGGGGCACTGTGGGATAGCGGCGGTGTGAGGGGAATGGAGGAGCGCGGGGCACTGTGGGATAGCGGCGGTGTGAGGGCAGTTGTATTTTTTTACCTTTTTAATCATTATTTTTAGGATTTTTTTGTTGCTGTTAGTAGGGGATTTTCTTGCTCGTATTAGGTGTTTTTTTTTTTTTTTTTTTGCTATTACTTTATTTGGTATTATTTATTTTATTTATAAATTCCCTAAAAATGTTCCCCTGGCTCAGAGCTACAGCAGAGCTGTGCCCTAAAACACCCAGCTCTAAAATAAAGTGATTTTTGCGCTCTTACAGCGCCGGAGCTTTCCTGTTCATTTATCCCTCAAGGTCACAAAGACCTGAAAAGCCAAAAAAAATCCCAAAACATCTCCCACGTTCCCTCTCCTCCTGTCCCTGTTCCCTGGGATGAGATCCCAAATCCCCCCCGGCTGTCCCCTCCTGGCAGGGAGTTGTGCAGAGCCACAAATTCCCCCTGAGCCTCCTTTGCTCCAGGCTGAGCCCCTTCCCAGCTCCCTCAGGACTCTCCAAACCCTTCCCAGCTCCCTCAGGACCCTCCAAACCCTTCCAGCTCCCTCAGGATTTTCCAAATCCTTTCCCAGCTCCCTCAGGATTTTCCAAACCTTTCCCATTTCCCTCAAGATTTCCACCAAACCCTTCCCAGCCCCCTCAGGATTTTCCAGCCCCTCTCCTGTGCCTCATTAATTCCCAATTAACACTCAGCATTCCCGAGCTGTTTGACACCATTCCTTAGAAAAACACCCCACAAACACGGCAGTGAGCAGCCTACCTTTAATCCCTTAAATAGAATCATACAAATATAAAATGGAAGAATAAAATATTTACAGAAAAAAAAAACCCAAAAAACAATCCCAAAACAAAATGAAAAAACAAACCCCAGGGGGATTCCAGGCAATCCCATCTCCAAGGGGCTGGAAAGGAGGGAAGCAGCCAAGGGGGAACATTCCAGGTGTTGTTTTTTTTTTTTACCCCCTTCCCAGCTGGATGTGGGAGAAATCCTGCAGGGAGAACTCCTCAGAACGCAGAGGCACTTGAAGCAATGCTCCCTTCCCCCCAATTCCAGGAGGAATTTTGCTTTCCCCCGTGGCAGGATCCCAGGAAAAAAAACCAATCCCCCAGATCAGCCCGAGCCAGGCTCACCCTGGCAGGCTTTGGTCCAAAATCCTGCCTCAGATTTCCCCTCTTTTCCCCGAATTCCCCCCAAACTCGAGTCCATCCGTGGCTTCCAGAGTTGACACAGTAACTCCAGGCTTTTTTGGGATTCTCAGTCCAGGAGGGAGCTCTGGAGATGGGATCCGGGCCCCTCGGGGCGCTCCAAGCGCTCGCTCCTGTGCCGGGGGGAGGAGCGCCGGGATTTTGGGATAACTGAGAGCAGACTCTGCCTAATCCTAACAAGCCAGCTGTGCTTGCAGCTGGCCAAGGATCTCCTCCACGGATCCAACGACATTTACAGGATTTCTGTGGGATGTGAGGAGGAAATTTTGCTTTTTCAGGGTTTTTTGTTTTTTTTTGGTGTCGCGTCTTTTTTTCCTGGGCGTTTTTGTTGTTTTTTTTTTTTTCCAAAACCTCCCCTCTCAGCTGTCAATCATCTCTGACAGTTCCAGCAGGAGATCATCCTCGTCCTTCCCTGGATCCAGGTCGATTTCTGCCTCCAGTTTTCCCCCAGAGATCTCCCAGATGAGCTTCTCGAAGTCGTCCTCCACCGAGAGCGCGGCCTTGGCGCCGGCCGAGCTCAGGCGCCGCAGCTTCAGGGGAGCCTCCAGGGAGGAGGAGGAGGAGGAGGAGGAAGATCCAGACCCCTCCGAGTGTGCCAGGGAATGGCCCTGGCTGCCAGGCTGCAGCTCGGGGCTGGGCAGAGCAGAGAAGGCACGAGTCAGCGGGGAGAGCCCGAGGGGGCTGGGGCTGGACAGGGGATTGGGGAGGGCTGGGGTCGGGTTTGGGGGGTCCTGGACTGGTTTTCAGACATGTGCTCTTCCGATCTTGGGGAGGGCTGGGGTCGGGGTTGGGGGGTCCTGGACTGGTTTTGGAAGGGTTGGGATTGGGTTTGGGAAGTCTTGGATTGGGTTTGGGGGGCTGGGGTTGGATTTGGGGGGGTTGGGATTAGTTTTAGGAAGTTCTGGATTGAGTTTGGAGAGTCCTGGATTGGTCTGGGGGGGTTGGGATTGGATTTGTTTTGGGGGGCTGGGGTTGGTTTTCGGAAGTTCAGGATCACTTTTGGGGCTCTGGATCAGTTTTTGGGGAGTCCAGGATCAGTTTTTGGAGGGTCCAGGATCAGTTTTTGGGGAGTCCAGGATCAGTTTTTGGGGAGTCCAGGATCAGTTTTTGGGAAGTCCAGGATCAGTTTTTGGGAAGTCCAGGATCAGTTTTTGGGGGGTCCAGGATCAGTTTTGGGAAGTCCAGGATCAGTTTTTGGAGGGTCCAGGATCAGTTTTGGGGGGGTCCAGGATCAGTTTTTGGGGTGCCCAAGTGCAGCATTTGTAGAACCCCAGAGCAGCTCAGCTGCACAGACATTAATTGCAATTAAGGGCTCCCCTGTAGGATTTTGGGATTTCCCCCACCCCACATCCCATCCCTGGGGCAGGAGGAGAAGGGAATTTGGGATTTGGGATTGGGATTACCTGCCCTGGGAATTCTCCCTCCGAGGGTTGGAGCCCGGGCTGTCCTCTGGAGAAGGGGGAACAACCTGACAGTGAGGAGCAGGACAAGTTTTAGGATCTAAAATATCCCAAATTTTTCCTCTTCTGCTTCACCTGAAGCAGGACATTCCAGAAATGAGGAATTTGGGGTTTTTTTAAAAGGAATTTCTGCCTTGGAAAGGACAAAATATTCCCGAATCCCAGCAGGGAATTCTGGAGAACCTGAGAATTTTTAGGATCTAAAAAATCCCAAATTTTAGGAGATTCTTCCTTTTTTGTTTCACCTGAAGCAGAGCATTCCAGAAATGAGGAATTTGGGGTTTTTTTTAAGGAATTTTTGCCTTGGAAAAGACAAAATATCCCCAAATCCCAGCAGGGAATTCTGGAGATGCCTCCAAAGCAGCAATGTGCTGCCCCTGAGAGTTCTGGGGTGAAAAGGGCCGGGACAGATGGAGAAAATTTCAGTTTTCCAGGATTATTTTGGGAATTTGGGGGGATCTGGGGCCTCACCTTGGCTGGGGGCTCCTGGGTGTCCCCGCTGGTGGCACTGAGTGGCTTCACTGCCACCACAGCAGGGGCGTCGCCCTCGGGGCCCTTCCTCTTCAGGGGCTGCTTGGGAGGGGCTTTGGCATCCAGGGGCTTCAGGCACACCTTGGATTTGGCTGGGATGGAGGGAAAAGGGAAAAGGAGGGGAAATTTATCCATCAAACCCCTTCCTTCAGCAATCAGATCCCTTCCTTTATCAATCAAACCCCTTTACCAATCAAACCCCTTTACCAATCAAACCCCTTTACCAATCAAACCCCTTTATCAAGCCCCCACCTCTTTATGAAGCCTCTCCTCTCGGGCAGCTGAGCTCCCAAAATCCCAACCCCACCTGGAACATTCCCATAAATCCCAACCGCACACTGAGCATTCCCACAAACCCCAATCCCAAAATGAGCATTCCCACAAACCCCAACCCCAGAATATTCCCACAAATCCCACACAGAACACTCCCACAAACCCCAGTCCCAGAGCATTCCCCTAAACCCCAAGCCCAGAACATTCCCACCAATCCAAACCCCAGAACATTCCCAGGAACCCCCATCCCCAGACCATTCCCACAAACCCCACACAGACCATTCCCCTAAACCCCAACCCCACAAAGAACATTCCCACAAAACCCACAGAGAACACAAAACATTCCCAACCCCACACTGACCATTTCCCTAAACCCCAACCCCACCCAGAACATTCCCAGGAACCCCCAGCCCCACACAGCCCATTCCCACAAACCCCAGCCCCAGAGCATTCCCACAAAGACCATTCCCAAACCCCACCCAACCCCACACAGATCATTCCCAACCCCAGACCATCCCCTAAACCCCAGCCCCAAAACATCCCCACAAATCCAAACCCCTGAACATTCCCAGGAACCCTCAGTCCCAGACCATTCCCACAGACCATTCCCTAAACCCCAACCCCACACAGACCATTCCCCTAAACCCCAACCCCACCCAGAACATTCCCAACCCCACCCAGAACATTCCCAGGAACCCCCAGCCCCTTCCCACACCCCAGCCCCACCTCTGCACACAGAACATTCCCAACCCCACACAGAACATTCCCACCCCCAGACCATCCCCTAAATCCCAACCCCACCCAGCCCATTCCCACAAACCCCAACTCCACCCAGAACATTCCCAGGAACCCCCAGCCCCTTCCCACACCCCAGCCCCACCTCTGCCTCTCCTCTCGGGCAGCTGAGCTCCCCCCCAGCCCCAGAACATTCCCACAAACCATTCCCCTAAACCCCAACCCCACACATTACATTCCCAACCCCACCCAGCCCATTCCCTAAACCCCAACCCCACCCAGAACATTCCCAGGAACCCCCAGCCCCAGCCCATTCCCACAAACCCCACACAGACCATTCCCCTAAACCCCAACCCCACCCAGAACATTCCCAACCCCACCCAGAACATTCCCAGGAACCCCCAGCCCCTTCCCACACCCCAGCCCCACCTCTGCCTCTCCTCTCGGGCAGCTGAGCTCCCTTTTTCCCCGGCTCCTTCTCTGGGGTTCCCACTCCATCCTCGGCGGGTTTTCCCCCTCTCCTCCTGCCCAGCTGGGCTGGCCCCACAGCAGCCTCGGGGCTCCCTGATCCTGGCGTTTTTTCCTGGTTTTTATCCTGGATTTTTTCCTGGTTTTCAGCTGGAATTGCCCCAGCTCCCTGCTGCAGTTTCTCCTCCTGCCGTTGTTTCTGCTGCCGTTTCTCCCACATGATTTCCTCCAGGCTCTTCACCTGAATTCCAGAATTCCCTGAATTCTGACAGGGGAAAAACACACCAAGAGGGTTCTTAGGGGAAAAATCTAGGGATAAAAACCTCTGGAAATGTCAGGGACTGATCAGAAATGGGAGGGACTGATCAGAAATGTGAAATGTTTTGTCACAAACGTGTTCAGCCTCACCTCAGCAGGGGCAGAGCCATTTTTGGGGGAAGGTTTGTTCAGCTCCACGATCATTTTTTCTTCTCTTCCAGGTGCTTTAAACCAAGGAAAACATCCAAAAATTGGTTTTTTGTTTTCTTGGGGGGGTTATTTGCCTATTTGTATTAACAGGAAGCAATTCCTGCAGGATTTTCTCTCTCCTTCAGTCCCACCACGGTGTATTATTATTATTAATGCTCAGAAATTGATAAATCCTTCCCAAACAATATTCCAGAGGGGAATAGGATGGATTCCAGTACACAAATCCAGGGCAGAAAAAAAAGAGGGAAGCTGCATCACAATTCCCAGGGGAAAGCAGAATTCCCAAGGAGGAGCTCAACTCCCGGGGCGGAGCACAATTCCCAAAGACAATCAGAACTCTCAAGAACAATCAGAATTCCCAGGTGCAAAGCGGAATTCCCAAGGACAATCCCAACCCCCACAGACAATCCCAATCCCCAAGGGCAATCCCAATTCCCAGGAGAATCAGAATTTCCAAGAACAATCAGAATTCCCAGGTGGAAAGCAGAATTCTGAAGGAGGAGCAGAATTCACAAGGACAATCCCAATCCCAACCCCCAGGGCCAACCCCAACCCCCGAGGACAATCCCAACCCCAGGTGGAAAGCAGAATGCTCAAGGAGAAGCAGAATTCCCAGGGCCAATCCCAATCCCAATCCCAGGGCCCCAAACCCCCGAGGACAATCCCAATCCCAATCCCAACCCCAGGGCCAATCCCAAATCCCAGGGCCAATCCCAACCCTTGAGGACAATCCCAACCCTAGGTGGAAAGCAGAATGCTCAAGGAGAAGCAGAATTCCCAGGGCCAATCCCAACCCCCAGGGCCAATCCCAATCCCAATCCCAGGGCCAATCCCAACCCCAGGGCCGATCCCAAACCCTGAGGACAATCCCAACCCCAAATCCCAAAGCCAATCCCAACCCCTGAGGACAATCCCAACTCTAATCCCCAGGGCCCATCCCAACCCCTGAGGACAATCCCAATCCCAATCCCCAGGGCCAATCCCAACCCCTGAGGACAGGGCCCATCCCGACCCCCAGGGCCAATCCCAACCCCTGAGGACAATCCCAACCCCAGGGCCGATCCCAACCCCAAATCCCAAAGCCAGTCCCAACCCCTGAGGACAATCCCAGTCCCAATCCCAGGGCCAATCCCAATCCCAACCCCTGAGGCCAATCCCAACCCCAACCCCTGAGGACAATCCCAGTCCCAATCCCAGGGCCAATCCCAATCCCAACCCCTGAGGCCAATCCCAACCCCAACCCCTGAGGACAATCCCAGTCCCAATCCCAGGGCCAATCCCAATCCCAACCCCTGAGGCCAATCCCAACCCCAACCCCTGAGGACAATCCCAGTCCCAATCCCAGGGCCAATCCCAATCCCAACCCCTGAGGCCAATCCCAACCCCAACCCCTGAGGACAATCCCAGTCCCAATCCCAGGGCCAATCCCAATCCCAACCCCTGAGGCCAATCCCAACCCCAACCCCTGAGGACAATCCCAGTCCCAATCCCAGGGCCAATCCCAATCCCAACCCCTGAGGCCAATCCCAACCCCAACCCCTGAGGACAATCCCAGTCCCAATCCCAGGGCCAATCCCAATCCCAACCCCTGAGGCCAATCCCAACCCCAACCCCTGAGGACAATCCCAGTCCCAATCCCAGGGCCAATCCCAATCCCAACCCCTGAGGCCAATCCCAACCCCAACCCCTGAGGACAATCCCAGTCCCAATCCCAGGGCCAATCCCAATCCCAACCCCTGAGGCCAATCCCAACCCCAACCCCTGAGGACAATCCCAGTCCCAATCCCAGGGCCAATCCCAATCCCAACCCCTGAGGCCAATCCCAACCCCAACCCCTGAGGACAATCCCAGTCCCAATCCCAGGGCCAATCCCAATCCCAACCCCTGAGGCCAATCCCAACCCCAACCCCTGAGGACAATCCCAGTCCCAATCCCAGGGCCAATCCCAATCCCAACCCCTGAGGCCAATCCCAACCCCAACCCCTGAGGACAATCCCAGTCCCAATCCCAGGGCCAATCCCAATCCCAACCCCTGAGGCCAATCCCAACCCCAACCCCTGAGGACAATCCCAGTCCCAATCCCAGGGCCAATCCCAATCCCAACCCCTGAGGCCAATCCCAACCCCAACCCCTGAGGACAATCCCAGTCCCAATCCCAGGGCCAATCCCAATCCCAACCCCTGAGGCCAATCCCAACCCCAACCCCTGAGGACAATCCCAGTCCCAATCCCAGGGCCAATCCCAATCCCAACCCCTGAGGCCAATCCCAACCCCAACCCCTGAGGACAATCCCAGTCCCAATCCCAGGGCCAATCCCAATCCCAACCCCTGAGGCCAATCCCAACCCCAACCCCTGAGGACAATCCCAGTCCCAATCCCAGGGCCAATCCCAATCCCAACCCCTGAGGCCAATCCCAACCCCAACCCCTGAGGACAATCCCAGTCCCAATCCCAGGGCCAATCCCAATCCCAACCCCTGAGGCCAATCCCAACCCCAACCCCTGAGGACAATCCCAGTCCCAATCCCAGGGCCAATCCCAATCCCAACCCCTGAGGCCAATCCCAACCCCAACCCCTGAGGACAATCCCAGTCCCAATCCCAGGGCCAATCCCAATCCCAACCCCTGAGGCCAATCCCAACCCCAACCCCTGAGGACAATCCCAGTCCCAATCCCAGGGCCAATCCCAATCCCAACCCCTGAGGCCAATCCCAACCCCAACCCCTGAGGACAATCCCAGTCCCAATCCCAGGGCCAATCCCAATCCCAACCCCTGAGGCCAATCCCAACCCCAACCCCTGAGGACAATCCCAGTCCCAATCCCAGGGCCAATCCCAATCCCAACCCCTGAGGCCAATCCCAACCCCAACCCCTGAGGACAATCCCAGTCCCAATCCCAGGGCCAATCCCAATCCCAACCCCTGAGGCCAATCCCAACCCCAACCCCTGAGGACAATCCCAGTCCCAATCCCAGGGCCAATCCCAATCCCAACCCCTGAGGCCAATCCCAACCCCAACCCCTGAGGACAATCCCAGTCCCAATCCCAGGGCCAATCCCAATCCCAACCCCTGAGGCCAATCCCAACCCCAACCCCTGAGGACAATCCCAGTCCCAATCCCAGGGCCAATCCCAATCCCAACCCCTGAGGCCAATCCCAACCCCAACCCCTGAGGACAATCCCAGTCCCAATCCCAGGGCCAATCCCAATCCCAACCCCTGAGGCCAATCCCAACCCCAACCCCTGAGGACAATCCCAGTCCCAATCCCAGGGCCAATCCCAATCCCAACCCCTGAGGCCAATCCCAACCCCAACCCCTGAGGACAATCCCAGTCCCAATCCCAGGGCCAATCCCAATCCCAACCCCTGAGGCCAATCCCAACCCCAACCCCTGAGGACAATCCCAGTCCCAATCCCAGGGCCAATCCCAATCCCAACCCCTGAGGCCAATCCCAACCCCAACCCCTGAGGACAATCCCAGTCCCAATCCCAGGGCCAATCCCAATCCCAACCCCTGAGGCCAATCCCAACCCCAACCCCTGAGGACAATCCCAGTCCCAATCCCAGGGCCAATCCCAATCCCAACCCCTGAGGCCAATCCCAACCCCAACCCCTGAGGACAATCCCAGTCCCAATCCCAGGGCCAATCCCAATCCCAACCCCTGAGGCCAATCCCAACCCCAACCCCTGAGGACAATCCCAGTCCCAATCCCAGGGCCAATCCCAATCCCAACCCCTGAGGCCAATCCCAACCCCAACCCCTGAGGACAATCCCAGTCCCAATCCCAGGGCCAATCCCAATCCCAACCCCTGAGGCCAATCCCAACCCCAACCCCTGAGGACAATCCCAGTCCCAATCCCAGGGCCAATCCCAATCCCAACCCCTGAGGCCAATCCCAACCCCAACCCCTGAGGACAATCCCAGTCCCAATCCCAGGGCCAATCCCAATCCCAACCCCTGAGGCCAATCCCAACCCCAACCCCTGAGGACAATCCCAGTCCCAATCCCAGGGCCAATCCCAATCCCAACCCCTGAGGCCAATCCCAACCCCAACCCCTGAGGACAATCCCAGTCCCAATCCCAGGGCCAATCCCAATCCCAACCCCTGAGGCCAATCCCAACCCCAACCCCTGAGGACAATCCCAGTCCCAATCCCAGGGCCAATCCCAATCCCAACCCCTGAGGCCAATCCCAACCCCAACCCCTGAGGACAATCCCAGTCCCAATCCCAGGGCCAATCCCAATCCCAACCCCTGAGGCCAATCCCAACCCCAACCCCTGAGGACAATCCCAGTCCCAATCCCAGGGCCAATCCCAATCCCAACCCCTGAGGCCAATCCCAACCCCAACCCCTGAGGACAATCCCAGTCCCAATCCCAGGGCCAATCCCAATCCCAACCCCTGAGGCCAATCCCAACCCCAACCCCTGAGGACAATCCCAGTCCCAATCCCAGGGCCAATCCCAATCCCAACCCCTGAGGCCAATCCCAACCCCAACCCCTGAGGACAATCCCAGTCCCAATCCCAGGGCCAATCCCAATCCCAACCCCTGAGGCCAATCCCAACCCCAACCCCTGAGGACAATCCCAGTCCCAATCCCAGGGCCAATCCCAATCCCAACCCCTGAGGCCAATCCCAACCCCAACCCCTGAGGACAATCCCAGTCCCAATCCCAGGGCCAATCCCAATCCCAACCCCTGAGGCCAATCCCAACCCCAACCCCTGAGGACAATCCCAGTCCCAATCCCAGGGCCAATCCCAATCCCAACCCCTGAGGCCAATCCCAACCCCAACCCCTGAGGACAATCCCAGTCCCAATCCCAGGGCCAATCCCAATCCCAACCCCTGAGGCCAATCCCAACCCCAACCCCTGAGGACAATCCCAGTCCCAATCCCAGGGCCAATCCCAATCCCAACCCCTGAGGCCAATCCCAACCCCAACCCCTGAGGACAATCCCAGTCCCAATCCCAGGGCCAATCCCAATCCCAACCCCTGAGGCCAATCCCAACCCCAACCCCTGAGGACAATCCCAGTCCCAATCCCAGGGCCAATCCCAATCCCAACCCCTGAGGCCAATCCCAACCCCAACCCCTGAGGACAATCCCAGTCCCAATCCCAGGGCCAATCCCAATCCCAACCCCTGAGGCCAATCCCAACCCCAACCCCTGAGGACAATCCCAGTCCCAATCCCAGGGCCAATCCCAATCCCAACCCCTGAGGCCAATCCCAACCCCAACCCCTGAGGACAATCCCAGTCCCAATCCCAGGGCCAATCCCAATCCCAACCCCTGAGGCCAATCCCAACCCCAACCCCTGAGGACAATCCCAGTCCCAATCCCAGGGCCAATCCCAATCCCAACCCCTGAGGCCAATCCCAACCCCAACCCCTGAGGACAATCCCAGTCCCAATCCCAGGGCCAATCCCAATCCCAACCCCTGAGGCCAATCCCAACCCCAACCCCTGAGGACAATCCCAGTCCCAATCCCAGGGCCAATCCCAATCCCAACCCCTGAGGCCAATCCCAACCCCAACCCCTGAGGACAATCCCAGTCCCAATCCCAGGGCCAATCCCAATCCCAACCCCTGAGGCCAATCCCAACCCCAACCCCTGAGGACAATCCCAGTCCCAATCCCAGGGCCAATCCCAATCCCAACCCCTGAGGCCAATCCCAACCCCAACCCCTGAGGACAATCCCAGTCCCAATCCCAGGGCCAATCCCAATCCCAACCCCTGAGGCCAATCCCAACCCCAACCCCTGAGGACAATCCCAGTCCCAATCCCAGGGCCAATCCCAATCCCAACCCCTGAGGCCAATCCCAACCCCAACCCCTGAGGACAATCCCAGTCCCAATCCCAGGGCCAATCCCAATCCCAACCCCTGAGGCCAATCCCAACCCCAACCCCTGAGGACAATCCCAGTCCCAATCCCAGGGCCAATCCCAATCCCAACCCCTGAGGCCAATCCCAACCCCAACCCCTGAGGACAATCCCAGTCCCAATCCCAGGGCCAATCCCAATCCCAACCCCTGAGGCCAATCCCAACCCCAGGGCCGATCCCAAACCCTGAGGACAATCCCAACCCCAAATCCCAAAGCCAATCCCAACCCCCAGGGCCAATCCCAATCCCAATCCCAGGGCCAATCCCAACCCCTGAGGACAATCCCAACCCCAAATCCCAAAGCCAGTCCCAACCCCTGAGGACAATCCCAACTCTAATCCCCAGGGCCCATCCCAACCCCTGAGGACAATCCCAATCCCAATCCCAAACCCAGGAATCCCTCTCACCCAGCAGCTTGGTGACCCTGAGCAGTTTCCTGCCCCTCAGGGCAGCCTCAGGCGGGGCAGCAGCAGCAGGAAGGTTCTCCCCGCTCTGCTGCAGCCTCAGCGCCTTCTCCCTCTTGATCTCCTCCAGGGTTTTGATCCGAACTTCTCCAGCTCCTTTGGCTCTTCCAGCCTCTGCCAGCTGCACCCTGCCTGCCCCAGCTGGAGCAGGAATGTTCTGTTTCCTGGGATCTGCCTCACTTTTGGCCCTGCTGCTGAATTCCTCGGGTTTTTCCTTCTCCTCTCCCAGCCTCTTGTGGTTTTTTTCCACCAGGGCTCCAGTCAGGGATTTGCTGCGGGCAGCAGGGGAAGGTTTTGCTCCTGAATTTGGATCTTCACTTTTCCTTCCTTCTCCTGGCATTTTGGCTGGGGGTTCTCCTCTCCTCTGGTTGGCTCTCTCCAGGCGGATTTCCTCCAGGGTTTTCACCCGGATCTCCTCGATGGGTTTGGCAGCTTTGTCTGAAAAATCCAACCCAGGAATGAAAGAGATCCAGGAGGGGGAAAAGCCTCCAGAACTGCTCCCAGCACTGAGGGAATTTGGGATTGAGGGCTCTCAGTGCTCCTTGGGCTGGGAGGACTTTGAGGATGATCCAGGGACACTTTCCCTGTGCCAGGCTGCTCCAACCCAGCCTGGGACACTCCAGGGATGGGGCAGCCACAGATTCTCTGGGAATGAGCCTGGAGTGCTGAAAATGGGATTTTTTTATGGAATCCTGGAATGGTTTGGGTTGGAAGATCCTAAGGATCATCCCATTCCCAGCCCGTGGTCCCAGTGTGCTCCAAACCCCCCCCAGCCTTGGGGGCTCCCAGGGATCCAGGGGCAGCCACGAATTCCCTGGGAATTCCAGGGAGGGATTTATTCCCAATATCCCACCCAAAGCAGCCCAGGGAATGCTGGAATGGCAGGGATCATCCAGTGCCACGGGCAGGGACACCTCCCACCATCCCATGCTGCCATTTTACCTGTTTTACCCATTTTTTTCCATTTTTTCCACTCTCCAAGCTGGCCTGGGACACTCCCAGGGATGGAGCAGCCACAGCTCCTCTGGGAATTCCATCCCAGCCCCTCTCCACCCTCCCAGGAAAGGATTCATTCCCAAAATCCCATCCAGCCCCATCACTCTGCAGCCATTCTCATCCTGTGCCTCCATTCCTTGGGAATCTTCCCTTTCCATCTTTCCTTCAGGCCACAACGAGATCACCCCAAAATTCCTCCTCTTCAGGCTGAACAATCCCAATTCCCTGAACAATTAAATTCCTCCCCCTCCTTTAAACCACCTGGGTTTGGAAAATCAGAGCCAGGTATCCTTTAAAATTAACAAATTCATGGGAGTTCTTGGGAAGAAAAAAACTAAAAACAAAACAAAAAAAAAAGAAGAAGAAATATTTCAAATGCAATTTTTACCTGTCTCAGTGCTGCTCTGCTCAGAGGGCAGCCCCAGCCTCTCCTTCAGGGACTTCAGGACTTGAACTAAAAAAAACAAGAGGAAAAGTTGAAAAAAGTGGCAAAAATCCCAGTTTTGGGTGGGGAATGAGACAGGAGAGCACCTCAGTGGGACTCAGAGTGACCTTGACCCCCCAACCAAAAATAAACAGGAGAAGAAAGGAGGAACAGAAAATCCCAAAGGGAAAAGCTTGGACAGAAAATCCCAAAGGGAAAAGCTTGGACAGAAAATCCCAAAGGAAAAAGCTTGGACAGAAAATCCCAAAGGGAAAATCCCAAGCAGAAAAGGTGGACAGAGAATCCCAAGCAGAAAATCCCAAAGGGAAAAGCTTGGACAGAAAATCCCAAAGGGAAAAGCCAGACACAAAATCCCAAAGGGAAAAGCTTGGACAGAAAATCCCAAAGGGAAAAGCTGGACAGAAAATCCCAAAGGGAAAAGCTTGGACAGAAAATCCCAAAGGGAAAAGCTTGGACAGAAAATCCCAAAGGGAAAAGCTTGGACAGAAATCCCAAAGGGAAAAGCTTGGACAGAAAATCCCAAAGGGAAAAGCTTGGACAGAAAATCCCAAAGGGAAAAGCTTGGACAGAAAATCCCAAAGGGAAAAAAGCTGGACAGAAAATCCCAAAGGGAAAAGCTTGGACAGAAAATCCCAAAGGGAAAAGCTTGGACAGAAAATCCCAAAGGGAAAAGCTTGGACAGAAAACCCCAAAGGGAAAATCCCAAGCAGAAAAGCCAGACAGAGAATCCCAAGCAGAAAATCCAAAGGGAAAAGCTGGACAGAAAATCCCACCAGAACAGCTGGACACGAATTCCAGCTGGGAAATCCAGGTGCTTTTGGTACCTGTGCCTCTTTTTGGGGCCTTTTCAGAGTTTTCCTGCAGCTCTGCCTTCCTCCCCAGCCTGTCAGCAACGTTCCTCCTCAGGGGAAGGAAAGTTTTTCCACCTTCAAAAAGACACAAAATGAGAAATTATTTCAGAATATTCCTCTGCAGGAGCCTGGATCCTCCCAGATGAATTTGGAATGGTTTTGGTTTTTAGGTGCTGAGAGAATTTGCTGGTTTTGATGTAAATATTTCACAAAAAGCTCTCACCCATGATGGTTTTCCTTTTCCCCAGTCTGTCAGGAAGATTCAGTTGGATCACAGGGTCCTCCCCTAAAATAAAGAACAATCCTTTCAGTGCATCAAAAAATTCCCTTATCCCAAAAAAATGCCATTTCCTGGCTGCCAAAGCACAGGAATTAAAGGACTGGGATGGAAATTGGTTTTAATGATAAAACTTCCAGAGTTTTAATCCAAAGCCAGCAGCTACAAAAATTCCCAACTTTTCCAACACAACCTTTAAAACTCAAACCAGGAAAAGCAGCAGTGCATCTCAGGATTATTAGGATAATTATCCTAATGATCAGTGATGAGATTTAGGGGCTGTGGGATGGGAATTTTGGGATTTGGGATTACCTTCCTTGGAGGAAAGGGTCACAGTTCTCAGCACTGTCCTGACATTTTCCTTCTCTGGCACAGGAATGCTCCGGGCTTGGAGAGGATCCACAGCCACTCCTGAAGGACCTTCTGCATGGAAAAACATGGAAAAATCAGGATATTTAGGAATTTTCACTGGAATTTCAGGCAGGAAAACCAGCTGCCACATGCCAGTGTAGCCCCTCTTAAAAAAAAAAAAGGGAGTTTTTCCTTGCAGGATCTCCCAAATTGCAAAGAAAATTAATTCCTTTGCAAATTATCCAAGGAAAATCAGGATTAAAGTCAAGAATGAACAGAAGGAGGAGGATAAGAAAGGATTTTAGGGATATTAACTCACCACCTTGTTTTTTGGCTTTTTCCTTGAGTTTCTTCAGTTTGATCTCTTCCAAGGTTTTTATTCCAAAATTTAAGTTGTCATCTGGAAGCACAGAATAGTTCAGGAAATTGGGGTGAATCCTTCCCAGAATATTGGGAATAAACCCTCCCAACACTCCCCAGGAGTTTAAATCCCCAGAACAGGTGGGATTTTGGAAAACTGGCAGCTGTTTTCAGCCTCCAAGGGAAAATCCACAGTTCTGAGCACGAAGTCATGGAGAGGGATTAAAGATTCCTGAATTCCTTGAACCTGGATTTCCACAATGCCTGAAGGGACATTTCCAAACATTCAAAACTCCACTTTTAACTTCATCTCAACTCCACTTAAAACTCCATTTTTACTCTTTAAAATTCCATTTTTAACTCTTTCAGCTCCACTTAAACCCCTCTCAACCCCCCCAAACTCCACTTTTACTCCATTTTGTCCCACAAATCCAAACCAGGAGGCTTTTCCCTGCTTAGGTGGGAATGAACTCCTGGATTCCACTCAGCATCCCTGGGCTCTGTTTTACTTCAGGAATATTTTGCTGCTGAAGGTGGAATTGTCCCCCTTGGAATACCTTGCTTTGCACTGGGATTGGATTTCCTGGTGGAAATCACCCTCAGGCCATTGTGGGTTTCTGTGGGTGGGGGCTGGACTGGGGTTTTGGTTTCTTCTCCTTCTTCAGAAAGCTGGTCTGGAAGGGAAAAATCAAACCCAAAATGAAATTATTTATGCAGTAGGGATGTAGCAAAAATGTTTTATTTTTAGGTGGTTTAATATGTCAGCAGCAACAAAAAAATTATCACTTTTCCCTGCAGCTTAAACCCCCAAATTTTGTGATTTTTCTCTCGATTTAAAGCAGAAATATTTGAAATGAACTCATGATTTCTCACCATCATCATCTTCATCATCATCTGCAGCATTGATGACCACTGGGGGATGGGTGGGACTGGGCACATTCTCAGAGTTTTCCACCTTCATCACCCCCCTGAGCTGAGGGGAGGGGTTGGACTGAACGGAGAGTTTGTTCTGCTGCAGCTGCACCATCTTCACCTCGTCCTCTGCAGCCTCGGGGGGGCTTGGGAGAGTGGCTGCAAAGGAAAAATAGCCCAGATGTTTATCCCAAATATTGTAAATTTGAGAATTAAACACTGCTGGATTCAGTTCTGGATTCCAAACCCATAGAGGGATTAAAGGAGAAGGGGAAAGGAACCTTGAAAAGCAAAAATCACCAAGCAAAAATCACAGAGCAAGGAAAATTTTTTAAAATTAGAATTTTGCTCCTTTCCTCTGACTGCAAAGCTCCCTTTCAGGAAGAGTGGCTGCAAAGGAAAAATATCCCAGATTTTTACCCCAAATATTGTAAATTTGAGAATTAAACACTGCTGGATTCAGTTCTGGATTCCACACCCATAAAGGGTTAAAGGAGAAGGGGAAAGGAACCTTGAAAAGCAAAAATCACCAAGCACAGAGCAAGAAAAAAGATGGAAAAGGAAAAATATCCCAAATTTTTACCACAAATGTTGTGAATTTGAGAACAAAACACTGCTGGATTCAGTTCTGGATTCCAAACCCATAGAGGGATTAAAGGAGAAGGGGAAAGGAACCTTGAAAAGCAAAAATCACCAAGCACAGAGCAAGAAAAAAGATTTAAAATTATGATTTCAGTCCACTTCCCTGACTGCAAAGCTCCCTTTCAGGAAGTGTGGCTGAAAAGCAAAAATATCCCAAGTTTTTACCCCAAATATTGTAAATTTGAGAATCAAACACTGCTGGATTCAGTTCTGGATTCCACACCCATAAAGGGTTAAAGGAGAAGGGGAAAGGAACCTTGGAAAGCAAAGATCACCAAGCACAGAGCAAGGAAAAAAACGTCCAAAATCAAAATTTTGGTCCATTGCTGTGACTGCAAACTCCCCTTGAGTCACAAAATTATTCCTTGAGTCTCCACATCATTTTATGGAATATTCACTGGGAATTCTTGGGTAGTTTCAGGGAAAAGGAAGTTGAAAATTCACTTTTGCTCAGGGGTAGGAAGAGCCCATCCACATAATTTTATGGAATATTCAGCATTAATTCTGGGATATGTTGAAGGAAAAAGAGGTGGAAAACTCCTCATTTTTGCTCAGGGGAAGGAGGAGCCTGTGCAGGTGATTTTAAGGAATATTCACCATCAATTCTTGGATATTCAGCATTAATTATTAGATATTTTGTTGAAAAAAGGAAGTTAAAAATTCGCTTTTGCTCAGGGTTAGGAAGAGCCCATCCACATAATTTTATGGAATATTCAGCATTAATTCTGGGATATTTTGAAGGAAAAAGAGGTGGAAAACTCCTCATTTTTGCTCAGGGGAAGGAGGAGCCTGTGCAGGTGATTTTAAGGAATATTCACCATGGATTTTTGGATGTTTTGAGGGAAAATGAGGTGGAAAACTCACTTTTGCTTGGGGGAAGGAAGATCAAATCCAGGCAATTTTAAGGAAAATTCAGCATGAATTTTTGGGTGTTTTGAGGGAAAAAAAGAGGTGGAAAACTCACTTTAGCTTGGGGGAAGGAAGAGCCCATCCACATAACTTATTGGAATATTCAGCATTAATTATTTGATATTTTCTTGAAAGAAAAGGAGGTGGAAAACTCACTTTTGCTGGGGGAAAGGAAGAGCCCATCCACATAACTTATTGGAATATTCAGCATTAATTATTTGATATTTTCTTGAAAGAAAAGGAGGTGGAAAACTCACTTTTGCTGGGGGGAAGGAAGATCAAATCCAGGCAATTTTAAGGAAAATTCAGCATGAATTCTTGGGTGTTTTGAGGGAAAAAGAAATGGAAAACTCACTTTTGCTGGGGGAAGCCCATCCACATAATTTACTGGAATATTCAGCATTAATTATCTGATATTTTTTTGAAAGAAAAGGAGGTGGAAAACTCACTTTTGCTGGGGGGAAGGAAGATCAAATCCAGGCAATTTTAAGGAAAATTCAGCATGATTTTTTGAATGTTTTGAGGGAAAATGAAATGGAAAACTCACTTTTGCTGGGGGGAAGGAAGAGCCCATCCACGTATCTGCCCTTGGTGTGGTGGAATGCACAGTTGTGCTTCTGGCAGCCCCCAGGCTGGTTCTCCCAGTAGCAGGCGATCTCACTCCGTTTTTTCTGGGGAAAAAACCACAAATCCAAGCTCCAAATATTTGTGGGGAAAAGCAGAAATTCAAGGTAAAAAGGAGAGAGTGGAAAAATGGAATTTAGGTGGATTTTTTTTAGCATTCAGTTGGAAAAAGGAGGACACTGTCATGGAGTTAAATTAATAAAAAAAATCCAAAATAATGGGATTATTCACAGGGAAAAAATTCAATTTTCAGGTTTGAATTGCTGGTGAAATCCACCTGAATTTACCTTTCAGAGCTTTAGCTCCTTCCCATCTTTTTTTTTTTTTTTTTTCTCCTTACCCTGGACAATTCCAAGAGCTCAGGATAAAACATCTGGAGAGAATTTCAGCTCTGAGGAATTCCAAGAGCTCAGGATAAAAAATGTGGGGAGAGCTCAGGATAAAAAATTTGGGAAGAGCTCAGGATAAAAAATTTGGGGTGAAATTCCAGCCCTCAGAAATTCCAAGAGCTCAGAATAAAAAATTTGGGCAGGAATTCCAGCTCTCAGTAATTCTAAGAGCTCAGGATAAAAAAATTCAGAAAGAAATTCCAGCTCCCAGGAATTCTAAGAGCTCAGAATAAAAAATCTGGGAAGAATTCCAGTTCTCAGGAATTCCAATAGCTCAGGATAAAAAATTTGGGAAGAGCTTAGGATAAAAAATTTGGAGATAAATTCCAGCTCCCAGGAATTTGTTTCCCACCACATTTAAAGAATGGGATCTGGCAAAAAAATTCAGGAATAACATAATTTAACATGAACATTTCCTGCTGAGAAACACCTTAAACATGGATTTTTTTCCCCTCCCGGTAACCAAAATCCCTGTAAATCCCTGCTGGGAAGGGCCACTGATCCCCCCAGGTGCTGTGGCAGGGATTTTTGGGGTGAGGAGGGGGTTTTGGGGGGCACTCACATCGATTTCCATGTGCCTGAACCTGCAGACATTCCTGAAGCAGCGGCCCTCCTGCCACAGCGTGCACACGGTCTCGCTGCCCAGGGCGGCCTCGCAGTGCCGGAAGGAACAGGAATCTCCCTGGAATTCACAGGAAATCAGCAAAAAATGGGGGAAAACACTCAGCTTCGAAGGAGGAATGGGTTTGGGAAGGAAAATGATGCAGGTTGAAAAAAAAACGGGATGGGAAAAGGGTATGGGGTGAAAATGGGATGGGAAAAGGGTATGGGTTTAAAATGGGATGGGAAAAGGGCAGGGTGAAAATGGGATGGGAAAGGATATGGGGTAAAAATGGGATGGGAAAAGGACAGGGTGAAAACGGGATGGGAAAAGGATATGGGGTTAAAATGGGATGGGAAAAGGATATGGGGTGAAAATGGGATGGGAAAGGACAGGGTTAAAATGGGATGGGAAAGGATATGGGGTTAAAAATGGGATGGGAAAAGGGTATGGGGTGAAAATGGGATGGGAAAAGGGCAGGGTGAAAATGGGATGGGAAAGGAGAGGGTAAAAATGGGATGGGAAAAGGGCAGGGTGAAAATGGGATGGGAAAAGGGCAGGGTGAAAATGGGATGGGAAAGGATATGGGTTAAAATGGGATGGGAAAGGAGAGGGTAAAAATGGGATGGGAAAGGATATGGGTTAAAAATGGGATGGGAAAGGAGAGGGTAAAAAATGGGATGGGAAAAGGAGCAGGTAAAAATGGGATGGGAAAGGATATGGGTTAAAAATGGGATGGGAAAAGGGCAGGGTGAAAAATGGGATGGGAAAAGATAGGGGTTAAAAATGGGATGGGAAAGGACAGGGTGAAAATGGGATGGGAAAAACACAAAGGTTAAAACAAATGGGATAAAATGGGATGGGAAAAGCACACAAGTTAAAAAGATGGACAAAGACACAGCTTAACAAATGGGATGGGAAAAGGAGACAGGTAAAAAAATGGGATGGGAAAAGAATATAGGTAAAAAATGGGATGGGAAAAGCACACAGAACCAATAACCAATAACGAATCAATGAATCAATGAAGAGGAATTGGTTTCCTCCCTGTCCCTGTCCTGGCTCAGAGCCCAGCAGGCAATGAGGGATTCAAAGGGAACTGGGATCTGAATGAAAATCACACAGGCTAAAAAATGGGATGAGAAAAGCACAAGGTTAAAAAATGGGATGGGAAAAGCACAAGGTTAAAAAATGGGATGGGAAAAAGACATGGGTTAAAAATGGGATGGGAAAAGCACAAAGTTAAAAAATGGGATGGGAAAAGCACAAGGTTAAAAAATGGGATGGGAAAAAGACATGGGTTAAAAATGGGATGGGAAAAGCACAAGGTTAAAAATGGGATGGGAAAGGACAGGGTGAAAATGGGATGGGAAAAACACAAAGGTTAAAACAAATGGGATAAAATGGGATGGGAAAAGCACACAAGTTAAAAAGATGGACAAAGACAAAGCTTAACAAATGGGATGGGAAAAGGAGACAGGTAAAAAAATGGGATGGGAAAAGAACATAGGTAAAAAATGGGATGGGAAAGGCACAGAATTTAAAAAATAAATGGGTTGGAAAGGGAAAAAAACCCCAGATTTCAGAACTGGAGCTGAAAAATGAACCAATAACCAATAATGAATCAATGAATAAATGAAGAGGAATTGGTTTCCTCCCTGTCCCTGTCCTGGCTCAGAGCCCAGCAGCAAGGAGGGATTCAAAAGGAATTGGATCTGAATGAAAATCACACAGGTTAAAAAATGGGATGAGAAAAGCACGAGGCTAAAAAATGGGATGGGAAAAAGACATGGGTTAAAAATGGGATGGGAAAAGCACACAGAACCAATAACCAATAATGAATCAATGAATAAATGAAGAGGAATTGGTTTCCTCCCTGTCCCTGTCCTGGCTCAGAGCCCAGCAGGCAATGAGGGATTCAAAGGGAATTGGATCTGAATGAAAATCACACAGGTTAAAAATGGGATGAGAAAAGCACAAGGTTAAAAAATGGGATGGGAGAAGCACACAGACTAACAAACAAATGAGTCAGAAAGAGACCAAAGCCCAGATTTCAGAACTGGAGCTGAGCAGTGCACCAATAACCAATAAGGAATCAATGAATAAATGAAGAGGAATTGGTTTCCTCCCTGTCCCTGTCCTGGCTCAGAGCCCAGCAGGCAATGAGGGATTCAAAGGGAATTGGATCTGAATGAAAATCACACAGGTTAAAAAATGGGATGAGAAAAGCACGAGGCTAAAAAATGGGATGGGAAAAAGACATGGGTTAAAAATGGGATGGGAAAAGCACAAAGTTAAAAAATGGGATGGGAAAAGCACAAGGTTAAAAAATGGGATGGGAAAAAGACATGGGTTAAAAAGGGGATGGGAAAAAGACATGGGTTAAAAATGGGATGGGAAAAGCACAAGGTTAAAAAATGGGATGGGAAAAGCACAAGGTTAAAAAATGGGATGGGAAAAGCACACAGACTACCAAACAAATGAGTCAGAAAGAGACCAAAGCCCAGATTTCAGAACTGGAGCTGAGCAGTGCACCAATAATCAATAAGCAATCAGTGCACAATGCCTTCCCCTGCCCAGAGGCAGCAGCAGGGAGCCCCAGGGCTGCCCTCACCTTGTTGCAGGTGGAGTAGAAGTAGAAGTAGCAGTCGTCCCCCTGGCTGGACATGCTGAGGGCTGGCTCCTCGCTCCTGCTCAGGCTCTGCTCCTCCAGCCTGGGCAGCAATTGGCTTCTCAAGGCTTCTCCTGCCTCAGCTCTCACAGCTGCTTTTTAAAAGTAACCCTGCAGAGGAAAATTTGGGGGGTTTTAGAGTTGTTTCCCATTCATTGATTTGGTTTTTGGGAGGAGGGAGAGAGTGGAAATCAGCTGGGCATAAAGATGAAGCTCAGTTTGTTGAAAATTTCGTTTTTAAAACAAATTTTTAGTGAGATTTGGGCAGAACTGCAGGGGTTTTGTCAGAATAAAACCTAATCTGTGACCTTAGTAACAGCTCTGGGACTTGACGTGGAGACAAGTTAGGGGGTGACCCAAAAGATCAGGGGGTGACCCAAAAGAATCGGGGGGTGACCCAAAAGATCAGGGGGTGACCCAAAAGATCAGGGGGTGACCCAAAAAGATCAGGGGGTGACCCAAAAGATCAGGGGGTGACCCAAAAGATCAGGGGGTGACCCAAAAGAGAGGCACTCCTTCAAAAACCAGCTGTAATTTTGAGTTATCAATAATACAGGAATGCTTTCATAATAAAGCAAATCAATACTTTAATATCATTATTACAGTCCATTATTTCATATTAGTATTAATATTATTTCATATTAATATTAATATCAATCCCAGGGGATTTTTTTTCCCCCAATCCAGGGGGATTTTTCTCCAAATCCTAAAGGATTTTTCCCCTGATCCCATTCCCCAGTCCCTACAGATTTTTCTCCCATCCCATTCCCAAATCCCAGGGAGATTTTCCCCCCAAATCCAGGGAGATTACCCCCCAATCCCAGGGGATTTCCCCCCCAATCCCAGGGGGATTTCCCCCCCCAATCCCAGGGGGATTCTTCCCCCAATCCCAGGGGATTTTCCCCCCAATCCCAGGGGGGTTTCTCCCCCAATCCCAGGGGGATTTTCCCCTCAATCCCTGGTGGATTTTTTTTCCCCACATCCAGGGGATTTTTTTCCCCAATCCCAGGGGGATTTCCCCCCAATTTTCCTCCAATCCCAGGGCATTTTCCCCCAGTCCCAGGGGATTTTCTCCCCTAATTCCAGGGGGATTTTTGTCCCTGATCCCATTCCCCGAGGATTTTTCCCCTTTTTCCCCCACATCCAGGGGACTTTTTTCCCCAATCCCAGGGGGATTTCTCCCCAATTCCAGAGGATTTTCCCCCAGTTTTCCTCCAATCCCAGGGCATTTTCCCCCAGTCCCAGGGGATTTTCTCCCCTAATTCCAGGGGGATTTTTGTCCCTGATCCCATTCCCCGAGGATTTTTCCCCTGATTTTCCTGCAGTCATAGGGGATTTCTCCCCCGATTTTCCCCCAATCCCAGGGGATTTTTTTTCCCTATTTTTTCCCTCAATCCCAGTGGATTTTTTCCCTGATTTTTTCCTCCAATCCCAGGGCATTTTCCCCCAGTCCCAGGGGATTTTCTCCCCTAATTCCAGGGGGATTTTTGTCCCTGATCCCATTCCCCGAGGATTTTTCCCCTGATTTTCCTGCAGTCATAGGGGATTTCTCCCCCGATTTTCCCCCAATCCTCAGGGGATTTTTTTCCCTATTTTTTCCCTCAATCCCAGTGGATTTTTTCCCTGATTTTTTCCTCCAATCCCAGGGCATTTTCCCCCACAATTTTCTCCCAATCCCAGTGGATTTTTTCCCTGATTTTTTCCCCCAATCCCATGGCATTTTCCCCCAGTTTTCTCCCAATCCTAGTGGATTTTTTCCTCCCAATCCCAGGGCATTTTTTCCTTGATTTTTCCTCAATCCCAGGGCATGTTTTCCCCTGGTTTTTCCCCCAATCCCAACGGATTTTTCCCCCAATCCCAGAGGATTTTTCCCCCAATCCCAGGGGGATTTTTCCCCCAATCCCAGGGGGATTTTTCCCTGATTTTCCCCCAATCCCAGGGGATTTTTCCCCCAATCCCAGGGCATTTTTTCCCTGATTTCCCCCAATCCCAGGGGATTTTTTCCCCTGATTTTCCCCAATTCCCCCAGCCCCAGGGCACTCAGGAGCTCACCCACCTGGCCACGGTGAGCACAGGCTTTGATCTTCCCAGCCATGCAGTTCCCTCTCCTGTAGGCCGAAGGAGTCCGTGAATGAATAACAAAGGGGCAGAAACAATTTTTGAATTTTGCCTTTTTTTTTTTTTTTTTGTTTTGTTTTTTTTTTCCTCCTGACAATTCAAAGGGAACCTCTCAGCCAACAATTCCAAACTCTGAGGTGCTCTCAGAACAATCTGACAACTAATGGAGGAATTGAGTCCATTGCAAACCTGGCACACTGGAGACAGCCAGGGATATTTTAGCTCTTCCAATAAAAAAAAAGAAAAAACATAAAAAAACCAACAAAAAATTAAAAAAAAAAAAGCCCCAGCGCCTTTTTTTTTTTTTTTTAAAGATGAACTCAGGATTCAAAGTGGCTGCAAAAATGAGGCTCCATCTTCCACAGCTGGGGAAATTGCTAATTTTTTTTTTTTTAAATTTTTTTGTTAATTATTTAATTCAGTAAGTTGCAATTTCGGGTCTTCTGAGATTTCTTCACCTATTAAGAAAAGACAAAAACCTTCCCCGGGCTTTATGACCTGTACAGCAAGAAAAAACCCCCCAGGTTTGTGTGTATAAACCCAAGGTGTTCATGCACACCCCAAGAGAGGCAGGGACAGCAGCACAAGGAGAAAAGCAGCAAAAAAATCAGGAATTTTGGCACATCGAGCTCTCAGTGGGGGGAAAATGAGATTTTTGGGGTGAGGGGATTTGGGGACAGCTCAGGGACAAACTCATCCACCCCTCAGGAAGGCAAAGCAGGAACTGGCTGGGAATTTGGGCAGGAATTAATTGGGTTTTTAGGAAACATCCCAATTTTGTGCTGCTCCCTCATCATCCATCCATCGTTAGCTCCGATCCAGCAGCTGATTGGGGGTTTTGGGGCCACCAAAAATTAATTGATTTTGGTTTTTATCCACGTGAATCACACTTGAATTTCGGATATTCTTCTAAAAATCTGATTTTTAGGGTTCTTTTCCACACAACCTCGCAACCAAACCAGCTGAAATCCAAATTAAAAATGGATTTTAGCACGCTGACATTTCTGTGCAAAGGATTTCTGACTCCTTGGGGAGGACAAAACCCAAAGAAATTGGTTTTTACAGCATAAGGAGAAACAGTTGGAACCTTTTACTCACACAAACACTAGTGAATTTTCCCAGGATATTATTTTTTTTGGTCAGGGAATTTTCCCAAATCTAAAATAAAGAGAGGAAAAGTTGGGTTCTTATGTTAATTTTTGTTTTTCTTTTTTTTGGCTGCTTGACAAAGGGAATAAAACAGGATTTAAGTGCAGGGTTCCCTCCTGTTCTTCCATCTCCACGGGGTTAAATTCACTTTTGGAGCTTCAAAATCTGATTTTTTTTCCAGGGATTCTACTCCTAAAAACTCCTGGAGCTCCTTCTGGTGGAAGTTGCACGTTTTCCCAGGCGTTTTCCCCAGTGCTCTTGGGAGTTAAAAATCAAATTTCAAGCCTGAATTCTTCGCTTTGCTGAAGCCAACACTGAAATCCTGGGAGTGAGGGGTGAGAAAATCAGGAATTCCAACCCAGAGCAGGAGGAATTCCCAGGCTGGAAGGTGGAATTTCCTTTTCCTCAGGTATTTTCCACACCTAAAAATTGCAACATTTCTACATCCACCACCCTGGGGGGAAAGAAAATCCCTTCAGATTGAATTCTTTTAGAAATTAAATCCGTTTTTTGCCTTCCACAATTTTTTCATCTTTCAGTTCAGAGTCTGAGTCTTTAAAGAATTGGAATAAAACCTTGAAAATAAACAACAACAACAGGAAAATAACCAACCCAAACCTCCCCCCAAAAACCCCTCCAAGGTCTAAACTCCATCAAGGTGATTTAATTATTCAAAAAGTTCATTAAAAAGCTTTTTTTGTCGAATTTTAAACTGGTGCCAAGGTGGCAAACAAGAAAAAAATCCGAATAAAAATGAGTAACTCTGGTGCACTCAGCAGGTCTGGAAGGAATTCAAGTTAATGAGAATTTTAAACACTTTCTTGTCCAGAAATCATGAAAACTTTCAGGAAATTCATGCAAGTTTTGGTAGAAAAATACTGTTTTAAAACAATTATTTATTAAAAAACCACAAATAAATTAAAAATGCAGCAGCTGAGGGTCAGCAAAAATCAGATCAAAAAACCAACACAACCTTTTCTCTTTTTAAAGGGAAAATAAAGAAGTTTTCCTGCACTCCCTGCGAGGAATTCTTGGATTTCAAACCCCCAAATTTCCTCTCCTGCTGCTTCATTTGTGCCTTAAATTCCTCTGATGATTCACCTCCTGTTTACCAGGTGACAAGGAAGGAAAAGCAGCAGGAATTCCACATTTTAACCCCTTTTTTAGCCATTTTTGGGCCATTTTTTCTCTCTCCTCCAGCTTTTCCTCCTCAGGAATCAACCCCAAACCACGGGAAGCTGCTCCAGCCATTCTTGAATAAAACAGGAATAATTAAAGAAAATTTATTTTCATTTTTTTCCTGTATTTCTGAGCTCAACCCCAAGGCCTGGCAGCGATTTCCTGTGACAATTCCTCGCCCTCACGGGAATCTTTTATTAAATCTTAAAAAAATAAATTCGATTTTCCCTGGATTTCACCTTGGAAAAATGGCAAAATGACACCACCAGGAAGTTTTACCTGAAATACTCCTGCTCTGCTTCAGCTGTGCCCAAATTCAACCCCAAAATCCTTTATTCCCCAGGAAATTCCCTTTTATTTAGTCATATTTTTCATATTTTTTTATATTTCTGAGCCGGGTTTTATTTAGGAAATGCGACCCTGAAGGCAATTCTGGGAATAACCTGCAGGCTCTGATCCCTTCAACAACAACAAATTCTCTTTTTGGCGTTTCCACAAAAATCCACATCAGAAAGCAAAAGCATTTAAAAAATAAAAAAAAAAAAAACAAAAAAAACGTTTCCATAACAAAAATTCACATCAGAAAGCAAAAGCATTTAAAAAATAAGAAAAAAAAAAACAAAAAAAAATCACGGATTCGCGTTGTTTTTAACAACATCCGAGAGGAATAATTTTTAAAAAAACAAGGAAAAAAACCCCAAAAATTCAGGGAATGGCGTTGTTTTTAACAACCTCCGGGAGGAATAACCTTAAAAAACAAGGAAAATACCCCAAAAATTCAGGGAATGGCGTTGTTTTTGACAACCTCCGAGAGAAATAACCTCAAAAAACAAGGAAAAATACCCCAAAAATTCAGGGAATGGCGTTGTTTTTAACAAGCTCCGGGAGGAATTGAGCCCGGCTGCATCCAGAGTTACTCAGCTCCTGAAGTTCCTTCAGGGAATGAGCAGGAATGAGGTGACTACGTTAGAAATGCCCCTCAGACGCGTTGCTACAACAGGAAAAACAAAAAAAAAAAAAAAAAGGAGGTTTGACCTGAAAAGGAGGAGGTTTAGAAAATCTGGGGTTTTGCGCTGCGATCGCGAATTTCTTGAGGGGACGAGCGCTGAAAAGGCCTCGGGCCTACCCCGGGCACGCAGCTCCCCCTCCCCAAAGCCCCGGGGGAGCAAACCCACCTCACCCCGGCTCTATTCCCACTTCATCCCGGCTTTATTCCCACTTCATCCCGGTTTTATTCCCCGCTAAGCCCGCCTCGCCCCTCAGCGTCCCCCTCCCGCTGTGGGGACAGCGCGGGGGACGCGCGGCCTTGCGGAGGAGCCGGGGCTGGCCCAGCACCACCCCCGGCCCGTGCCCCCCTCATCTCCCACCAGCCGCCGCGGGGCTCCGAAGCGCTCTATTTACGGTCGGTCAGGGAGTTTTACCGAGCCCCCGGGGGCCGCCGTGTCGCTGTCGCCGCGCTCCGCCGGGGCCGCCGCCGCCGCCGTGTCTCCGGTGCCCGGCTCAAAGATGGCGCCCGGCGCGCGCGCAGCCTCAGCGCGCCCGCTGCCAAGATGGCGGCCGGAAGTGGCTTCACACGCCCGACAGGAAGGGAGGGGGGGGATGAGGCGGAGCGGGGGTGGATTTTGCCGGGTTTTGATTTCCCCGCGCCTCGAAAAGGGACAAAGCCTTTCCCTGTGAAGCGAACAGGGCCGTATTTCTCCATACTACCGCTACCTACTGCCACTGGGTCCCGATGCCCGGCTCAAAGATGGCGGCCGGAAGTGGCTTCACCCTCCCGACAGGAGAGGGCAGGCTGGAGCCTGAGGAGGAGAGGGGCCGATTTTGCTGTTTTTTGGCTTATTCGCGTTTCAAAAAGCCTCAAAAAGAGAACAAAGATTTTCTTTCTGAAGAGAACAGTGTTGTATTTCTCCATCTTGTCCCGATCCGCCCGCGCCTCCGCCACTGTGTCCCGTTGCCCGGCTCAAAGATGGCGGCCGGAAATGGCTTCACCCCCCCAGAGGAAGGGAGAGGGCGGATGGCGCCTGAGGACGATAGGGGTGGATTTTGCTGTGTTTTGGCTTCCCCGCCCTTCAAAAAGCCTCAAATATAGGAAAAGCCTTTTCCTTATGATGCGAACAGGGCCGTGTTTCTCCACCCTGCCGCGATCCGCCGGGGCCGCCGCTGTGTCCCAGTGCCCGGCTCAAAGATGGCGCCCCCTGCAAAGACGGCGGCCGGAAGTGGCTTCACCCGCCTCACACGAAGTGAGAGGGCGGGCGAGCGTCTGAGGCGGAGCTCGGGTTGATGTTGTTGTTGTTTTTGGCTTCCCCGCGTTTCAAAAATTCTTCTAAAAGCCTCAAAAAGGGGACAGAGCTTTTCGCTATGAGCCTCACACGAAGTGAGAGGGCGGGCGGGCGTCTGAGGCGGAGCCCGGGTTGATGTTGTTGGTTTTGGCTTCCCCGCGATTCAAAAATTCTTCAAAAAGCCTCAAAAAGGGGACAGAGCTTTTCGCTATGAAGCGAACATGGCCGTGTTTCTCCACCTCCATCCACTGGTTTATTACCTAACCCAGGGCAGCCCCTCAGGGCCCAGCTGCTCCTTGTTGGTGGCGTTTGGCAGCAATTTGGGCACTTTGCTTGGTGGAAGAAGACTCAGTAACAGAAACCCCACACTGAGGGGAGTTTGGGCTGTGTTAGATCCCTGTTTCCACCCCACTGGAGCCATTCCTGGGCAGGGTTTGGGACAGAATCCCCGGAGCTGCCGGACACACGGAGCAGGGCACAGTCACACATTTTATTCTCCGGGTGCATCGTTTCTGCTCCACAGCCAAAAGCTTCTCACTGCCTTCCCCAGGACAAAAATCTCCTCTCCTGAGAGAGAGAATTATGGCTGTGTTGAGAGAATGTGAATAAGACATATGGGGTCTATATAAATTATTACCCAGGGCAGCCCCTCAGGGCCCAGCCGCTCCTTTTTGGTGGCGTTTGGCAGCAATTTGGGCACTTTGCTTGCAGGTGGTGGAAAAAGAATCAATTAAATAACAGAAACCTCACTCTGAGTGGAGTTTGGGCTGTGCTGGATCCCTGTTTCCACCCCACTGCAGCCATTCCTGGGCAGGGTTTGGGACAGAATCCCCGGAGCTGCCGGACACACGGAGCAGGGCACAGTCACACATTTTATTCTCCGGATGCATCGTTTCTGCTCAGAGCCAAAAACTTTATTGATTCCAAACCGTTCCCCTTCTCCCTCTTCATTTCTTTTTTTTTACTGCACCCCCTTTTTCCCACCCTTCAACCATTCTGCTGCTTCCACTTTGGAGTTTTAGCTCTGCTTGGAGTTTGTTTTCTCAGAAGAAGCCAACGGACAATTCATTCAGATTCTTTTTTTTTTTTTTTTTTCCTCCCAAGATCTATATAAATTACATGCAAAACATTGTACATAGAGATTAATATCAAAATGCAATACAGATCAGGTGCACTTTAAGCTGGACTCTAGGATATGGCAAACACACCAGGGTACATATTGCTTTGAAACCACCATTGTTTTGTTTTTTAATGTCATGCATACCACATAATATTCAGTCTTTTGTTTTGTATTTTGGTTTTTTTTTTCTTTTTTCTCTCTCCTGTTTTTTATACAAAAATACCAGTGCTTATTATACTGAGTTACTGAAAAAAAAAAAGAAAGAAAAACTCGGCTCCACGTGCCCTCTTCAAAAGAAAGTTTTTTTGTTTTGTGAGAGCGTTGGATAAATATATATACACACACATAAATGTTGAGTTCAGACTGTATATATATATATATTTATTGAAGGGGAGGAAATAAACTAAAGGCAGTTTTAACCATGGGTTTTGCTGGATGAAAATTGGGAGATTCGGGCAGAGCAGTCGGGGTTGCTGGAGAGGAAGAAACGCCAAAATCCGTGTTGGGGGGGCAAAAAAAAATCCTGTTTGGGTGGAAAAGGAGCAGGAAAAAAAAGCAGGAAAAGGATTCCCCACATCCCTGTGCCCTGAGGGGAGATCTGGGGGTGCAGGAGGCGTTTTGGGCCCAGGGGGGTTGGGGACGGAGCAGAAGCCATGCAGGCCAATGTCCCCCACAGAGGGACAAAAACCTTCCCAGGGTGGTGCCAGAGGGTGCCAGGAGCTGGCAGTGGCACCTGGAGATGCCCTCGGGCGTTTGGGGTGGGATTTTTTTCCAGCTCAGTGGTTTTTTTCCCCTCAGAGAGGAGCTGAGGCCTCCAGGCCCGGGCGTGAGGGGGGAAAAGGCCGCCCATGCTCAAACGCGGTTTAGTTTATTTCCTTCTTGAGATCGGTTGGAAAATTTCACTTTATTGCACGGAAAACCTTTGGGAAAAAAAAAAAAAATATATTGAAATTAACCCCCCTCCCCACACCCTTCTCCCTGTACAAATCATCAAAACCTCAGCAGGAGAAAGCCTCAAGAGCTGCCTGGCCGGCACACGGGCCGCGGTGTCTTTGGTACCAATCCGCCAATTCCACGGAAAATCCACGGAAAATCCACGGAAAATCCGCAAATCCGCCCTGCTGGGATCAAGAACTGGATGCAGAAGGATGTTCAGAGTGTTTTAATAACAAAGCATTCCAAGGCAAGTTGATCACAAGGAGGAGGGAGGGGGTGGCTTTGCTTCCTGCGCCGGCCCTCCCCTGCTCCGCGCGCACTCGTGGCAGTTCAAACAAAGCAAAAAACCCAGAAATTATTCATAATAATATATATTTATATGGATATTTATATCTCCCCCTAGTCAAGGCATGTTGCAGAAAGTCCCCAAAAGTCCGTGCCGCCGACCATGCCTTTTTTTTGGAGCACCAATCTCCCCCAAATCTCTTTTTTTATTTTTATTTTTTTTTTGTGTAATGTCCTCAATAACTTAAGCCAAGAGTCAGCTGCTGCCAGGATATCACTGAAACTTAACCCAAAAGAACAGAACTTTACAGGAAATCTGCACAAGAAACATTTATACTTGAAGCAACCAGCCATACACCAACATAATTTATAGATATTTATATAAAAAAACCCCATTTGTGTCATCCAACTCACGGCTAGTAGAAAGATGGCTGCTCAGAGAAAAGGAAGCTGACTGGCATCCGATGGCTGAATTAATTAATCCACGGAATTAATTAAAGTGTCCCTTGCAACTGCCCTCAAGCAGTGGTGGGACTCAAGATTTATTTTCTTTTCTTTAAACAAAATACATATGGCTGACGTAAAAATATCAGTTTCTGAGCTAAAGAAAACTAGATTTTTTTTCTTTTTCTTTTTTTTTTCTTTTTTTTTTGCATAATATTTATTTAACATTATTTCTCCCTCCCCCCACTCCTAAAATGGAAACTAGAACGACAAAAATAGAGCAAACTAAAGGAACGACCAGACCCTTGTGGCAAACCCTGCCAGTCACAGATTTTTGGGAGTGACTTTGAGAGCCTCCAAAGTTGGCTTGAAGTTGTTGTTGGTTTGAGTCTTTCTTTTATTTTTTTTATTTCTTTTTTTTTTTTTCAACAGGTCTGAGGTATTAAAAAAAATATCAAAAGGAAAAAAAAAATATTGGTGCATCCCCCCAAAAAGTATTTAATAAATATTTATGTAAGCTTGTAAGAACACCATATCATCTCTTTTTTTTTTTTTTTTTTTTTAAGCAACGTCACCTTTAGCACAGAACCAAAACCCCCCAACCCCCCCTCGTTTGGATTTTTTTTTTTTTTGTTTTTTTTTTAAGCAACGTCACCTTTAGCACAGAACCAAAACCCCCCAACCCCCCCTCGTTTGGATTTTTTTTTTTTTTGTTTTTTTTTTAAGCAACGTCACCTTTAGCACAGAACCAAAACCCCCCAACCCCCCCTCGTTTGGATTTTTTTTTTTTTTGTTTTTTTTTTAAGCAACGTCACCTTTAGCACAGAACCAAAACCCCACAACCACCCCTCATTTGGGTTTTTTTTTTTGTTGTTGTTGTTGTTGTTGTTTTTCCACGTGTTTAACCCAAGATCCCCTCACTCCCCTGGGTTATTTTTTTGGGGGAGGGAGGCAAGGAGGGCATGGGGTGGACACTGAATTTGCACTGGGGACGGGCAGTGGTGGCATTTTCCTCTTGCTGTTGGCAGTGAACAAAGCCCAGCTCGCCAGCACCAGGGTGGGACACTCAGGATATCCAGGATATTTGGGATTTTTGGGATAAAGACCTTTCCTCAGCAGGAAAAAAGGAGCTCGTCCTTCCCTCCTCCTCCTCCTCCTCTTCCTCCCAGCCCAGGGAAGGACACAGAGACGCTTGGTTTGCGTTGTGGTTTAAGGAACACTTAAATCTTGGCAAAGATCTGGGCCTGGCGTGGCAGGAGGTGCTGCAGGCAGTGCTCGGACAAGGCACGGGAGATTCCGCTGTGCGTTCCTGGCAGGACAGGGGAGGAGAACCCAGCCAGAGCCAGCCTTTCCTCAAAAAAAAAAAAAAACAACCAAAAAACCCTCCCTCAGGGTTTGCAATCCCAGCGTTTTCCCATCCAGGGCTGGGAATGGCCTCGCTTCCAGCTCATGCTCTCAGCCAGAGGGGATGGAGGAGAGCAGGGAGGTGGCAGAGCTTCCCCCAGGGCAAGGAGGAGCCCAAACCCTGCTCCTGCTCCAGGGATGGCCAGAGGGACAATCCAGAGGCAGCTCCAAGGAAAGGGACTCTCCCTGGGTTGTTCCCAGGGCTGGAGGTGAGGCAGGGCTCAAGGGGAGGAGATGACCTCCAAAAAAAAAGCAGCCAGGTGAGGCCAAGCTTCCTTCTCTGGGAGACCTGCAGCCACCCAGGCCAAACCCCCAGGAAAATCTGGGATCATCCAGGAGCCTTCCAGTGGACCATGAGACAGCTGGGTTGATCCCTCCCAGGATTCAGGAGGTCCCCACTCAGATTCCCACAGCTTTTGGGCATGGCTGGAGCCTCCTCCCACATCACTGTGAGGCTCAGGGGTGCTGGACCTCAAGAGCACTAAAAAAAAAGGGCAAAAATCTCTCTGCTCTGGAGGGCAGGAGCTGGGAGAGCTGCAAAAATCCTCTCCCCAAGTTTCCCCCCTGACCAAGAGCAGCACAGAGGCCTCTCCTAGAGGAGGAGAAGAGAATTCCTAGAGAATTCCTCAGGAAGAAGCTGCATCCCTCACAACTGGGGGGCTCTCCCCACCTTTTTCCCTGGCAGTTTCACCTCCACCTTTGCAGGAAAATCAGAATTTCTCCCCTCCAGCAAAATTAGAGCCAAGCCACCTTCATTTCTCATCTCCCAGTCTGGAAACAAGAGAGAGAAAAACGTGTGGGGAGCTGGAAGAAGCCCAGGTACCATTTTTCAAAGGTGGAAGACTGGTGGGCATCCCTGGATCTCTGAACCTTGGAGTAAACACCTTCCCCTGGCTGGGATTTTTACTTTATTCCTTAATTTTCACACTGGAGCAGTGACTGCCCCTCCCCACTTGCCACGGGGTAGGGGAGCAAATCCCACAAGCAAAGAGCAAACCCCAACATGAGAAGAAAAAAACCCTAAAAACCACGTGTGAAAAAAAAAAAATCCACAAAAAAAAATCAACTCAAGTCACAAGTGCACCCCCAGCCTTCGGGCTGAGGGCGTGTAAGACTACAACAATTTGAATTTCCTTGGAACATGCATTTTTCCAAAGTGAAAACCCCGTGGCTCCAGGTGCCTGGAGCCCAACTCTTGGAGAGGAAAGAACCTGGCAGCTTCCCCTGGGTGAGTACCACGGAAAATCAGGGATGGAGATGCACAATTGGTTTCTTTTTTTTTTTGGTTTTTTTTTTGGTTTTTTTTTTTGGCTTAGCCTCTCTCCCAACACCCAGCGTGGTGGTACTCTGCTTCCCACTGCTAAATAACGGTAAAAAATAAAAACAAAATGAAACAAAACAAAAAGGAAAAAAAAACACATTAGACCCCCCACCCCCCAAAAAAACCCCAAAAACCCCCCAGCTGATGATACAGGCATGAGCAGTTTGACCGCAGCGTGTGATCAGTTACTGGTGCTGGGATCACACAGGGCCCAGGTGGATGAGGACGAGGAAGAGGAGGAGGAGGAGGGGGAATTCCAAGTTCTAAGGTCAAACAGAGGTCTCCAGGCTGTGGAAGGGGCTCCCGGGCTCGGGGAAGCTGAACTCGCTGTCCACGGCGTTGTTGTTCCTGTTGAGGGCCGTGGAGCCCCCCAGGCTGCCCCCACCTCGCTTTTGGAGTCCGTCAGGCTCGGGCTCGTCTTCGGTGCCGTCAAGGAATGGTGTCCGAGGCTCGTCTTCCTCCAGGATGAACTCTGGGTGAGTCATGAAGTTATGGATGGAGCTTCTGGATTCGGGTTTCTCGAGGCCTTCGTACAGGGAGCTACGGAACGCATTCACCACTTTGATCTGGGCGGCGTGGGGAGAGAAAACAAAGGGGTCAGTGGTGCTGCCGGAGGGCAGGGCTCGAGGGAGAAAGTGAAATAAATGATGAGAGACAACCATCGAACGAAAAAAAAAAACAAAAAAAAAAAAACACCACGACCACAGCGACAAAATCACCACTGAACAGACAGCTCGGTCAAAAATGAGACATCTACGGTGAACCGGGGGCAGAGTCAGGCACTACGGGGGTGCTGGGAACCCACCAGCCTCAGAAGCTGCAAGAAAAGACAGGACGACTCCAAACCGCCACCCCAACATCACCAGTCTGGATGGATGGAAGCCAGGAGGCGTTAATTAGTCGTTAATTTGGTGTGGGGGTGTGCACGCCCCGGGGTGGACGGACACGACACAACGGACGAGGTGGGGGAACTAGGGCTCCAAAAAGAGGTGGGTTAGGCAAACAGCGGGGGGAAAACTCTGCTGTGGGAGCCCTGCGTGGGGTTGGGAGGGTCCTTCCTACAGCTCTGCAAAGGAATGCGGCTTGCCAAAGGCGTCTCCAGCTTTTTTGGAGCCCCTGGAAGCAGAGATCCAGGTGGGTGCTGTGAGGATGCAGGTGAAGGTCCAGGTCTGTGAGGGGTTCCCCACACTGCTGGAGCTCTGGAGCCTTCCCTGCGCCTGCAGGAGACCCAGTGGTTTCCAAAGGCAGTCAAAAATGGGAATTTGATGGAGCTGGCAAGCAGTTCAGATTCTGCTGGATATTCTGAAGGAATTCCAGCCGCACACACGTGATCCTGGGAAAGCCCTGGGGCAGCTCCACCGAAATCCAGGCTCAAGCAGGAGATCCAGAGCACCAGGGCACGGCTCTGCCACCTCCACTGCACTGGGAGGGAGAGCTCTGGGAACACACCTGGGTGGTGGATTCCCTGCTCCCTCCAGATCCTCTGGAATTCCAGCCTCAAACCCTTCCAGCTCACAGGTTTGGGCTCAGGTGGGTGACAAGTGTCACATCCCAGCCCTGCTGGGGTTCCAGGGAAGCAACAGAAGCCTCAGCTCTGTGGAGCAGAGCTCGTGTGGGACCACATCTCCTCTCCCAGACCCCTGGAAGCAGCAGGGAAGGCTCCCTGGAGCCATTTCAGTCGTTGTGCTCGGTCTCCAGCCCCATGGAAGGAGCTTTGCTCCTCCTCAGCTGCCTCCACCTGCTCCCCACCCCTGAGGAACATCCCCTGCCTGCTCCCGTGCTGTCCCCATGGATGAAACTGCAGCACAAACAGGAGATCCACAGATCCCACAAAAGGGATTCCCTGTGGGAATCCTTCCAGCTGAGGGAGGGGAGGGGGAAGAATGCAGAAATCCCCTGGGTGGTGAGGGAAAGGAGCTGTGGGTGCTCTGTGGGCTGCAGGAGTGAGGGGAGCAGAGAGCTCACCCCAGATCCTGGTGAGATGGGCTGGGCCACACTGTCCCTTCATTTAAACTCTTTATTTAAACTGTCTCTTTATTTAAACTGTCCCTTCATTTAAACTCTTTATTTAAACTGTCCCTTTATTTAATCTGTCTCTTTATTTAAACTGTCCCTTTATTTAAACTCTTTATTTAAACTGTCTCTTCATTTAACCTGTCTCTTTATTTGAACTGTCCCTGGGTGTGGCACCCCTCCAGGTGGGAATTCATCTCCCAGGACAGCCAAGCCCCTCCTGAGGATCTCTGATCCCACAAAACCAGAGCAGGGAATTCCTTCCGTGTGCCTGGAACCCTGGAGTTCTCCCTGCCCCTCTCAGGGATGCACCTGGCTCAGGATCAGGAGGAATTTCCTGGCATGGGCTCGGCCCATCCCAGCTGGAAGCAGCCCCAGGAGCTCCTGCACAGGGAACAGGGCACACACCCAAGGGCGTGAGCCTGGAGCACCACTGGCCTGGAAAAACGGGAATTTCAAGGAGCTGGGAACCAATTCAGAGCTGGATTTGTGCACTGATGACCTTGGATCAATTCAGGTGAACGCACAGGACAAGGGACACCACCGGGGCCACCTCAGGACTGATCATCTGTCAGGAATTCCCAGCAACGACTTGGGAACAGCAAATCCTGAGCCCTAAGACACCAACTCAACCAAGGAGAACGAATCCAACCAAGCCAAGGAGACCTAGGCACTGTCACAGCCATGAGGAGGTGGCAAAGGAGACCCAGGGACTGTCACAACCACGAGGAGATGGCCAAGGAGACCCAGGGACTGTCACAGCCACGAGGAGGTGGCCAAGGAGACCCAGGGACTGTCACAGCCACGAGCAGGTGGCATCTACAAGCTCAGATTTGGGAGCAGCTCCACAGAAGCCTCCCCCTCTCAGAGCTCTCCTCTCCCAAGGAATCACCTCCAGAGCCCTGGAGATTTGTCCAGCACTGCCAGGAGCAGCAGGGAAGGCTCCCTGGAGCAATTCCAGGGAATCTGTGCTCAGCCTCCTGCTCGGCCCCCTCAAGGAGCTCCTGCTGCAGCTTCCCTCAGATTTTCCTCCCTTCTTTCTCCATCACCTGCTGCGAGATGAATTCAGCCGTTCCCTCCCAAAGGAAGGGAACAGGGAGGAAATGTGCTGTGAATGAGGCAGGCAGCGCCAGCAGAGCTGAATTCCAGCCTGGAACCCCTCCCTCCCTCCCTCTCCCGCCTCCTCTCCACCTGGAAGCTTCAAATGCAACCTCCAGGCTTGGGATGATTCCCGTGAAACCTCCACGTGCTGGGTGAGAGCCCCGCGGGAGTGACATCCCTGGCTCTGCCCTCAGTCCAGGGCAGAATTCCCAGCTCGGCTCTGCCAAAACCTGACCACCAATTCCTGAGAGCTCTGCAGCAACTCCAGGAGGGACACAGCAAATCCAGCCCTGGAAAAGCTCATCCACGGGAGAGGGACACCACGGATCTGCGTGGAGGGAAGAGGAGCTTTGGGAGAGATGGAAGCAGCAGAGGGAAACAAGAGAAATCCAGGCAAGAAAAACAGCAGGAAATTTGGAGACCTGGGTTAGCTCCTGGTGAAGTTTGCACGAGCTATCCAAGTTTTCTATTCCCCCGCTGCAAAATGGGGAAAACATGGATCCACAGACTGCAAAAAAGCTGCATTTTGATCTCATCCCCCCCTGCACACCCTCTGCTCTGAGCCCCTCTAGGCAGATTTTGTTCCATCAGGAAATCCTGGAGGTTTTCCCAGATGCAGGAGGCAGCTGTGCTGCTCCAGAATTGCTGGGGTTAAACTCAATCAGCTGCCAGCCTCAGAGTCAGCTAAACAGAGAGAAAACAAAATTATCCCAAATTCTCTCTCCTCCCCCACAGTGCATAAACAGCAGAGGCTGAAAGCTCTCCAGAAAGTCACCGAGGGTATTTCTCTAATCAGAGAACAGGGAGAAGTGACTGTGCAATAAAAAAGCTAATTATCCAGCAGAGCCACATTCCCTGCTCCCAGCCTGCAGACAGAACCCACGGCCACGTGCTCACCAGCCCCAACACCCCACACACAGAGGGGTTCTACATCGGACAGGGCCTTTTTTGGGGGGTCTGGAAAGCCAGGATCCAGCATTCCCACTGGGATCCAGCAGGAATGTGGCTTCCGTGCCCATTTCCATGCACAGTTGTGTGTCTGCACACCCTGGGATCCAGCATGTGCAGAGCAGCCCACGATGAACAGAGAGAGAGCCCTGCACCAGACAGAGCCTTTTTGGGGTCTGAAAACCCAGTGCCAGATCCAGGACCCAGAATTCCCACTGGGATCCAGCAGGAATGTGGCTTCCGTGCCCATTTCCATGCACAGTTGTGTGTCTGCACACCCTGGGATCCAGCATGTGCAGAGCAGCCTGTGATGAACACACAGAGGGCTTTTTGTAGGGTCTGGAGACCCAGTGCCAGATCCAGGACTCAGCATTCCCACTGGGATCCAGCAGGAATTGTGTTCCATGCCCATTTCCATGCAGAGCAGTGTCTGCACACCCTGGGATCCAGCATGTGCAGAGCAGCCCACGATGAACAGAGAGAGAGCCCTGCACCAGACAGGGCCTTTTTTGGGGTCTGAAAACCCAGTGCCAGATCCAGAATTCCCACTGGGATCCAGCAGAAATTGTGTTCCATGCCCTTTTCCATGCAGAGCAGTGTCTGCACACCCCGGGATCCAGAGTGTGCAGAGCAAGGTGGGCACTGGGGATCCTCTGGCTGCCCTGGGCACCAGCAGAGCCCCAGGGCAGCACAGGGATGTCCCCAGGCCATGCAAGTCCCCAGGTGGGGACAGAGAGGGGGACAGCAGCCCCGAGGTGTCACCAGCTGAGCCACGGGCAGGGCTGTCCACAGGCAGCACCCAGGGCAGGAGCAAATCCTGCCTGTCCCTCCTGGCCGTGGCTCAGCCAGCCCTGGGGACAGTCCCAGCGGCCACTCTGCCTCCAGAAGAGATTTCAAGCAACTCCTCTGCCCATCCCTGGGGTGTCCCAGGGCCGGGCAGTGGGAAGAACCAGCAGGATTTGGGCTCAGCCTTGCCCTTCTCCCAGCAATGCTCGTGAACTCGGGGGGTTTTGAGCAAGAACTGCCAATTTTTGCCCGCCCTCAGGAGGGTGGACTCAAACACCAGCCCTGCAAAGGAGGAGAAGAGGTAAAACTGGAGGAAGCAACAAGGAACTGGGGGGGGAAAGGACCAGAAAGGTTCATAACTTTGTTAACAGCATAAAAAACTGGGGTTTTGAAGGGTTTCCCGCCCCATCCTTCAGGTTTGGGACTGAGTGTGTGAGTGAAGGCTGAGAGGGAGAGAAACAGGCGGGGTTAGGGGGGTGCAGGTGCTCTCTGTGGTTATTAAAGTCATGCATTGTAATAGAGACCATCACTCACTGCCCGCAGGAGGAGATGCAGCAGCAGCAGCAACAGCAGAAGTGGTGGGAGTGGAATTGACGGAGGAAAGAGCTACATGGGTTGGGCTAGAAACATTTTTTACATCGTGGTGCTGGCTCACGATGGAAGGCTGTCTCCTGAGGGCTCCCTGCAAAGAGGAGGCGCCGGTCTGGAATGTGTAAACTACGTCCATCTGCAAAGAACCAGAGAGTGAGATAGCGACACCCGGCCAGGGACAGGGACAGGGGACAGGGGAGGGCGGGCAGACACACAGCAAGGAAGGAGGAGGATGGAGAGACGAGGAAGAGGAGGAGGAAGGAGGAAAGAGCCACCCCCCCCCACCCCACGCTCCCTGAAACCCACGTGGGGTTTTGCTGGTGGTGTTGGGGGGGAGCAGAGAGAGTGCCCAGCTCTGCCCTTCCCAGGGCAGCCAGAGCGGCAGGGTTGATCCCCCCACCAGGAAAAGGGAGGCAGTGGCAGAGGAAACACCTGGGGTTATCCAAAAATCTGCAGGAGGAGCAGAGAGAGGCAGAGAGGGTGGGCAGAGTGCGAGTGGGCAGCTGGTGGGGAAGGGCTCCTGGTGCCTCAGCCCCGTGGGGCCACTTTGGGGACGCTCCACGGGCTCCCCACAGCCCCCATGGCAGCAGGAGGTGTGCCAGCCCCTCTCCCAGCCTCGGGGCTGCTGGGCATGCAGCACCCTGGTGGTGGGGCCATGGCTGCCCTGTGGATGTGTCCCAAGGCTCCAGGAACTGAGCAGCATCCGTGGAACTGAGGAAGTGTTCCTCAGTGGGCTTGAGGAACTGAGCAGCATCCGTGGCTTCCTGGGCACTTTGTGGCTGGGTGATGCCAGCCCTGTGGCACCTTCTGGGCACCTCCTCCAGCCCCAGGTGTTTCACACATGGCTTCGCTCCTGCCCCACTCTGATGTCCCACTTCTCCCCTGAGCCCTTTTCACACACCCCAAATGGGGACAGGAGCCCCCCCCGTGCTCAGGTTGGACCCCAGAGAGGCTCCAGGAGGTGCCAGCACCCATTTCTCACGTGGCAGGAGCCCATCTCAGCTCCAGCACAGGGAAGCACCCAGGAAGCTCCAGGGGCACCTCTGGCACTGCAGCCCTGCAGAGCTCCCAGGTTCCCAGCACATCTGCAGCACTTCCAGGAGGTCCTGGAAGCTCCCAGCACGTTCCTCATGTCAGTGAAGCACTGGTTACCCCCACACAGAGCCCAGCTGCCCCTCGGGGCTCCCAACCAGCCAGGAACCGAGGCTGAGCTTCACCCTGAAGCCACAGAGAAGGGAAGTGACCTCTGCCCCAGCCCCATTTCCCGTTTGTTTGTCACAGAGGAGGAACAAAGGTGACCCAGCAGCTCTGCCTGCCTGGGGACACCAGAACTTCCCTCCGTGGGACAGCTCTGCCCTGGCCTCCAGGGAAAGCGAGGGGCACGGAGCTCTCCCTGCTTGGTGGGAGCAAAAATCCACCCTTCTGGGGTGGGGAAAAAGGAAAAAATCAGGGGAGAAAGTGAGGGAAAACCAAGAGATGTAAAAAGAAGACTGAGCAATTTTCTCCCCTCGTGTGCCGTGGGGCTGAGCTCTGGGTGTGGGGCACAGGGAGCTGGCACAGAGGGGTGGCACAAGGAGCCACAAGGAGCCACACCAGGGAGGCTCTGGTGCTGGCAGATCCCTGCTGGGCACATTCCCACTGGGAACAGCATCCCAGCAGAGCCTGGGGGGCTCCGTGCACCCCTCACAGCCTCCTGTGATGCAGAGGTGACCACCAGTGACACATCCAGCCTCCTGCTGAGCAGCAGCACGGTGCCTGCAGCACAACAGCCTCCCCCCACCCCCAGCTGTCCCAAAATCCAGGTTTTCCTGGCTCCCTGCAAAGGCACAGGTCTAAGCCTGGCCCGGGAGGCGACGGCATCCTGCGAGCAGCAGTTGTCACCTCTCAGCAGGCAGAGCCCCTGCAGGGGGAGAGAGACAGGAGGAGACACAGCAGGCAGAGCCCCCCCAGCCCTGCTGCCCCCCAGTACCTGGGTCTGGATCCTGTTGAGCCCCCGGAACCACAGGATCTGCCCCCGCCGCAGCTCCATCTCCGCGTGGTCGATCTCGTCCACGTCCTCGGGCAGCTCCTCCTCGGGGATCTCCTCCTTGGTGATGCCGTGCCCTGCCTCCTTCAGGAACTTCAGGTGGCTCGTTGGCACGGTGCAGATCAGCTGGGGACATTCAGGGACACAGCAGGGACTTAGCCTGAGGGCGTGGTGGTGCCGAGGGTTTAGCTTTTGTGGGTTTTAGATCCTGTGCTGTGGGTCTGAGCTTTGTGCTAAGTGTTGGTGAGCTCTGTTCACAGGGCAGGGAGACAAAACAACTCCTTCTCTGTGATCCAAGTTTCAAATGATCAAAATTTCAGGCCCTCTCTATGATCCAAATTTCAAATGATCCAAATCTCAGCCCAGGAGCTCAAACCACATGGAATGAAGAGAGAAAAACAAGGATGGGACTGCATGGGCTGGAGATGTAATTGGACAATTAACTCCAATATGCAAATGGAGCAGAACTGATAAAAGTGTGAGACCTTGTGACCAGTCATGCATTTTGTGACCATTTTAGGTCCATCTTGGGTTCATCTTGTGACCATTTTGGTCCATCTCAGGTTCATTTTGTGACCATTTTTGGTTCATCCTGGGTTCATTTTGTGCCCATTTTGGTTCATCCTGGGCTCATTTTGTGCCCATTTTGGTTCATTTGGGTGCAGCCCTGGCTGGGCTCTTGTGCTGCCCAAGGTGGATCCATGGAGGAGCTCCTTTTAATAAATCCCTGTTTATTCTTTAGCTCTGCTTAGTCCCTGTTCTAGCTCAGCCTTCCCAAGGCATCAGCTCCAGTGCCACCAGCCCAGGGTAGCTGCCAGTGGGGACACCAGGAATGTCCCTGTCACTGCTGGGTGTGTCCCTCTGCAGCTGTGTGGAACTGAGGAGGGGCATCAGCCCCTTCCTAAACACCTTCCTGAAGAGCTGCCCTGGAGAAAAACCAGGGAGATCAAGGGCAGGGAGGGAAAGATGGGCCAGGATTTTGGGGTTGGCCCTTACCTGGCCCCACAGGAGCTCTCCCACTCCGATGAAAATGCACCAGAACCACTGGCTCAGGGTGAGCCCAGAGCAGCTGAAGGGCTTCCCACCAAACTCCACAATGATGATCTGCAGCACAGGAGACAAGAGTCACACCCTGGCCATGGAAACGTCCCTTGGGCCACGCTTTTCCCTCTCTCCTGGGATTACAAGAGGAGCAAGGACCTCACTCACTTCCAGGCTGGGGATTTTAGGAGCAAGGACCTCACTCACTTCCAGGCTGGGAATTTTGTGGAACACCAGAGAGTGCAAAGACTTCTCATCCAGACTGGAAAATTTATGGGACACCAGAAAGGAGGAAGGACCTCACATCCAGGCTGGAAATTTTGTGGAACACCAGAAAAGAGCAGGGACCTCACACCAGGCTGGGAATTTTAGGATTAAGGACCTCACATCCTCACTGTGAATTTTGTGGAACACCAGAGAGGAGCAGGGACTTCCCACTCAGGCTGGGAATTCATGAAACACCTCCCAACACGGTCTGGACCCCATATCCTGAAATCCCAGGATGTTTTGGGCTGGAAGGGATTTAAAGCCCACCCAGGTCCATGCACAGGGACACCTTCCACCAGCTCAGGTCGCTCTGAGCTCCACCCAACCCAGCCTTGAGCACTTCTGGGGTGGCTTTTGTGCCACCAAGGTGCTGCTGGTGAAGGCCAAGGGCACAGAACAGAGCCTGCCTGTGCCACAGCTCCTGCTGTGGATGCTGAAAGTCTGGTCAGAGAAAAAGTCAGATAAACTTTCCCAGGCCTTGCTCTGGGAAGTTTTGAGAAAGCTCAGAGGAAGAATTAAAGCAATCCTGCAGCTGGTGTTTTGAACGTGCTGTTATCTTGTAAGAGGTGCAAGAAGGGTTCTGTTCCTAATTAGCCAATGACGTGAGGGTGTTGATTAAGGACCAATCAGGTCCAGCTTTCTCAGAATTGTCAATAAAAGAAAGTGTGGTTTCTAATAAATTTGCCTTTTGCCTTCTGAGAATTTGAACTCTGTGTTGCTCTATTCACCCATCCTTAACACAACAGCGACACCCTGGCAGCCCTTCAGGATAAAAAGGCATCAAACCAGAGCTTTCCACCATAAATAAATGCCCAAAGCCTGATCCAGCACCGTGCCTGGAATTGGGGTGAAAAGCTGCAGGGAAAACCAAATCCTGGGGCTCCCGTGGCTCTCCTGGATCCAGCAGAGACACCAGGACAGGGCAGGTCCCTGCTCTGGGACCTCCAAGGAATTCCCAGCCCCTTTTTCAAAGCCCTGCACAGCTCAGACTGAAACCCAACATCCTAAGAAAATCCCTTTTGGGTTTTTATTCCATCCCATAGATTTGGATCAGAGTTTCCAAGGTCTGGAAGCAATCCCAGTGGAATAACCCACGTGGAACAAAAGTGGAAGCCATGGAATAATGCATGGAGGAAAGTGGAAGCCACGGAATCCCAGTGGAACAACCCACAGAGCAAAGTGGAAGCCATGGAATAACCCACATGGAATAACCCATGGAGCAAAGGGGAAGCCATGGAATAACCCACGTGGAATAACCCATGGAGCAAAGTGGAAGCCATGGAATAACCCACATGGAATAACCCACGCAGCAAAGTGGAAGCCATGGAATAACCCACGTGGAATAACCCATGGAGCAAATTGGAAGCCATGGAATAACCCACATGGAATAACCCATGGAGCAAAGTGGAAGCCATGGAATAACCCACATGGAATAACCCATGCAGCAAAGGGGAAGCCATGGAATAACCCACGTGGAATAACCCATGGAGCAAATTGGAAGCCATGGAATAACCCACATGGAATAACCCATGGAGCAAAGTGGAAGCCATGGAATAACCCACATGGAATAACCCACGCAGCAAAGGGGAAGCCATGGAATAACCCATGTGGAATAAAAGTGGAAGCCATGGAATAACCCATGTGGAACAAAAGTGGAAGCCATGGAATAACCCATGGAGCAAAGTGGAAGTCATGGAATCCCAGTGGAACAACCCACGGAGCAAAGGGGAAGCCATGGAATAACCCATGTGGAATAAAAGTGGAAGCCATGGAATAACCCATGTGGAACAGCCCATGGAGCCATGGCACCTCAGTGGAACAACCCATGGAGCAAAGCCGAACGCCCAGGCTGGGGTCACCTGGGCAAAGAAGGTGCCCAGCACCACGGTGCAGAAGATGGGGTTGCGGTAGATGCCCTCGAAGACGTTCCTCTCGCCGTGGATCTTGCGGGCGTTGATCTCGTTGAAGAGCTGCATCATCACGAAGGTGTTGAAGACGATGGTGTAGTGCTCGGTGGGCGGCGAGTGCAGGGGCGCGTTCCGGCCGCTGTCGATGTCGAAAAACTTCTCCCCTGAGCAGGGAAAAAAAAGGGATTTGGGGAAGGGAAGATGTGGGAGAGGTTTTACAGCATTTCTGTAAGACAGAGAGAAGCTTGAGAAGAGGATGCGTGTTTACGCCGAATGAATTTTCTAGCAGGGTTGTTGACATAGAATGACCAAAACGTCCCAAAATAGAAACCAAGAAAGAAAGAAAAACCAATAGGAAAAAAAAAAATAGAAAACAAGAAAAAAAGAAAAACCAAAAGAAAGAAAGAAAAACCAATAGAAAGAAAAAAAAACATTAGGAAAAAAACAAGAGAAACCACAAAAGAAAGAAAACCCAATAGAAAACAAGAAAAAAAGAAAAACCAATAGAAAGAAAGAAAAACCAATAGAAAAACCAAGAGAAACCAAGAAAGAAAGAAAAAACAATAGAAAAAAAATAGAAAACAAGAAAAAAAGAAAAACCAAAAGAAAGAAAGAAAAACCAACAGAAAAAAACCCAATAAAAACTGAGAAAGAAAGAAAACCAATAGAAAAAATCCAATAGAAACCAAGAAAGACCTCCTTTTTCCCCTTTCCTTTCCTCCCTTGCCTTTTCCTTTTTTTCTTTCCTTTTCCTTTTTCATTTCTCCTTTCCTTCTCCTTTTTTCCCTTACCTTTTCCTTTTCTCCTTTCCCTTCCCCTTTTCTCCTTTCCTTTTCCTTTTTCCCCTTTCCTCTCTCTTCTTCGCCTTTCCTTTTCCCCTTTCTCATTCCCTTTCATTTTCCTTTTCTCCCCCCCTTTCCCTTTCCCTTTCCCTTTCCCTTTCCCTTTCCCTTTCCCCTCTCCCCTTTCCTCCCCTCCCTCCCAGGACGCCGTGGCGCTGCGGCTGACCAGCGAAGAGCAGGGTGAAGATGATGGTGAGCTGGTAGACGGCGTGGCCCAGGATGTTTTTCATCATGGTGCGGGAGATGAGCGGCTTGTTGCGCCCGTAGGGTTTGCGCAGCAGCAGCGACTCCGACGGCGGCTCCGTGGCCAGCGCCAGCGAGGCGAACGTGTCCATGATCAGGTTCACCCACAGCATCTGCACGGCCTTCAGGGGCGAGTCCTGAGGGGGGAGAACATGTCATGCCACCAAAATAAACCTTCGTTCCCTCTTTGTTTTGCTCTCCTCCTAAAAACCTCTCGAAAAATCGCTCTTGGGTACTCAACATCTTCCTAAAACATTCCCCAGAATTTCTCCTATTCTCCACGGCCTTCAGGGGAGAACCCTAAGGGGGATCAAACAGACACACCATCAAAATACACCTCTGTTCCTTCTTTGTTTTGCTTTCCTCCTGAAAACCTCTCCAAAATTGCACTTAGGTATTCAGCATCTTCCTAAAAAATTCCCAAATATTTCTCCTTTTCTCCACAGCCTTCAGGGGGGAGTCCTGAGGGGGAGAACAGTCACACCACCAAAATAAACCTTTGTTCCCCTCTTTGTTTTGCTTTCCTCCTAAAAACCCCTGCAAAATCGCTCTTGGGTACCAAAATAAACCTCTGTTCCTTCTTTGTTTCACTCTCCTCCTGAAAACCTCTGCAAAATTGCTCTTGGGTACCAAAATAAATCTCTGTTCCCTCTTTGTTTCACTCTCCTCCTGTAGAGAACTCCAGAATTGCCCTGGGGTATTCAACACCTTCCTAAAACATTCCCGAACATTTCTCCTTTTCTCCAAGCTCCCTGCACAGCCTACAGGGGACAGAACATGTCACGCCATCAAAATAAACCTTTGTTCCCTCTTTGTTTTGCTCTCCTCCTGGAGAGAACTCCAGAATCGCTCTTGGGTATTTAACACCTTCCTAAAACACCCCCAAGATATTTCTTCTTTTCTCTGAGACCTCCTGTGTCCCACCTGCCCAGGTGAGCTCACCTGGGTGATGCAGGTGGCAGTGAAGGCCACGATTACAGACACCATGTCCCAGCCACCAAGGTGACATCCCCCATGTCCCACCCACCCAGGTGAGACCTCCCATGTCCCACCCACCCAGGTGAGCTCACCTGTGTGCTGCAGGCACCAATGAAGGCAACAGTGATGCCACCACCATGTCCCACCCACCCAGGTGAGACCCCCCATGTCCCACCCGCCCAGGTGAGCTCACCTGGGTGATTCAGGTACCAGTGAAGGCCACGATGACCCCACCCCACGTCCCACCTGGCCAGGTGAGCTCACCTGTGTGATGCAGGCCCCGGTGAAGGCCACGATGACGGCCACCACGTTGACGGTGAGCTGGAACTGCAGGAACTTGGCGATGCTGTCGTAGACGTTGCGGCCCCACATGACGGCCTTGACGATGCTGGTGAAGTTGTCATCTGTCAGGATGATGTCCGAGGCCTCCTTGGCCACGTCCGTGCCCGCGATGCCCTTGGGGACAAAGCCAGGGGTGAGTGACGCTCCTGCCTGGCTCTGCAGGGACGTGCCCAGCAGGAAAAGCCCCCGGAGCTGGAGCCAACCCCTGCTCGGCAGGGCCAGCAGAGCTCCAGAGCCTTCAGGGACAGGCTGAGGCAGCCCAGCTTTCCCAGACAGAGCCACGGTGCAGAAAAGCTGGGAAACAGCTGGGAAAACAGCTGGGAAACAGACAGGAAACAGCTGGAAAACAGCTGGGAAATGGACAGGAAGCAGCCAGAATACAGCTGGGAAAACAGCTGGGAAACAGCTGGGAAACAGCTGGAAAACAGGCAGGAAAAGAGACTGGAAACAGCCAGGAAAACACCAGGAAACAGCTGGAAAACAGCTGGAAAATGGTCCGAAAACAGCTGGGGAAATGCCAGGAAATGGAAAATGGATGGGAAAACAGGAACACAGACAGGAAACAGCCAGAAAACAAACAGGAAAACAGCTAGAAAACAGACAGGAAAACAGCTGGAAAACAGACTGGAAACAGCTGGGGAAACAGACAGGAAATTCGCTGGCCAACAGCTCCCTCCTCATGCCAGGGATTGGCTCCATCCCGGGCTCGGTGTCTCTGCTGGGAGCCCAAAGGAGGGAGAGCTCAGCCCGAAGGTTTCTGCCCCATCCCGGGCTGAGAACGGCCCCACAGCTTCCCAAAAATCCCCAAAAATCCCCAGCAGAGCCTCCAGGACAGCGGCCGGGCTGCGCTTCCCGGAGCCGGCACAGCGAGGCGCTCGCCCCGCAGGAATTCCATGCAGGAATTCCAAGCCCTGCCCAAAACGAGCCCATTCCTGGCGTTTTCCCGGATTCCCCAGATCCCAATCCAACCTCAAAGGGGAAATCCCTGCCTGTTGCAGGGCATGGCGTTTAGGGGAACAGCTTTCCCTGCTTCTGGAATTGCGTTTGGAATGTTCAGCACACTCCTAAAAACACTTCCCAAAAATCCCTCATTTGCTCCCCACCCAGCTCCTGCTCACGTCCCTAAAATTAACCCACAGGGAACCTGTTAAAAACAACAGGTTTATTTTCCTGCTCCTTTCAGACAGGATAAAAAAGCATCAAACCAGAGCTTTCCACCATAAATAAATGCCCAAAGCCTGATCCAGCACCGTGCCTGGAATTGGGGTGAAAAGCTGCAGGGAAAACCAAATCCTGGGGCTCCCGTGGCTCTCCTGGATCCAGCAGAGACACCAGGACAGGGCAGGTCCCTGCTCTGGGACCTCCAAGGAATTCCCAGCCCCTTTTTCAAAGCCCTGCACAGCTCAGACTGAAACCCAACATCCTAAGAAAATCCCTTTTTGGGTTTTTAGTCCATCCCAAAGATTTGGAATAGAGATTCCACGGTCTGGAAGCAATCCCAAGAGCAAAGGAAAACCCCCAGGCTGGCCCTACCATGGCAAAGCCAACGTCTGCTTTCTTCAGGGCTGGGCCATCGTTGGTCCCATCCCCTGTCACAGCCACCACCTGCCTCTGGTCACCCACGGTGCTGTCGATGATTCCTGCCGTGGAAAGGAGAAATGAAACCCCAAGGGAAGGATCCCAGCCTGGGTCAGGCTGGAAAAATGCCAGGGAGGAGCCCCTGGGGAGGGCAGTGCCCACCTTTGACCAGGGTGTGCTTGTCCGTGGGGGAGGAGCGCGCCAGCACCCGCAGCTTGGGCCAGATCTTGTCCAGCTGCTCCTGCTCCACCTGCAGGACCAGGAAAAGGGAAGTGATTCCCCCCCAGGAATCTTCTGTCCCACCAGAGGGCAAATCCCAGCTGGGACAGGGCAGGGGGTTCCCCCCAAACACTGCTGAGCACCCCAGCAGCTTCCTCATGCAAGGAAATGAGGAAAAGCCAGCAGGGCTTGGGAAACCCAGCAGGATTTGGGAAACCCATCAGGATCTGGAAAATCCATCAGGATTTGGGAAACCCAGCAAGATCCTGAAAACCCATCAGGATTTGGGAAACCCATTGGGATTTGGAAAATCCATAAGGATCTGGAAAACCCCTCAGGACTTGGAAAACCCATAAGGATTTGGGAAACCCCCCAGGATTCGGAAAAGCCATCAGGATTTGGGAAACCCCTCAGGATTTAAGAACCCCTCAGGATTTAAGAACCCCTCAGGATTTAAGAACCCCTCAGGATTTAAGAACCCCTCAGGATTTAAGAACCCCTCAGGATTTAAGAACCCCTCAGGATTTAAGAACCCCTCAGGATTTAAGAACCCCTCAGGATTTAAGAACCCCTCAGGATTTAAGAACCCCTCAGGATTTAAGAACCCCTCAGGATTTAAGAACCCCTCAGGATTTAAGAACCCCTCAGGATTTAAGAACCCCTCAGGATTTAAGAACCCCTCAGGATTTAAGAACCCCTCAGGATTTAAGAACCCCTCAGGATTTAAGAACCCCTCAGGATTTAAGAACCCCTCAGGATTTAAGAACCCCTCAGGATTTAAGAAACCCCTCAGGATTTGGGAAACCCTTCAGGATCTGGGAAACCCAGCAAGATCCTGAAAACCCCTCAGGATTTAAGAACCCCTCAGGATTTAAGAAACCCCTCAGGATTTGGGAAACCCCTCAGGATTTGGGAAACCCCTCAGGATTTGGGAAACCCCTCAGGATTTGGGAAACCATCAGAATCTGGAAAACCCAGCAAGATCCTGAAAACCCCTCAGGATTTGGAAAACCCCTCAGGATTTGGGAACCCCTCAGGACTGGGGTTGTTGCAGCTGCAGGAGCCTCCGTGCCCCGGGCAGGGCAGAGCTCTCGCACCTCTCCCTTCTCGTTGCGGATGAGCCGGTTGAACTCCTTCCCCTCCAGGCACAGGAAGTCCTCCCCGGGCAGCAGGATGCCACACTTGGTGGCGATGGCGCGGGCAGTGTTGATGTTGTCCCCTGTCACCATGCGGACGGTGATGCCCGCGCGCTGGCACTTCAGGATGGCATCGGGCACCTGGGGACAGGGACGGGGTTGGCACTGGGAGTGAGGCAGCTCCTCGTCCCTAAAAGCATCTGCAGAGGGCTCTGGAGGGGTGAGGGAGCTGCATCTGCCACCCCAAGGGGAAAGGGACCTCGCTGCCACCTTGGTGCCACCTCACTGTCACCTCCCTGGGTGCCAAGGCATGGCCAGGCTGTCCATAAAGCAGGAGTTTCATCCTCTGCCACCCCACTAATGGGTTTATCCATCAGGGAGCAGTGGGGGAAGAGAGGAAATTGGAGTGAGCAATGAGCAAATCGAATCAGGAGCCTCCAGAGCTCTGCAGCCGCGGGATCTGTAATGCAATTCCCAGATTGCCAGATCCCTGAACATCTCATCAGGGACCAGCACAGCAGGGGGAGAGCTCCAGACTGCATCCAGAGGCAGGAATGGGCATTATTGCATTAGCCCAGCACACAGCTCAGAGGGAAAACCAGCTCCAGGAGCCCAGGGATTCTTCCTGGCTTTTTCCATCCACCTTTGGTGCAGCCTGGAGCAGCACAGACCCAAAGATTGGGAATTTTGCATGGGAACATGCTGCCATGGTGTTGTTTTGTCCAAAAATGGGAGAGAAATGCCCACAGCAGAGATGGACACAGAGGAGCTGCTGGAATTCCTCGGGAAAACATCAGGGATGGGGACAGAGGAGCTGCTGGAATTCCTCGGGAGAACATCAGGGATGGGCACAGAGGAGCTGCTGGAATTCCTTGGGAGAACATCAGGGATGGGCACAGAGGAGCTGCTGGAATTCCTCGGGGAAACATCAGGGATGGGGACAGAGGAGCTGCTGGAATTCTTTGGGGGAACATCAGGAGTGGTCACAGAGGAGCTGCTGGAATTCCTTGGGGGAACATCAGGGATGGGGACAGGGGAACTGCTGGAATTCCTTGGGGGAACATCAGGGATGGGGACAGGGGAACTGCTGGAATTCCTTGGGGGAACATCAGGGATGGGCATAGAGGAGCTGCTGGAATTCCTGGGGGGAACATCAGGGATGGGCATAGAGGAGCTGCTGGAATTCCTCGGGGAAACATCAGGGATGGGCATAGAGGAGCTGCTGGAATTCCTCGGGGAAACATCAGGGATGGGCATAGAGGAGCTGCTGGAATTCCTGGGGGGAACATCAGGGATGGGCATAGAGGAGCTGCTGGAATTCCTGGGGGGAACATCAGGGATGGGGACAGGGGAGCTGCTGGAATTCCTGGGGGGAACATCAGGGATGGGCATAGAGGAAGCTGCTGGAATTCCTGGGGGGAGCATCAGGGATGGGGACAGGGGAATTGCTGGAGTTCCCGAGGGGATACAGCCCTGAGCAGCAGGAGGAGGGCCGGGACAGCGCAGGACAGGTTGGATTTGTCACCTCGGGCCGTACGGGATCCTCGATCCCCACCACAGCGATGCAGGTCAGGTCAGACAGGATCTCGTTCTCGCTGTCCCAGTCGGGCTCTGCCTCCGCAGGGAAATCCCGGAATGCCAGGCAGATGGTCCTGAGCCCGTGGCAGGCCATGGGCTCGATCACCTTCTTCACCATCTCGTCCCTGTCCTTCACCTTGAACACCCGCGGCTCGCCGCTCTTGTCCAGGATCTTGGTGCACCTGAGGGGACCGGGAGGTGAGGCAGGGTCGCATTCCTGGCACCCCATCCATAAAAAAGGGGCTGTTCCTTTTTCACAGCCCACTCCAGATTTCCTAAACCCACCCAAAAAACTCTCAGCACATTCCTGTCACCACATCCACAAAAAGGGGCAGATCCCCCTTCCACAACTCCCTCCAGCTTTACCAAACCCACCCAAAAAACACTTGGCACATTCTTGGTACCCCATCTACAAAAAGGGGCTGTTCCCTTTTCACAACCCCCTCCAGATTTCCTAAATCCACCCAAAAACCACTCAGCACATTCCTGTCACCCCATCTATAGAAGAGACACACCCCTCCTTCCACAGCTCCCTCCAGATTCCCCAAACCCACCCAAAAAACACTCAGCACATTCCTGGCAACCCATTTCCCAAAGGGGCTCATCTCCCTTCCACAACTCCCTCCAACTTTCCCAAAACCCCCCTAAAAAACACTCAGCACATTCCTGGCAACCCATTTCCAAAAGGGGCTCATCCCCTTCCACCAACTCCCTCCAACTTTCCCAAAACCACCCTAAAAAACACTCAGCACATTCCTGGCACCCCATCTACAAAAAGGGGCTATCCCCCTTTTCACAGCCCACTCCAGCTTTCCCAAAAACCACTTGGCACATTCCTGGCACCCCACTTCCAAAATGGGCTCATCCCCCTTCCACAACTCCCTCCAACTTTCCCAAAACCACCCTAAAAAACACTCAGCATGTTCCTGGGGGCTATCCCCCTTTTCACAGCCCACTCCAGCTTTCCCAAACCACTTGGCACATTCCCGGCACCCCACCCACAGAAAGGGGCTATCCCCTTTTTCACAGCTCCCTCCAACTTCCCCAAACCCACCCAAAAACCACTCCTGGCCCCCCATCCGGACACCCCCTTTCCCCGAGGCTTCCCCACACGCCCCCAGCCCCCAGGGGAGGGGGCAGCAGCAGGATTTACTTGCGCAGGATGATCTCGGAGGCGCCCTTGCTGTACATGCGGAAGCCGCCGCCGCTGCTCCTCAGCACGGTGCTCATGGACTTGCGCACGGAGTTGAAGGTGTACACCTGGTTTGTGGGGGAAAAGCAGCAAACTCACTCCACAGCTTGTACATGCTGAAAAGGTGGGGTGTTTTCTACAGCGCTGTGGGGGTCGTTCCCCCTAGGAATGCACACCCCAGAGGAATTCCCAAAGGAAATCCCAAAGACATGCACACCCCAAAGGAATTCCCAAAGGAAATCCCAAAGCCATGCACACCCCTGAGAATTCCCAAAGGGAAATCCCAAGGAATTCCCAAAGGGAAATCCAAGAACATGCACCCTCCTGAGAATTCCCAAACCTTTTTTTATCCCCCCCTTTATTGTACATATGCACAGAGTTTCACAATAGGTTTACGTATATTCATTTTACTGGTTTTGTGTTACAACTTGCAATTAGTCCTTGTACAGAGAACTCTCTGGTCACTGTGTCTTTGCAGCTTCAGCTTTGGCTCTCACCCTTGTTTCAAAGTTCAAGGGGCCCCTCTTATCTCCCTTTTCAGTTTTGGAGTTCCCATTCTTTTTCCTTAGCTGAGGCAGTTTGCGAGCACCGCAGGGTTAACAGACCAAACAAGTTAAAACAGCACATTTCACCTACGCTAGCCAGCTACAGACACCTAAATCTGGATTTCTACCCTGGGTTTCTACCCTGCTGAATTTCTACTCCGTTTCAGACCTTGTAGAGCTTCTCCTCGGGCACCTCGTTGCGCACAGCCTGGTAATCCTGCTTCAGGTCCAGCACGAAGCCCAGCAGGGCACACTCGGTCTTGTTGCCCACCTGGCGGGGCAGCCCCCCTTCCTTCTCTGGTGGCTGCAAAAAGGAGGGAAAAGCAATGCCAACCCCGGGCGTGGAGCAGGGTGCAATGATGGAATGATGGGTGGAATGAGGCCTTAAGTTTTAGCTCTCATATTTTCCAGATTCTGTACAGCATTAGGATACAACTCTGAGCTCCACATGCTCTCCTCACAGCTCAGTCACACACAACAATCCTTTTCCAGCCCCAGAACCAAGGACACCCCTGCAGCTTCAGCCCCAAAAAGTGCAAACAACAGGGAATGGAGGAGAGCAATCTGGGAGGATGGGACTGCATCACCTGGAGCTGTGATTGGACAATTAACTCCAATATGGAAGTGGAGCAGAACTTATAAAAGTGTGAAAACTCATGACCAGGTGTCCATCTTGGGCGGAGCCATGGCCAGGCTCTTGTACTGCCCAAGGTGTGTCCTTGAAGATACACCTTGGGCAGGTAGGACAGGGGACAAGGTGAGGGGACACGGACAGCCCTTCCCCAGCAGCTCTGGGGTCACTGTCGCTACATTTTAACAAATCCCTACTTTATTCCTCTAACTCTGGGCACCCTCTCAAGTCACCAGCACACCGCCAAGCTTTGGTGCTGCAGCTCACCAGGATTTTGGAGGTGTAGGCAGAGTTGATGGCCACGCCGTGGACGATGAGGTCCAGGATTTTGGGCAGGATGGCCTCGGGGTCGGGGATCTGGCGGTAGTGGGTGTCCCCCACGTAGGCCTGCACCACGGTCATGCGGTTGGTGGTCAGCGTGCCCGTCTTGTCCGAGCAGATGGCCGTGGCGTTGCCCATGGTCTCGCAGGCGTCCAGGTGCCTCACCAGGTTGTTGTCCTTCATCATTTTCTGCAAGCACGCAGAAGGTCAGGGCCGGCCTCGCCGCCGTCACCCCCGTCCCTCCTCCTCACGCCCGGGCCTCACCTTGACGGAGTAGGCCAGCGAGATGGTGACGGCCAGCGGGAGCCCCTCGGGGACGGCCACCACCAGCACGGTGACGCCGATGATGAAGAACTTGACGAAGTACTGGATGTAGATGGGGGTGCACTCGGCCAGCCAGGGCCGCTTCTGCACCCCGAAGGTGTCGATGACGAAGTAGAGCACCAAGATGATGACGGTGATGGCCGACATGATCAGCCCTGGGGACAAGGATGAGGTGAGGGGACACCGGGGAGAGGGTCAGCCCTTCCTCATCAGCTCTGGGGACACCAGGAAAGGGGACAAGGATGATGAGAGGGGACACTGGGGACAGGGTCAGCCCTTCCTCACCAGCTCTGGGGACACCAGGAAAGGGGACAAGGATGAAGAGAGGTGACACTGGGGACAGGGTCAGCCCTTCTCCACCAGCTCTGGGAACAATGGGAACAAGCAAAGCCCTCCCCCAGCAGCTCTGGAGACACAGGGGACAGGGTCAGTCCTTCCTCCCCAGCTCTGGGGACACTGGGGACAGGGACAGCCCTTCCCCAGCAGCTCTGGGGTCACTGTCACTGTCACTGTCACTCACCTGCCTTCCCAATCTGCACCGCCAGGCGCGTGAGCTTCCCCTGCAGCACCGACTTCTCCTTCTTGGGCACCTTCACCTTCTTCTTCTCCTTCTCCTCGTTTTCCACCCCCTCCTGGCTCTTCAGGGGCTGGATCTCTAAGGCCACACCATCCTGAGTTTTAGCTACAGCCCAGGGGGCAAAAGAAGACACCACGTGTGAACAGGAGAGACCCAGGCCAGCCTGGAGGACACCACTGAGGAGGATGGTGGTGGCAGAGAGAGAGAGAGAGAGAAATCCAGGACAAGAACCACTCCCGAGCACACACGCGTCCGAGCACATGGAAGCTCCGTGTCCAGGGCCCTGCCACCTCTCTCCGGGGTGCTTTGCCATCCTCTACCCCCTGCCCACGGATAAGGGATCCTCAGAGGTGACTCTCTAGGCAACAGACCCTCTAGGCCAGATTTTGGGGTCTCTTCCAGCCTCTAAGCCTGCAGAGGACTGGGAGCGCTTTGGTAAGAGCCCAGAGATGCTCCAGTGTCCCCAGTCCCTCGATGAGTGTCCCCAGGTCCCCCAGTGCCACCTCTGCAGTGCCCTGTGGGCAGCCCAGGGAAGCGACGGAGGGGGTGAGATGGAGGGGAGGGTTAGAAATTGGGATGGAGACTGAAGAGCAGGGAGCCAGGAATCCTCCAGTCCCAGCCTGGAGCCATCCACCACGCCTCTGGGACCCGAGACAGCCCGGCTTCCCGTTCCTAAACCTGGGCTAACCCGGCTGGAAGGGTAAACCCAAGCCTGGAAGCTTTGCAGAGGGATGGGCAGCCCACCAGAGGCTCCTCCTGAGCCACTGGAGCTGGAGGAGCAGCAGTGGCCCCAGGGCCACCCCGGGACCTGTCCCCTCCTGGGCTGGAGGCCACCCCGGAGCAGCTCCAGAGAGGAAGCTCCACGGTGACACGAGACCCGACACGGACACAACAAAGCACCCGGACACACCTGACGGCAAGGAGGGCAACTCAAACTGCTGAGAGAGAGAGAAACAGAGAGAGAAACAGAAACAGAGAGAGGGGTGGAGAGAGAGAGGTGCAGAAATGGGGCTTCCTCCACAGCCTGCAAAGAACAGGGTGAGAAACACTGGCGAGGAGACGCTCACGGAGTCGAGGCCATGGCAGGACAGGGTGCAAGCGTCCCGTGGGCCAGGCCCCGGGGGAGATCTCATCCCAGGAATGCCAGGAGGGCACCCCCAGCTCTGCCCTGAACACCAAACCCCTGCAGGGACAGCTTTAAACCACCAAATCCCTGCTGGGACTCATGGAGGTATCCCAAGAAAGGGATGCTCTGCTGAAGTCCTGCTGAAGAGCCTTTTCCTCCCTGAAAAATGGCTTTTCCCCACCCAGGAACAATGGGAAGGTTCATCCCAATGATGCCTTAGGATTTTAGCTTTTATCTTTTCATACATTTATAGTCCTGCAGTTCTTTAGTGTAGAACTCTAAACTCCATATCCAGTGTGAGCTACTGCTCTCCCATTTTTACAAAACCATTCCTCTCCAGACCTGGGAATCAACAACACCTCACTGCCTCAGGCCTTGAGAGATGGAAACAAAAGTGAGTTGGGGGAGTAAACTTGGGGTCAATGCCTTCATTACCTGAAGCTGTAATTGGCAGATTAACCCCCAATATGCAAATGGACCAAACTTACCAAAGTGTGAAAAGGCAGGAACAATGGGAAGGTTCATCCCAGTGATGCCTTAGGATTTTAGCTTTTATATTTTCATACATTTATAATCCATTTATAGTAGAACTCTAAACTCCATATCCAGTGTGAGCTACTGCTCTCCCATTTTTACAAAACCATTCCTCTCCAGGCCTGGGAATCAACAACACCTCACTGCCTCAGGCCTTGAGGGATGGAAACAAAAGTGAGTTGGGGGAGCAAACTTGGGGTCAATGACTTCATTACCTGAAGCTGTAATTGGAAAATTAACCCCCAATATGCAAATGGACCAAACTTACCAAAGTGTGAAAACCCGTGGTCCATTTTTGGGCGGGCTCCATCTGCCCTAAATGCACCTGAAGGCCCTTCAATAAACAAAACTTCTTTTTATCCCCTTAATTCTGTCTGGCCTCTGTTTCTGGGTAGTCCCAGCAAGGCATCACTGCCTTGGGGTGGGGTTTTGGGGTCTGAAGGCCCTTCAATAAACAAAACTGCTTTTTATCCCCTTAATTCTGTCTGGCCTCTGTTTCTGGGTAGTCCCAGCAAGGCATCACTGCCTTGGGGTGGGGTTTTGGGGACACCACGGGACCTTTGCACCGTGTCCTGGAGAAACGAGGCGAGAGTCCCGCCGGAGCAGCAAAGAGCACAGACTGATGAGGAGAAGGAAGAAGGAGGAAGGAAGGAAGGAGGAATGCTTGGTAGTTAGTGTGGTGCTGGTTCAAAGGATGGAGAGGCTGGCGTTACCTTTGTTGCGGTTTTCGGGGGCTCCGCTTTTTTTACCTGTTCAAAGAGAGAAAGGGGGGAGGGCTGAGCACAAGGAGCCACATTCCCCATCCAGCTGGGATGCTCCCAGGGGCCACTCCAGTGGTCACCTTCTGGACACCACGCCTTGGTCCACACAGCTCGAGGCTCCAGAGCTCCCAGGCTGCCCTGGGCACCCCTTTCCCAAGGATTCTGCTTTTCCCCACCTGTAAATCACCCCCAAACCCCAGCAGTGCCTTGAGGGTGTTGGAGGTGCCTCAGATTTTCGGGAGGAGACACCACAGAGCAGGTTTTCAGGAGAAGAAACCCTCCTGCAGCTCCAGGTCCCTCCCTCCTGCTGCCATCAGATCCAGCTGGAGAGCGCAGACCTGTCCCCCACTGTGGGCAGCACCAGACCCAGAGCAGGGAGGTGTGACCCCCAAAATCTGTCCAGGTGGCACATGGGGGTGCACCTCAGACAGCCTCAGGTGACAAGGGCTTTATGTCACCCCACAGCTCCAGTGGGGACAAACTGGTGGCACGCCCTGGCCTGCTCTGCTCCCAAATCCATTGAGCTTGAAGGCTGGGAAAGCTGCAAGCACTGGGTGGCTCCCAGTGCCATTCCAGTGCCACTCCCAGGGCTTCTCATCCTGCCACCTCCGTGGTGGCAGCCGAACCCTGGAGCTCCACAGCTCCCAAATCCTGGCAGCCCTGGAGCTGGGGAAGGCAGGATCCAGTTCCAGAGCTGGGGAAGGCAGGATCCAGCTCTGGAGGTGGGGAGGGCAGGATCCACATCCAGAGCTGGGGAAGGCAGGATCCACATCCAGAGCTGGGGAAGGCAGGATCCACACCCAGAGCTCAGAGCTGGGGAAGGCAGGATCCAGCTCTGGAGGTGGGGAAGGCAGGATCCAGCTCCGGAGGTGGGGAAGGCAGGATCCAGCTCTGGAGCTGGGGAAGGCAGGATCCAGCTCTGGAGCTGGGGAAGGCAGGATCCAGCTGCAGAGCTGGCAGCTGGCAGCCAGCACAGCCCGGGAGCCTCTCCCGCCTGGCATCGCCTCCCGGGAAGGGCTCCCTGGCGCGGGGATGCCGGAGCAGCTGGCAGTGCCAGCCTGATGCCGCTGCCAGCGCCTGATCCCGGTGAGGCCAAACCTGCTGAGCAGGGCATCAGGGACACAGGGAGCTTCCCCAGCAGGGAATTAGCTGCTGGATGTGAAAGCTGAGACAGCAGAGCGCTCCAGTCCCAGCACGATGGGAACACCTCGGCCTGGCTGCTGTCCCACCCCTCCTCTGCCTCCTGCCATCCCCTCCTTTCCCCCAGGGAGATCAGGGAATGCTCAGGAGATCCTCAGCCAAGTCCTGCAGGATTTGGATGGGCTAAAACCACCCTGTGGGCACCCAGGACTCACCTTCCCACCACCACGGGGTGGGCAAGGAGCAGTGCAGGGGAGCTGCCACCGGCCCCTCTTCCCGGGGGATCCTTGATCCCCCCACCCACAGCTCCAGGATGGAGAGCAGGGCGCTGGAGAAGGGTCCCAAAGAGATCTGGGAGCACGGGGGGACCAGGTGGAGGGGACAGGGAGGGACCCCCAACCTCTCCCTCTTCCAGCTGACCCCGATGTGGGGAGGAGCCTGTGGATGCTTCCCAGGAAAGGGAGAAAGGAGGGAAAAGGCAGGTTCAGGGCATTTTCTTACCTTTCTTCACTTTCTTCTCCTCGTCACCTTCTCCTGCTCCCAAGAGGGTGAAGATGATCCCTGTCTGGGAGTTGATGCCCACGGCAGTCACCACCATCCTGCCCGAGCCCTCCATCACGTGGGTACCTGGCAGGGCAGGAATGCCATGGGCACACAGGTGAGACTCCCAGTCCCATCCCACAGAATCCCAAACTGGTTTGGCTCAGAAGGGACCTTCAACCCCACCCTGTTCCACCCCCTGCCACGGGCAGGGACAACTTCCCCTCTCCCAGATTGCTCCAAGCCCTGTCCAGCCTGGCCTTGGACACCTCCCTGAGAGCAGAGCCCACCCTGATCCCAGCCCAAAATCACCCCAGCTCTGCATCCACCCCAAAACCCTCACCTGACAGCAGCATGGGGTCTTTATCCATGGATTTCTTCACCTGGTCTGACTCCCCGGTCAGCGAGCTCTCGTCTATCTTCAGGTCATTGCCCTGGATGAGGATCCCGTCTGCAGGCAGGAGATCACCTGGAGAGGAGGAAAACCAGGGATCAGCCCGGCCTGGGCTCAGCCCTGCCTGCTGCATGCCACAGGAATGCTCCAAAAGGATCCAAAACTCGGGCTCAGAGCAGCTCTGGAGGGAGGTTTGTAAGGGACAGGTGCAATCAGATGAAATCCAAGAGCTCCCAAATCCTCACTGGAGGCTCCTGGGGAGGATTTTGCTCAGTGCTTCCCCATCTGGTTTTAATGAATCCTTCCCAGAGCTCCTGATGCATCCAAAATCCACCGTATCCACCTGCCAAGTATGGAATCGGGCCCTTGGGAAAACAAACACTGTGTTGGATCAATCTCCTTCCTGAATGGGAGGAATATTCCCCCTGGGAAATGAGGAGCAGGGTCTGATTGATCCCAAGGGCTGCAGCTCCTGGATAAGGAAACATCCACCAGTACCTCCAGGCCAAGGAAATAATCCCCAACAACTCCTGGGTAAATATTCCCCAGCATCTCCTGGATAACAGAATATTCCCCACAAATTCCTGATGAGGAAACATCCAGCAACATCTCCTGGATAACAGAATATTCCCCATGAACTCCTGGATCAGGAAATATCCAGCAACATCTCTTGGATAACAGAATATTCCTCAAGAGATCCTGGATAAGGAAATATTCCCCAGCATCTCCTGGATGAGGAAATGCTCCTCCTGGTTTGGCTCCCCCAAAGAACTCCTGGATAAGGAAATATTCCTCAGCATCTTGTGGCTAAGAGAATATTCCCCAACAACTCCTGGATAAGCGAATATTGCCCAGCATCTCCAGGATAAGGAAATGCTCCCCAAAACCTCCTGGATAAGGAAATATTCCTCAACATCTCCTGGATAACGGAATACACCCCAGCATCTCCTGGATAAGGAAATATCCACCAATATCTCCTAGATGAGGAAATGTTCCCCAAAACCTCCTGGATAAGGAAACACTCCCCAACATCTCCTGGCCAAGGAAATATTCCTCGACATCTCCTGGATAAGGAAATAACCTCAGCAGGGGCAATGTTGGGAAAATAAACTAACGCAAACTAATAAAATAAATTAATTCCAATGCAGTTCAAAGCTCATCACAGCTCCAGGCCAAAAAGAGAAGGTGAGTGGAGCTCCATCACCTCCATGGCAGCATTTTCATGGAGCCACCAGAGGAGCTGCTTGTCCTCAGGGAAGAAGGTCTGGAGAAGCAGGGAGCAGGATCCCAGGGGAAGCACAGCTCCAGCCCCACTCACCGTACTTGATCTGGGCGATGTCTCCCACCACGATCTCGGCCACGGGGATCTGGATCACCTGGCCCTTGCGGATCACCGTGAACTTCTGCTCCTGCTCGATGCGGCTCTGCAGCCCCCGGAACTGCTTCTCCTTGCTCCAGTCGTTGAAGGCCGTCACCAGCACCACGATGATGACGGAGAACAGGATGGCAGCGCCCTCGATCCAGCCCGCCTGCGACTCGCCCTCGTCCTCCACGCCGCCCGAGGACTGCCCGCACACTGCCCGGAGAGAGCTCCCATGGGATAGCCCCACATACTGCCCAGAGAGAGCTCCCATGGGATAGCCCCACATACTGCCCAGAGAGAGCTCCCATGGGATAGCCCCACATACTGCCCAGAGAGAGCTCCCATGGGATAGCCCCACATACTGCCCAGAGAGAGCTCCCATGGGATAGCCCCACATACTGCCCAGAGAGAGCTCCCATGGGATAGCCCCACATACTGCCCAGAGAGAGCTCCCATGGGATAGCCCCACATACTGCCCAGAGAGAGCTCCCATGGGATAGCCCCACATACTGCCCAGAGAGAGCTCCCATGGGATAGCCCCACATACTGCCCAGAGAGAGCTCCCATGGGATAGCCCCACATACTGCCCAGAGAGAGCTCCCATGGGATAGCCCCACATACTGCCCAGAGAGAGCTCCCATGGGATAGCCCCACATACTGCCCAGAGAGAGCTCCCATGGGATAGCCCCACATACTGCCCAGAGAGAGCTCCCATGGGATAGCCCCACATACTGCCCAGAGAGAGCTCCCATGGGATAGCCCCACATACTGCCCAGAGAGAGCTCCCATGGGATAGCCCCACATACTGCCCAGAGAGAGCTCCCATGGGATAGCCCCACATACTGCCCAGAGAGAGCTCCCATGGGATAGCCCCACATACTGCCCAGAGAGAGCTCCCATGGGATAGCCCCACATACTGCCCAGAGAGAGCTCCCATGGGATAACCCCGCCCGGGAGAGCTCCCATGGGATAACCCCGTATGGGAGAGCTCCCATGGGATAACCCCGCACACTGCCTGACAGAGCTCCCATGGGATAACCCTGCACGAGAGAGCTCCCATGGGATAACCCCACACGGGAGAGCTCCCATGGGATAACCCCGCACACTGCCTGGAGCAGGGAATTCCTGCTTGGATAACCCCGTACACTGCCCTGGAGAGAGCTCCCATGGCATAACCCCACACAAGAGAATTCCCATGGGATAACCCCACACAAGAGAATTCCCATGGGATAATCACACACACTCCCTGGGGCAGGGAATTCCTGCTTGGATAACCCCAAACACTGCCCAAGAGAAAGAGTTCCCATGGGATAACCCCACACAAGGGAATTCCCCATTGCATAACCCCACACACTGCCTGGAGCAGGGAATTCCTGCTTGGATAACCCCACACACTGCCCAGGAGAGAGTTCCCATGGGATAACCCCACACACTGCCTGGAGAGAATTCCCCATTGGATAATTGGTCCTCTCCCAAGGACCCCAAGGATGGGGAGATGCCACCACCCAACACCCTCATCCCAAACCCCTGCTCCGACAGGGAATGGGGCAGATCCCAGAGTGCCCCAACAAGGAATAGAGCAGAACCCAGGATGTCCCCACAGGGAAGATCCCAGAGTGCCCATCCCAAATTCCTGCTCCCACAGGAAATGGGGCAGATCCCAGAGTCCTCATCCCAAAGCCCTGCTCCCCGGGGAAGGGGGCAGATCCCAAAGCCCTGCTCCCCAGGGAAGGGGGCAGATCCCAAACCCCTCCTCCCTAGGGAAGGGGGCAGATCCCAAAGCCCTGCTCCCTAGGGACGGGGGCAGATCCCAAACCCCTCCTCCCTAGGGAAGGGGGCAGATCCCAAAGCCCTGCTCCCCAGGGAAGGGGGCAGATCCCAGAGTCCTCATCCCAAAGCCCTGCTCCCCAGGGAAGGGGGCAGATCCCAAAGCCCTGCTCCCCAGGGAAGGGGACAGATCCCAAAGCCCTGCTCCCCAGGGAAGGGGGCAGATCCCAGAGTCCTCATCCCAAAGCCCTGCTCCCCAGGGAAGGGGGCAGATCCCAAAGCCCTGCTCCCCAGGGAAGGGGGCAGAGCCGAGTGGCCAGGCCTGGGACTCACGCTCGTTGTCCCCTCCCGGGGGGTGGTAGAAGGAGAGCCCCAGGGAGATGATGGCTGCGATCTCCAGGATGATCAGCGTCACGTCCTGCAGCGCCTCCCACACCAGCTGCAGGAACGTCTTGGCCTTCTTGGGGGGGATGAAGTTCTGGCCGAAGACCTGGCGCCGCTTCTCCAGGTCCGTGGGGTTCCCAGACAGGCCTGGAGGGGTGGGGAAAGCAGGGATGAGGGTAAATCCCACTCTTGTCCCTGTGGAATTCATCCAGGAGCAGCTCTCTGCTTGCCCTAGAGAATGTGAGGTGCTGGCAGCGGGGAGACAAGGAGTAAATAAATAAAATGTAAATAAATAAAGTATAGAGGCATCAATAAAAGAAATAAATGAAATAGAAATAAATGAGGTATAAACAGATAAGTGAAATAAATAAAATTGAACTATAAATAAATGAAATATATACACATAAATTATGTAAAATACATAAAGTATAAATAAAGTATAAACAACTAAAATATAATTAAATAAGATATAAAATAAAAATAAAGAAAGTATAAAGAAACAAATAAGTAAAATATAAATAAAGTATCAACAAATTAATGAATTAATTAAATAAATAATGCATTAAAAGATAAAACAGAAATATATAAAATATAAACAAATCAAAATACAAATAAACCAAAATATAAGAATTGAACTATAAATAAATGAAATATATACACATAAATTATGTAAAATACATAAAGTATAAATAAAGTATAAATAACTAAAATATAATTAAATAAGATATAAAATAAAAATAAAGAAAGTATAAAGAAACAAATAAGTAAAATATAAATAAATAAAGTATCAACAAATGAATGAATTAATGAAATAAATAATGCATTACAAGATAAAACAGAAATATATAAAATATAAACAAATCAAAATACAAATAAACCAAAATATAAGTAAATAAATAACTAAATAAACCAAAATATAAACAAAGAAATAATATATCAGGCTGCAGCCTGGAGAGTGCCACTGTCACCCCCGGGCAGGGGACACCAGGCTGCAGCCTGGCGAGTGCCCAGGTGCTGCCAGCTGGCACCAGCAGCCTTGTTTACATCAAATGAGCCATAAATCTGGGCAAATCCGGGCAATTCTGGGAAAATCCGGGCAATTCTGGGCAATTCTGGCACCCGTGGCCACCTGAGCCCTGTCCCTGGCAGCCCCTGGGAGCCTCTCCCAGCCCTGGGGACACTGGATCTGACTTGGGTTTTGGGAATGGGGCAGATCCCAGCTGGGGTTTGGGAATGGGGCAGATCTGAGCTGGGATTTGGAATGGGGCAGATCTGAGCTGGGGTTTGGGAATGGGGCAGATCCAGGTGGGATTTGGGCTGGAGTGCAGGAAAAGGGTGGGACACAGCAGGACACGGAGCTGGGACTGAGGATGGGGGAAATAGGGAATAATGGGGGAAAAAAGGGAGCCTGAGCCCCTTCAGAGCCTGCCAGGCAGCGATGGTGACAGTGGCAGTGTGACACAGCCGTGTCCCCAGCACCACCTTAAGGGACCCCCCCCCGCCACCCTTCTCCACCTTAAGATGTCCCCAGGGCCACTGCCAGGTCCCGGGATGCTCCCGGAATGGCCCTGGGCACATCCCGGTGGTGCCTGGAGCAGCCTGGCAGTGACAGGGGACCCCGGCCCTGCACTCAGGGGACAGCTCCGAGTCATTCCAGGGGACACCTCCCTGCCAGCCCCCTGTCACTCTGGGGACACCCCCTGCCAGCCCCGTGTCACTCTGGGGGGACACCTCCCTGCCAGCACTCTGTCATTCCAGGGGATGCCCTTCCTGCCAGCCCCGTGTCACTCTGGGGACACCTCCATGCTCGCCCCGTGTCACTTTGGGGACACCCCCTTGCCAGCCCCATGTCACTTTGGGGACACCCCATGCTAGCCCTGTGTCACTTTGGGGACACCCCCTGCCAGCCCCATGTCACTTTGGGGACACCTCCCTGCCAGCCCCGTGTCCCTGCAGCAGGAGGAAGCTGCAGGATCGATCCCACCCAGCCCAGCTGCAGGGAGGGGACAGCTGGCAGCTGGCAGAGCAGCCTCGGTGTCCCCACCCAGCCGTGACGAGGAGGCTGAGCAGGATCCTGGGATGTCCCGGCCTCATTCCCCACCAGAGGGTGGAAAATGCGGCTCATGGCCACGGAGCTGCGGGGACACACGTGGGGACACACGTGGGGACACATGGGGACATAGGACGGTCCCACAGCCAGGGATCCCAAAGCAGATCCCACCCCTGGGAATGATCCCAGAGCTGTCCCCCACTCTCCCCGGGGAATTAGGGGGTTCGATGGCTCTGTGCTGTCACAGGGAGGGTGACAAAGAGCCCGTGCCACCCAAATGCCACTGCAGGGTCTGGGGAGCCGATTAGAAGGTGACAAAGAGCAGCAGCCCTGGGGACACTGCAGACTCTGGGGTCGGGATCAGCACGGAAAATGGGGCAGAAACGCTGGGTGGAGGCCACACGTGACAGCAGGGAGCTGTCACCAGTGCCAGATCTGCCTGGGGACAGTGGCTGTGGGGTGGCACGAGGAGCCCCCCCGCAGGAATGGGGCTGGGGGCGGCAGCTGAGTCAGGGAGGCTGTGCTGGCACCCAGGGGACACCGTGACTCAGCGGAGCCACCGCCCGCTCACGGCTGTGGGACACCCCACGCCACCCCAAAGCCACTTTGGGAGCTGCCCCGAGGGGTTGGGGTCTGCTGGCACCTCCAGGGGCACAGCTGGAGCTGCCAGAACCAGCAGACCCCAAAGTGACGCCGGGGGTGGGGACCCCAATGGCCACCCAAGGCGGCTCTGGGGGACCGTGGCCAGCGTTTGCCACGAGGACAGCGCCAGGCTGGAGAGGGGACAGCCAGTCCTGCAGCACCGGGTGGCACCGAGGGTCAGGAGCCACAGGATCCCGGTGGGATCAGAGCACTCCAGGGCACGGATCCTACAGGGGACAGGGGCGCTGGCAGGACACCCCGGGCTGGCCCTCCTGGTGACACACAGGAGGACAAGGCCTGTGCCACCCCAGCGGGGTGATCAGCAGAGGGACAGCGAGAATGGGCATGGGGACAAACACCTGGGAGCAGGGACACAGAGCTGGGATGTGCTCCCCGCTCAGCGGGGTCAGACAGAGGTGCCACAGGTTCCCTCGGGAATTTGCTCTTCCAAAAAACCCCCGAGGATCTGGAGCAGAGAACCTTTCTTTGCTCTCTGGGATTTGGGGCAGCTCAGCTCCACGGGAGGGACGTGCCAGGGGCATCGGGGTGGGACTGAACCCTTCACCTGCCCTAAAAGAGCCTTTTGGGTTCTCCTCCTGCCTCTCCTCCCGCCCCACAGCAGCGTGACCCCACTTTGGCAGCGCTGAGCACATTGTTTTGTGACCTGGGCTTTGTATTTCCACCGGGAGCTCCCCCCCTGCTCTAACGACATCCCGATATTGTCTCTCCTTCCCGGTCCCACTCGCAGCTGGAAAGCTGCAAATCCCCCCCTTGCAGCACTAAAAATATCCCACAGATTGTCACAGCCATGTCCCCATCCCACAGCCCCGGGGCTGAGTCCCCATCCCACAGCTTTAGGATCGAGTCCCCATCCTACAGCTTTAGGATCGAGTCCCCATGCCACAGTTGCAGGGCTGTGTCCCCATGCCACAGCTTTAGGGCCAAGTGCCCATCCCACAGCTCCAGGAAACCCCTCAGAGCTGGAATCAGGGGCTCTCTGCCCCCTGCACCCCCTCAGTGCCAGGGAAGGCTCCACTGCTGTGCCAAGGCACCCCCAGTGCCACCAGCCCCAAAAGCCAGCCCAGCCCGTGAGGGCAGAGGTGACACCCTCAGGCCTTCCCAGAGGTGACCCCAGATGTCACTGCCACCACTCCAGCTGTGCTGCCCAGGATTTCCTTGGAGCATCCTCAGACCAGGAGGGACCTGGGCCCATCTCTACATCCCTGGGTGCATCCCCCACCCCTTTTGGGGATGCACTGTCCCTGCCCCTTGCCCTAAGTGTCACCACCAGCTGCAGGTGCCACCCGGCCACCTCACCAGCACCCTCCAACCTTTACACCTCCCCTCCCGTAACTCCGTAAATGATTAAACAGGGAACGGCTGGAGCAGCACCTGCGCTGTGGGGAGGAGCTCCTCACCCCATCCCACATCGCTGACAATCCCAGGGGTGACAACCCCAGACCACGGGATGGCCACTGGAGCCACCACCCTTGGATGTGTCCTTCGTGTGGCTCTATCCACTGGTGACAACCCCAGACCGGGATGGCCACTGGAGCCACCACCTTCAGGTGTCACCTTCACATGGCTCCATCCCAAAAGTGACAACCCCAGACCACAAGACAGCCACCACCCTCCAGCACCATGTTCACATGGGTCTGTTCCAGAGGTGACAACCCCAGACCGGGATGGCCACTGGAGCCACCACCCTCAGGTGTCACCTTCACATGGCTCTGTTCCAGAGGTGACAACCCCAGACCTTGGGAGCCACCACTATCAGGTGTCACCTTCACAGGGCTCCATCTTGGAGGTGACAACCCTAGACCTTGAGAGCCACCACTGTCAGGTGCCACCTTCACATGGCTCCATCTTGGAGGAGACACCCCAGACCTTGGGAGCCATCACTGTCAGGTGTCACCTTCACAGGGCTCCATCTTGGAGGTGACAACCCCAGACCTTGGGAGCCATCACCCTCAGGTGTCACCTTCACAGGGTTCCATCTTGGAGGAGACAACCCCAGACCTTGGGAGCCATCACTGTCAGGTGTCACCTTCACAGGGCTCCATCTTGGAGGCGACAACCCCAGACCTTGGGAGCCATCACCCTCAGGTGTCACCTTCACATGGCTCCATCCCAAAAGTGACAACCCCAGACCTTGGGAGCCATCACCCTCAGGTGTCACCTTCACATGGCTCCATCCCAAAGATGACAACCCCAGAGGTGACAACCCCAGACCTTGGGAGCCATCACTGTCAGGTGTCACCTTCACATGGCTCCATCCTAGAGGCGACAACCCCAGACCTTGGGAGCCATCACCCTCAGGTGTCACCTTCACACAGCTCCATCCCAAAGATGACAACCCCAGAGGTGACAACCCCAGACCATGGGAGCCATCACCCTTGGATGTCACCTTCACATGGCTCCATCCTGGAGGTGACAACCCCAGACCTTGGGAGCCACCACCCTTGGACGTCACCTTCACATGGCTTCATCCTGGAGGTGACAACCCCAGACCTTGGGAGCCATCACCCTCAGGTGTCACCTTCACATGGCTCCATCGTGGAGCTGACAATCCCAGAGGTGACAACCCCAGCCCACGGCAGAGCCACTCACCTTCGACCGGCGACGTCTTCAACCTCTTGCAGACGTTCTGGACGCCGCCATAGGAGTCGTTGATCCGGGCCACGGCCTCGGCGCTCCTCAGCTCCATGAGGTTCCTGAGCTCCACCAAGGAGCACCCAAAGTCCCCCTCATGGTTGCCCTCGGCCACCGAGTTCCCGGGGTGGTGGTCGGCCACGTTGTTCGTCATCTTGTCACAGTGACGGTGCCACCGGCGCGGCGCTCCTGGGGCGGCCTCGCTCGCAGCTCCGGCGGCTCCGGGGGGATGCTCCGTGTGGCCCCTTCCCTGGGGGCTTCCCGGGGGGAACGGGCGGCTCTATCCGAGCCCAAGTTGTCGGGATGAAGGTGTAAACAGGATGTGCATGTTACCGCGGAGGCGACCTTAGCAACGCCCGGCGTGCAGCTCCTGCAGCGGGAGGAGGAGGAGGAGGAGGAGGAGGAGGGCTCACTGGATACCACAGCAACTGGAGCTGCGAAAACAACCGTGGGAAACAAAAATATCGGCGTCAGGAGGGCTTGGGAAGGAGTGAGGCGCGCCATGGGGCGGGAGAGGGGAGTGGTGCTACCCCAAGGTGGGGATTTTTAGGGAGAATTTGGTTTGGGCAGAAATTCCTGGGTGAGAAGTTGAGCTCGGAGCGTGGAGCAGGGAAAAACGGCAGCTGCGGGGCCGGGCAGGAAAGGAGCCCAGGTGGTTCTTCACTTTCAGCCCAGACAAACCCTGCCGTTGATTTTGGGTTAAAAATACCCCTCAGCAGTGGGAAACAGCTGCTTCCTCCCCTGGGCAGGACATGGGGGCTGGAGCATTGCTCCCCGCCCTGCTGGAAGGTAGGGAACGATCCCAATATCCCAATATCCTGACATCCCAACACACTGATATCTCAATATCAAAATATCCCAATGTCCTAATGTCCCCATACCTTGATATCCCAATATCCAAATATCCTAATGTCCCAATATCCAAATATCCCAAAATCCCAATGTCCCAACATCCCAAATTCCCAAAATCCTGATATCCCGATATCCCAATATCCAAATATCCCAGTACCCCAAAATCCCAATATCCCAATGTCCCAACATCCCAAATTCCCAAAATCCTGATATCCCAATATCCCAGTAACCCCAAACCCCAATATCCCAATATTCCAACATACAAAATTTCCAAAATCCTGATATCCCAATATCCCAATGTCCCAATATCCCAGTCTCCCAATATCCATGGGAAAGGGGCTGCAGCACCCCACAGCTCTACATCAGCTGGGAGATGCCACAGGAACCACGAAAAAGAAGAGGGAAGTGGCAGAGAAGCCACCAAAAGCTGGGAGTTTGTCGGAAATCGAGGCTTTTCCGTCATGACCTGTTCCAAGGTGGCTCCCTGAGGGCAGTGAGTGGCTCTCAGTGTCCCTCAGAGCTGCCACCCAGGTCACAACCCCCCAGCGAGGACAGGGGAGCCCCAAAAACACTTCAACCAAGCCAGGCAAGGACCACGAGCATCCCACAGCTCCCCCATTCCTCAGGGATTTGGGGGCTGGGATTCCCTGCTGGCGTCTCAGAGTTCTAGGGACAAATAGGGACATGGAGGGAACAGCACAGGCCAGAGGGAAAAAGGGCTTTTTGTCAGCCAGGGTTAGCTGTGTTCCCAAGCTCCAGGGAAGCTCCCGGCACTCCAGAGGCAAAAAGGCTGTGAGGGGAGGCTCTCATGGAGAGAAAATAAAATCTTTCTGAGGGCAAAATAAATAAAGATCAACAAGGGAACGGCCACTCTGGGGCCCAGGGGTGGCAGAGCAGGCTGGGGAGGGACAGGGGAGGACAGGAGGGAGGAGGGACAATGTCCACGGCTGATCCCAGCACACACGGGAGGCACCAGCCCTCACCAAGCCCACAGAAAAGCACCAAATCAGCACAGGGATGTCATGAACAGCCCCAGTTCCAGCCCCAGGGTTGTCCCAAACTGCCTCATCCCAAACTGCCCAATTCCAGCCTCAGGGCTGTCCCAAACTGCCCCAATTCCAGCCCCAAGCCTGTCCCAAACTGTCCCATCCCAAACTGCCTCATCCCAAACTGCCCCGATTCCAGCCCCAGGGCTGTCCCAAACTGCCCAATTCCAGCCCCAGGACTGCCCCAAACTGCCCCATCCCAAACTGCCCCGTCCCAAACTGCCCCGATTCCAGCCTCAGAGCTGTCCCAAACTGCCTCATCCCAAACTGCCCCGATTCCAGCCTCAGAGCTGTCCCAAACTGCCTCATCCCAAACTGCCCCGATTCCAGCCTCAGAGCTGTCCCAAACTGCCCCAATCCCAGCCCCAAGCCTGTCCCAAACTGTCCCATCCCAAACTGCCCCATCCCAAACTGCCCCATCCCAAACTACCCCAATTCCAGCCCCACGATTGCCCCAAACTGCCCCATCCCAAACTACCCCAATTCCAGCCCCAGGGACTTTTCAATCTCTGGGGCAGCACAACCCCAGAGAAGCAAACCCCCCCTGCCTGGCCCTCCTTATCCTGCCAGCAGCACCCCCAGGGCAGCTCCCGGCACTATCAGGGCACCACAGGCACCAACTGCACCTCGGGGACAGCAGTGACACCGCCAGAATGTCCCCACCTCGGGAGGGACCTGTGCCCCAGCTGCAGGGAGTGGGGGAGCGGGGCAGGATGGGGGGACACAGGGATGGGGACACTGGGATGGAAAGACACAGGGATAGGACACAGGGATGGGGAGAACAGGGATGGGGACACAGGTATGGAAGGACACAGGGATGGGACACAGGGATGGGACACAGGAATAGGGACACAGGGATGGGGACACAGGGATGGGACAGGGATGGGGACACAGGGATGGGGACACAGGGATGTAAGAACACAGGGATGGGACACTGGAATGGGACACAGGGATAGGACACAAGGATGGGGACACAGGAATAGGGACACAGAGATTGGACACAGGGATAGGACACAGGAATAGGGACACAGGGATGCAAGGACACAGGGATAGGACACAAGGATGGGAACACAGGAATAGGGACACAGGGATGGGACACAGGGATGGGGACACTGCAGCTCCTGGGACACCCAAGCTCCTGGGGCCAGAGCGTTGCTGCTGCCCCATCCAGCAGGGATCCCTGCCCATCCCCAGCCCCGTTATCCCACGGCTCCTGGTGGAGCTGAGCTCATCCATCCCTGCAAGGCAGCAGCTCCCAGCAGCGGGAAGCAGGAGGTGGCAGGCCCAATTAAGCAGGCTCCTGCTGATTAAGAGAAAAAACGCTAATTCCCCCACCCCACCACGCTCATTTCCTCCTCTTTCATAGCAACGGCGCTGTCTGAGGAGCGCTCAGAGGTTAAGAGGGAGACAGTTAATTAATACTGTAATGGCCTAGCCCTTAATTACCCCTGACAGAGCTCAGGGGGCAGCGATCAGCACCATCCCTATGTCCCACTGTGAGATTCCAGCCTGGAATTCATTCTGCTCTTGGGGGAAAGGAGGGACCCAGCACCATCCCTGTGTCCCACTATGAGATTCCAGCCTGGAATTCATTCTGCTCTTGGGGGAAAGGAGGGACCCAGCACCATCTCTGTGTCCCACTATGATATTCCAGCCTGGAATTCATTCTGCTCTTGGGGGAAAGGAGGGACCCAGCACCATCCCTGTGTCCCACCCTGCAGTCCCAGCCTGGGACCGAGGTGTGGGATGGCTGGGAAGGATCCAGCCGGGTCAGAGCCATCGCTCTGAGGAGCCCCAGTGACCCCAGCAGGCCCTGTCCTTCACTCTGGGAATCCATTCCCAGAGCCCCCGGGCCCTGGAGAGGAACAAGGGAAGAAAACAGCCCCGGTGGGAGAGGAGCTGAGCTGACAGCAGCTGTGTCACCTCCCAGATGCCATCCCTGAGCTGGGGACCCACCCTGGAGCCTGGTGGGGTGTGAGGGGAGGAAGAAGAGGGATGTGAGGGGAGGAAGAAGAGGGGTGTGATGGGAGAAAGGAGAGGGGTGTGAGGGGAGGAAGGAGAGGGGTGTGAGGGGAGGAAGAAGAGCAGTGTGAGGGGAGGAAGAAGAGCAGTGTGAGGGGAGGAAGAAGAGCAGTGTGAGGGGAGGAAGAAGAGGGGTGTGAGGTGATGAAGAAGAGCAGTGTGAGGGGAGGAAGAAGAGGGGTGTGAGGTGATGAAGAAGAGCAGTGTGAGGGGAGGAAGGAGCGTGCGGGCTCCAGGCAGGAGGAGCTGGCGGGGAGCGGCGGAGCCGGTGCTGCAGCTGAACCTGCCCGGAATAATAAACGGCAGCACGGCACCTCCGTCCTGCCAGGGACAGTGCCCGCGGGCAGGGCCACCGCCCCAGCGTGGCCTGCGCCCACCCCAGCCCCAGCACCTGCCGGATTCAACCTCGGGGAAAAGCGACGAGGAAAAATGAATCAGCTGGAGATGCCACAAGTGGCAACTTCAGCCACGCCGTGGGTGGCCCTGCTGCCGTGCTGGTGGCACTGCTGATGGCACCAGGAGCCTGGCACGTGCCAGCAGCAGCCGTGGCTGGGTCCCTGGGTAAGGACAGGGATCCTCCTGCCTCACGACATCGGATCAGATCCCGGACAGGAGCACTGCTCCCTCCTCCCACGGATGATCAGAGATGGAGCAATCCCTGCCCAAGCTCAGGAGGTTCTTCCATTGATGAAATCCGTGCCCCAGCTGGGACATGTCCCACCACCAGGCCGAGGAAAAGCATCAGCAGCCACCACATTCCCTGCCCAGAGCCACAAATCCCAGCTCGGATCAGGTGGATCAAGGTGGGATCACCTTCCCCAAGCACCTGGATCCCAGCCCCACACTCTGCTCCTCTCAGCAGCACCCACCAGGGTCCATCTCCTCTCCCAGTTTGGGAATGGGGTGTTGGGAACACTTGGCTGCCGGAGGTTGCCATGGCAAACTCAATGTAAAGCTGTCAGGGATGCTGTTTATGTTGCCAAGTGGGGAGGAAGGGAAAAAAATAAATAAATAAAAAATTTTAAAAATCAACTCCCCCAGAATTACCCTTCCTTGGCTCGGGTTTGAGATTTTTTTCTCATTGGGAATCCGAAGTTGCATCGGCAGTGGGATGAGAGAGGCTGCACGGCCAGAGCCGTTCTCCAGAGGGACAAACGGAGCCAAAGCAGCCAATTAAAGCAGAAAAACGGCCTTGGAGCACCTGCCCTGCCCTGCCCGTGGGAACTGCCCCTGCAGAGGCTGCTCTGCTCCCCCTGCCCAGCACAGACCCCACGCACTGCCCTGCAGCTGCGCCCACCCGGGAGCGGCGCTGGGGGGGCACAGGGAGGTGAAAATCCTCTGGAATGGCTGAGTCCAGGGAGGGATCACCGGGAGAGACCCACGGGGTGCTGCCATCACCGGGCTGGGGGGCTGGGGAAGGATCAAACCCCCCTGCAGCCCCTCAGAGACGGGGGAGAGCCTTTCCCAGTGGGAATGTGGGACCTGGGCACACTGCCCCATGCCAACAGGTGACAGCCTTGGGGACAGGGAGGGCACCTGGGGAGGGGACAAGGGGACAGACCCCCCTGCAGCACCTCAGAGCCAGGGGAGTGCCCTTCCCAGTGGGAATGCGGGCACAGGCTCTGCACTGGGACCTGGGCACACTGCCCCATGCCAACAGGTGACAGCCTTGGGGACAGGGAGGGCACCTGGGGAGGGGACAGACCCCCCTGCAGCCTCTCAGAGCCAGGGGAGAGCCCTTCCCAGTGGGAATGTGGGACCTGGGCACACTGCCCCATGCCAACAGGTGACAGCCTTGGGGACAGGGGGGCACCTGGGGAGGGGGCACGACCCCCACGCCGGGGCTGAGCCGGGTCCCTGTCCCACCAGGACACGGCCACGTGGAGCAGGTGGCGCCCAGCCCGCGGTGACAGCGGCTCGTGGGGGGGTGTCACGGTGTCCCCGGGGTCCCCCCGGAGCCGGCGCGGAGCCCCGCGGGCAGCGGGGGGGCCCCGGCGGCCCTGGGGGCCCCTCCCCTGCACACTCACCAAATCGCAATGTGCAGATGGCAGCGGCTCCCGCTCCTGCTCCTGCCTGTTCCCAGCAACACCCCTGGCAAGGGAAGCCTTCCCTCCTTAACCCCTCCGGCGCCGGGAGAGGCCACCCGCAGGGGACACCGCGGGGCTGTCACCTCCTGCGGCGGGGAGGAGACACGGCGGTGGCGCACAGGGACAAACCTCATGCTCAGGGCTGGCTCGGAGGGCCAGGGGACATCCCAGCCGGGATTGTCACCCTCGGGGAGGAGGGGCAGGGTGGCAGAAGGTCACGGTGGCGGAACCTCCATCCTGGTGCCACGGAGAGGCGAAGGCGACAAGGCCAGGCTGCGACAGACCCCCGGACACCCGGGGACCCTGTGCCAGCTCTGGAGGACCTGTCCCCTTCCCCCGGTCACGCCGCTGTCGCCATGCCCCGCTCCTCGCCCCGGGGGGGCTGCAGGTGCCGAAAGCAGAAGCGGTGGCACCCGGGGACAGCCACCTGTGGCACCCGCGGGATGTCCCCTCCTCCCGCCGCAGCATCCGCTTCCTCCGCCAGGGGTGGGGACAGCGACACTGCCCTGCCCGGAGGGGACCCCCGCACCCCACAGTGCCACCCCCGCCACACCCTGGGGATGCTCCAGAGCCAAATCCCGGCACGGGGGACACGCCGGTGACAGCCAGACCCCCTCGTTCCTGGGGGGCAGGGGGGGAAGGAGCCCGCAGGTGGGGGGAATAAACAGGGGGGGAATGCCCTGGAAAAGGAGCAGGAAAACGCCCAGGAAGCGCTGGGGCCTCACGGAGCGCGGCAGCAGCAGCGCTGTGCCAGGGAAACTGAGTCACCAGCCGAGTGACAAAGCGAGTGACAAAGCAGACACGGAGCAGTGGCGGAGCCCAGGGAATTCGCTGTTGGGATCCGGCCCCTGAGGCTGCTCCTCTCCAGCCCCCGCGGGCAGGGCAGGCTCCCCTCGCCCCGCATCCCCGCGGGTCCCCGCGAGTGACAATTCCCGTGTCCCGCGAGTGACAATTCCCGTGTCCCGCGAGTGACAATTCCCGTGTCCCGCGAGTGACAATTCCCGTCTCCCAAGCGGCTCCTCCGCAGCTCCCTGTCCGCGACACCGGGCTGGGGACGAGGGAGGGGACACGCCACAAGCCACCGGCTACCGCAGGCTCAGGGTGCCACACGCTGTCGGCAGCGAGCCGCTGGCCCCGCGGTGTCACTGTCAGCGGCGATGTCACCGTCACCCACGGTGACAGCTCCGTAGTGTTCCCTCCCACAGGGCTGTGCCAGGCGCACCATTCCCGGTGCCAGCAGCGCAGCCACGGGGCTGACACGTGCAGGGCACAAGGCTGGGGGCCTGTCCCCAAACCGGCTGTCACCCCCCTTGGCCGCAGACCCTCATCCCCACGCAGGTGACACCAAGGGTGGGGAGGCCACCGAAGCATTGTCCCGTCCCTGGCTGTGTCACACCCTCCTCCTCCTCTCCTTCCTCCTAGCAGGCCAAGAGGAGGGATGGCAGCAGGGCCAAGGTCACAGGGAAAGCAGAAGGAAAAGGCAGGAGGAGGTGACATTCCCCAAAACGAATGTCCCTGCCGCCACCCTGCAGGGCACTCACGCGGCCGCCACCACCCCGCTCATTCCAGCTGCTCTGGCTCCCATTTTGCTCCTATTTTGCCTCCTGCTAATTGACGTTGGAAAACTGCTGGGTTTTGGCGTGCCCAAGGCAGCAATTAACTCCTGCAAAGGGCAGGGAAGAGGCTGGAGGCGGAACGCTGGGCACGGCCTTGGCATGGATGCTGCGATGCACGACGCAGTTCCCAAATCCCGCTGCCCTGAGCCCCAAAATCCGCGCCCCTGAGCCCCCAAACCCACAGCTCTGAACCCCCAAACCCCACAGCTCTGAGCCTGCTGCCACCAGGGGCTGTGACAGCCCTGGCTCGCGCTGTCCAAGCCTCCAAAAGCGTCACATCCACGTGCCAAAGCCACCGGCGCAGCTGGCGGTGCCGGGGGTCAGGAATCTGCCCTCGCCCCCGGCCGGGGCTTCCCCGAGCCTCAGGGTGCAGCAGCCCAGGAATTCCATGGGGGTGGAAGCAAAGGAAAAGCAGGGAGCCTCCAGGCGAGCTGTCAGGGGGAATGTTTCCATCTAAGGCCTTGGTATTTCTCTGTCGGGCGCCTGCACTAAATCAGCGCCGCTCCTCTCATTATTCTCTCGTGCTTTACAAGGTAGCACGGCCGGTGCAGGAATGCAGGAGGATGGGGAGCAAAGCCAGCCCCTCCTGCAGCAGCAAACACCTGCAGGCCTCACCCTCTGCAAGGGCACAGCATCCCCTCTGCCACCTCCCCAGCAGCCCTGGTACTTTTAACACCAAATGGTTTTGGTTGTGATCGTCTGATCACCAAAATCAGAGAGTACGGCTTTCAAAATCAGAGAATATGGATGTCACACCTGAGTGTAACATCTAGAAGACATTAAAGGACATGTAGATGTGGTGCTTAGAGACATGCTGTAGTGCTGGATTTGGCACTGCTGGCTCAAGGATTGGACTTGACAATCTTAAAGATCTTTTCCAACCTCAGCAATTCCGTGATTCTACACAGGAGCCCTCAGGTAGGGAGGAGCTGGGCTGCCTCGCTCTTTGCTCTGCATCTGTCCCTCTCTCCCCAAATTCACCTGGTCCCTGGCGGTGACAGTGGCACAGCCCTTGGGAGGATTGTCCTGGATGCCAGCAGGAGGTTTTGTCCACTCCTCCATCCCACCTGGCATGAGGAAATGGGCTCTTCCCAGCCTGGGAGCACTGGGAAGCCACCATGGGTGATGTGGCAGCAGCTGGCACGCAGTGGCTGACCCCTCTCTCCTCTCTTCCCTTCCCTCCAGGTGGATCTGCTGCAGGGAGGTGTCCAAGCAGCAGCTCCCACCCCGTTTCCACCTCTCCTCCCTCCTCCAGACCCACGCTGGGCTTGGCTTAGCTCTGATTCACAGCCCAGAGCGAGTCCAAAGCCGAGCTTTGGGATTTGGGCAGCTTGGAATTGTGGAGCGGAACTGCAGGATAAAAACAAGGCAGCAAACCAGGCCCTGGGGCTGCTCTGGCAGCACTCCAGGATGGACACGGAGCAGCGGCCACATCCCAGCCCTGTCAGAGCCACCTGGACACTCCCAGGTCACACCTGCCCAGCAGGGAGGTGACCCCGAGAATCCGGGCAGGATGGGGATCCCATTGGCAGGGAGATTCTGCAGCCCCAGCTCTTGGATGCTGTCCTGGGAGGCCCCAGAGGAGCAGGAGAGGCCAGGGGAAGGCTGGGGACAGTGTCTGAGCTGGCCAGGCTGGAGCAGAGGCCACAGGGCCGAGGGCAGGAGGGAGGAGCCCCGAGCCCTCTGCCCCAGAGCCGCTCCCGGGCACTGCCCCAACCAGGATTTTGGATTTTTGGATCCCAGGACAGTCCTTTGGTAGGAGCTGGGGCAGAGCCTGGGTTATCCCAGCCCAGGGCAGGGATGCTCCTGCCATTTCCAGTCTCCTGTGGGATGGGTCAGCCCAGGAGCACCGGGAGCAGTTGGTGTCCAGCTCACCTCCCCACACACCCAAAGAGCAGAGATCCCACCAATCCCCACTCCCACCTTCCCACAGCCTGTAAACCCGGCTTGAATTAAACCAAACCCAGAGCACGGGGCAGTCTGAGAGGCAAAACAAGGCTCAGGGGACGGGAGAGCCACCGGGCAGGACAGGAGGACACAGGCACGGTATTTTTAGCAGGATTACACAGGGACAGGGGATTCCTACCCCGAAGATCCCTGGGGGCTGAAAATAGGGCCCGTCACTTCCTCCAGCAGCAGCCGGGGGAAGCATCTGCTGCTCCGGGCAGGCAGCAGGAGGAGAGGGGCAGCCCGTGGGTTTTGGGGTGCCCAGGACACCCCGGGACAGCGGGGGGCACCTGGTGGCTCACCTTGTCACCGCCGGAGCCGCTTCCTCTTCCCTGAAGAATCCCGCGGGAAAAAAACCAATCCGGCAGCAATCCCTCCCAAAAATGCCCCTCTGGAGCACAGCGGGGGAAACTGAGGCAGGAGAGGCGGAGCCGGTGGGACAGCACAGGGAAATTTGGGGGATCCCCTAAAGCCGTGGGTGTGCTAGTAGGGGATCCCCAAGAATCGCAGATGTGCTGTAGGGGAACCCCAACAATTCCAGAGCGGGAAGGGCGCCCCAGCACTCAGCTCCCGAGGGTGGCAGCAGCCCTGGGGACACGGGGAAGGGCTGGGGACAGCAATGCCCCTCCTGCCACCGCCACCACGTGAGCCGGGATGGGTGTCCCTGCTCCCAGCTCCGAGAATTCCCGCTCTGGATCACATCCCTGCCGGCCACCCCGTAACTCCTGCCAGCCCGGCTAGCTGCGATCCCTCTCCCCACACTCCTCCAGCCTTAAATCCACATTTTTCCATCCAAAAAAAAAACAAACAAACCCAATCCCAGCGGGGATTTTCTAAGGGACAAGCCGGCAACAAGAGATGGGAGAAGGGCAAAAAAAAATAAAATAAAATAAAAAAAAAAAAAGGTCTGAGAGCGCTTTTCGCTGCTGCAAAGGGTTAAAAAAATAAAGTCGGGAAAAGCGATAGGAAAAACACACGCGGCTCCCAGGGAAGAGCGCGCCGGCTGCTCCCGTTTCCCTTCCCAACATGCCCCGCTCCTGGGAAAGTGTGGGCTGTTTTCCATATATAACTGCGAACTGTTCCATGCAGTAAGAAGTCTAATTAAAGGGAGCCAGGCGAGCAGGGGAAGGCGATATTTATCCCGGAGAAAAGAACCCCCATCCTCAAAATCTTAAATGCAGACCCTCGCCCGGCAAGGGGGAAAAAAAATAAAAAAAAAATTAAAAGTACCGTGGTGGAGATCGCAAAAAAAAAAAAAAAAAAAAAAAAAAAAAATAGGCGGGAGAGGCAAATCAGAGCTTGGAAAATATGGAGAAATAGGAGGGGAGAGCCAGATGGGCCAGGAGAGCATGGGGAGGGGCAGGGCAAGGGGCAGGGAAAGCTGGGATGAGCTGGGATGAGCTGGGAGGGGGCACAGCCACCCCCGGGAGCCTCCCTGGGTCCTCCTTCCCCGGCCCCCCGAGGTGGCAGAGGCGAGGATTTGAGTGAACAGCAGGAATCAGCTTGGAAAATAAATATGGGAGCGAATCTAGGCTGGGAGGGAAGGGGCTGGGAAATGCCTGGAGGCACCGTGAGGGATCCAGGGCGGGTGGGTGGGAGAGGCTGGCACCACCCTGGGCACCCCTCACTCAGGGGGTGACCCACAGGGTCTCACCCCACCCCGACACCCCGGCCCAGCTGAACCCCGCCGGTGTTTTGGAGGAACTGTCTCTGAGGGATGGAAAAAAACCTTGGAAAAACCCTGGATGTGCTTTTGAGAGGAGCTTTGTTCGAGCTGTGCTTCCCACCAGGCACTGCCCTAATCCCGAGCAGGCACCACGCTCCCGTTCAGGGGGAGTCAGAGCAATTAAAAACCGTTAGCGGGCTTTAATTAAGTGCTGATTCTACGAGTTGGGGAGAGCCACCACCACCATCATCATCATCACCATCACGGGCCATGATTCCAACTGGATGGGGCTCTTTGCTCCCTGAAATTGCACTTTGTCCTGCTGCCAACCCGCTGTCACCCCAATCTGGAGCCGTGGAGTTTGGGGTGTCATTCCCAGCCCTGTTAGTCATTCCCAGCCCTGATATTCCTAACCCTGACATTGCCAGCCTTGTCATTCCCAGCCTTGTCATTCCCAACCCTGACATTCCCAACCCTGTCAGTCATTCCCAACCCTGACATTCCAAACTCTGACATTCTCAGCCCTGTCAGTAATTCCCAATCCTGACATTCCCAACTTTGACATTCCCAGCCCTGACACTCCCAGCCTTGTCATTCCCACCGTTGACATTCCCAGCCCTAATATTCCCACCCCTGACATTCCCAGCCCTGACATTCCCAACCCTGACATTCCCAACTTCCCAGCCCTGACATTCCCAACCCTGACCCAACTCTGACATTCCCAACCCTGACATTCTCAGCCCTGTCAGTCATTCCCAACCCTGACATTCCCAGCCCTGACATTCCCAACCCTGACACTCCCAGCCTTGTCATTCCCAACGTTGACATTCCCAGCCCTAATATTCCCAACCCTGACATTCCCAACCCTGACATTCCCAACCCTGACATTCCCAGCCCTAATATTCCCATCCCTGACATTCCCAGCCCTGTCATTCCCAGCCCCACCTCCTCACCTCCGCCCCGCAGCCCGGCGCTCCCGGCCCAGTCCTGACCTGCCATCCTGTTTATGCCACATCCAACCCCACGTGTTCCCTCCTCCCAGCACCTCCCAGCTGCACCAGTAACCCCGGCAAACTGGGATAGCCCTTCCCTCGGACACACACATCACACCTCTGCAAGGAGGGACCGAGGCCTTCCCAGCCCCTCGTGCATGGTTTTGCCATAAATCCCAGCTCCCCCAAAAAAAACACCTGCAATGATGCTGGGATGGAATCCCAGAATGGACTGGGATGAAAGAGACCTTAAAGCTGATCCCATTCCCTGGGCAGGGACACCTCCCACTATCCCAGGGTGCTGCAAGCCCGGCCTTGCTTGGACGAGCTCAACCTCAGACACAACAGGGACAAGGACACGGCGCTGCTGGGGGGGCTGACACCCCAAATAACGCCCCCCAAAGCCCCACAGCCCCTGCCCAGCCTTCAGACAAGAGGGACAAAGCAGCGCTGGGGTCACCCGAGGTGACAGTGGCCACCGGCCCCTCTGTCCTGGCCGGAGCCAGGGCCGTGGGAGGCGCTGGCACGGCCCGGCCCTGCCCCAGGTGGGGCTCTAAGCACCAGCGCTAATCCCGGGATAATTGCGGCTTTAGCAGCGATAGGGCCCAGATCAGTGGGAAAATCCCGGTGTTAGGGGCACGGCGCTGGCACCGCGCGGCGCCGGAGCCAAGGGAGAGGGATCCCGGGAACAGAGCGAGGGATCCATGGAATAGAGTGGGGGATCCATGGAACAGAGTGGGGGATCCATGGAACAGAGTGGGGGATCCACGGAATAGAGTGAGGGATCCCAGGAACAGAGTGAGGGATCCATGGAATAGAGTGGGGGATCCATGGAACAGAGTGGGGGATCCACGGAATAGAGTGGGGGATCCCGGGAACAGAGTGGGGGATCCATGGAATAGAGTGGGGGATCCCGGGAACACAGTGAGGGATCCATGGAATAGAGTGGGGGATCCATGGAATAGAGTGAGGGATCTATGGAATACAGTGAGGGATCCCTGGAATACAGTGAGGGATCCGTGACAATACAGTGAGGGATCTGTGGGACACAGCAAGGGATCCATGGGAACACAGTGAGGGATCCATGGGAACACAGCGAGGGATCCATGAGGATACAGCAAGGGATCCCAGGGACACAGTGAGCGATCCCAGGAACACAGTGAGGGATCCATGGGAACACAGCAAGGGATCCCAGGAACACAATGAGGGATCCCCCAGACACTGGTGCCCAGCAGGGACACACACACCCGTGGCTCAGGCTGTGATTCCCTCTCCCCATCCCAATGGAAAAATGCCAAACCCACGGGCAGGATTCCCCTCCAGCCCAGCTGTCCCGCCTGGGATTGCTCTGCCTGCCAGAATCCCCTCCATTCCCAAGCCTTTGGCTCCTCTTCCCTTCCCCAGCATTTTCCCTGCAGTGTCAGGGGCCTTCCTCACCCTCTCCATCACCTCCCACAGAGCCCAGGCAGGGGCTGGGCAGGGGGGTTTGCTCCTGGAATAACAAGGAGAACAGGAATTCAAGATGGGAGCTTGGATTGGGGTTGTCCAGCACTGTTGGGGTCCCCCAGAACTGTCTGGGGTCCCTCAAAACTATTTGGGATCCCTCAGAACTGTCTGGGGTCACCCAGCACCATCTTGGCTGCTCCCACACTCGAGGGGAGGCAGGTCCTGGGTAAGGAGGCTTAGATTTGGGAAAATCCCTCTGCTCCCTGCTGGCTTTTCCTGGATCCCTTCCCAGCGACCCTGTTCCCAAAGGATCACCCCGAGAGGGGACAGATCCCAGCCAGGTCCCAGGGACTGAGACACAACAAGGCCAGGCGTGCAGGCAGCTGCGTCCGGGGGAGTGGGAGGAGGAAGGGAGGCTCCCTCATTGTCCTTCCCACAGGGAAAAGGGACAGTCCCGAGCCTGGAAGCACCAGGAAACACTTCCAGCTCCTCGCTCCAGCCCCTGGGGCCGCAGGGCCCCGTCCCCCCGGCGCTGCAGAAACTCCATCTGCAGCATCTTCCCGGGATTCCATGCACTTCACGTCCGACTGCAGGAGCCGGAGGATCCCCTGGCTGCTGACCTGCACGGAAACGCCCGGCTGCTGCTGCTGCTGCTGCTGCTGCTGCTGCTGCTGCAGGGAGGGAGGGAGGGGAAGCAGGGGAGGAAAGGCCATTCCTGCAGCCAGCTCTGGGTGGGGGATGCTCCAGCAGGTGCCCAGTGAGGTGAGACAGGCACGGAGCGCATCCAAGGACGGGGAGAGGTGGGAAAACAGTGCCAAGAAGGGAAGCAGGGAATGGGAAGGGATGAAAGGCAGCGGGTCAGGAGCTGGCACAAGAGAATCCAGTGGTGGATATGGAGCTGGAGCACGGAGAGGATGGGTTTGGGGCCCATGGGATGGGCTGTATCCATTCTGCAGAATCCATGGACAGCAGGACAGCCTCCTCTGGATGAGCCTCACCCAAAACAGGGAGCAGCATCTCAGCACCCCAGCCGTGGTTCCAGCCTTTTCCACCTCCTCTAGGAGCACAACCCAGCACCCAGCACGCTCCAATAAATCCAAAACATCCCTGAGATGAGAAACCCGTGAATTTAACACCCAGTGGAACAGCCAGGTCGGCTCCCAGGGGCACAGCACACCTCGGGGATGCCAGAGCAGGTAGCAGGATGAGATTTTCCAGCTGGATTTCCCCATGGGGATGTTGTTTACTTTCTCTTTTCCCCAGGAAATATCCTGCTGACTCAGGAAACACCCTCGGGCGCAGCTCTGCGGGGAGGAGACACTTCCCAGCCACAGCTTTGGTCCTTCCTTTCATTTTTTTGGCCAGTCCAGTTGGGGTCAGATTGGAGAGCAATCAGTCACTTGGGAAATAACACCACTCCAGGCCTCCTCCCTCAAAGAAACCTCAAAAGACAGCATTTAAGGCGAGCTTAATTTGGACAACTAAAAATAGCCAGCACCAGTCACACTGGAAAATGCAGGATGTGGAGCTTCACCCTCTCCCAGCTCCAGCCTGCACACGGGGGTTTGTGGCCCCCAGCCCCACGGATTTGTCCCTAGGGATGGCCTGGCTCCCACAGGGAATCCAGCAGGACCTTCTGAGGCCCATCCCGGAGCCCTGCCCGGCT